GCGCTCGGATGTACCCCTCAATATCTCCCGATATAAACCTTTACATACTCCCAAATATACTAATATGCACCCTGATATACCCCCCGAATATACTAATATGCACCCTGATATACCCCCCGAATATACTAATATTCACCCTGATATACCCCCGAATGCACCTTGAAATACCCTGCCATACTCGGGCATATATCCCTGGACAGTCTCGGATGGATCCCCGGATGCAACCCTTCCGGACTCGGGTTCACTTCGCGAAGAGAGTCATCGCGCGTCGTTTCGGCCTCTCGCGCGTGTGCGTTGGGAAGTCCTGCCGGGCGGAAATAAATGTCACGTCACCCGCGAGGCATCTCGGATCCCCGCGGAGGACGAGGAGGAGGATCGGAGGGGAGAGAAGGAAGAGGATGGAAGCGACGAAGGCGTGCATCGGGTACACGGCGCTGCAGCAGCAGCTCGGAGCAGGCTATCGGGCGCTGGCTCTCTTTCCGAAGATGGTGTGGATGACCTCGGATGACCCCTTCTCCATCCTGGCTTGGCTCTGGTTGGTTCCGCTCTCTCTCTGATTCGTCGTCGCGGTTCGGCCAACGCTCGGCAAGGCTCGGGCTCTTCTCTCGCCCTCCCCTCGTCAAGGTCGTCGTGTGTCTTTCACCCGTTTCGCTTGTTTTGGGGACCGGATCCGTTCGCGGCTCCGCTGACAGTGCGCTGGAAGCTGGGCGCTCGCCGGAACGATCCCTTCCGTCAGCTGACCCCGCCCTCTCCGCTCGTTGGTATGGGTGGGAGCGTGATCACGTTGCGGAAGATGGACGCTCGACTGGTCCATCGAGCCCGTAGCTTCTCCTCCACTGTCGGTTTGGGGTTGAAGGGACTAGGGGACGTGCCTAGAAAGACGATATTTTGCCCTCCGCCCCCCGAGATTTCTCAGCAGGGATCTGTCGAGAACGCGTTTCCGAAGTCAAAACAGATATCTCGTCTTGCCGGTTAGCAGTTTTTTGTTTTTTTTCTTTTCTTCGGAGGTCACAATTTTGGTGCGGGAGAACTGACGGCGAAGCGAGGAGAGAAAGTGTGTGAGAGAAGAAGAGAGAGGTGCCATTTCCGCAAGCTTTCCTTTTATTAAAAGGTTGGGGGGGGGGGGGGGGGGGGGGCTTAAAAATGCTAAGAATTGATGTTGTCGTCCTGTGGTTGTTTTTGTATCTTCGTTCTGTGTTCGTTTCCTCGAGAGCTCGTGTGTCAAGACATTGTTTTCGGTTTTCTGGGCGCGATTTTTTTTTTTTTTTTTTTTTTGGCTTTTGTTGTTGTTTTTGTTAAGGGAACACTATCAAGATCCGAGGTCAGATTTGGGAATTTTGCGGGTATCTTTATCGGAGATGACAGTGTCGAGCCTCTCGAAGGGTCAGCGTGCGAGATAAGTCTGTAGCCGTCCATATGCGAGCTGGAGCTTTAGAAGTCTCGTCTGCTTGCTTCAATCCAGATACAAATCTTCGAGCGTCTCGAATACGTCGTTGATTGTGCATGCACGCACGAAACGGTGCGTATACGGAACCGTGCGTGACTGAGATTGACTTCGAATTTCTCGGTCACGCGGCAGTTTTAGAGGTAGGGAAAGATCACCTCTGCCGACGCTGCGTGCCGGTGGGACCAATCGAACTGCGTCAAAAGAGCAAGCAACGTTATGATGTTCGTCATCTCCCTGTGCTATTACTGGCTAAACCAATCAAGCACATTGACTTGCGTTTTTAGTGTGTGTTCGAGGCCTTCGACTGTGCTCTGACTTATGCTGTGACCATTATAATGCCATAATACCAAAATAAATAAAAAAAACAAATGTGTGCGTATGTGTGTGTGTGCGTGCGCGCGCGCGCATGTGTGTTTGGTTACGCCGGTTTTAAGGGCACAGGGTAAGGTAAAATTGAAAAAAAATTCGATTTTAGTTTTTTTCGCAATTTGAAAAGTTTAGTTCTTTCTGCACATTTTCCATTGTCCCATTGTTTTTAGAAAGCTATATTTCGGGCTGAAAATCACTTCTTCCGAAAGCAGGTAGCAGGTGACCACGCCTCCTTTTGGGATACACTCCCTGTTTATCGATGAATTCTCCAACAAAACAAAATCAACACAAGACCTAAAAGCTTGTCCAGTAACAGATAATCTCAAAAAATTATTTCGCAACTATTGCATAGCTTTTTTTCAACCAAGACAATCACGAGACGCTGTGCACGTTTCTCCCAGGTGTGCACCGTGTGTACATTCAAGCGTTTGTGTTTTCGTAACGACAAAATGGCGCCATTGAATGCTGTTCCTTTATTCAATGGTGGCAGCATTGCACAAGCCAATGTTTTGAAGTTTTGTGGATGGAACCCTGTTTGGAAATCCATCAAGTGGCTGAGGAAAGTTGACGTCACTCTAATATACTTTACGGACCAAGCGACATGGCAGGTCACAAAAGAGGCCCGGCAAGCAAGGCAATAAGCCTAAAGGTGAAGACATGACTTTAGCAATGCCTTTCAAGCTGGCGGCTATTGAAAAAATGACTCTGAGGCTGTTGGTACCAATAGAAATTCGTTATTCACCAGTTTTTTTACTTTAAACTCAATTATCTCAAAACAGTGTTTTTTAGTACATAGGTACCATTTTTTCCTTAACCTGACATTATAGAGGGTTGATTTTTTATTCCTACCACATACATGGGTGTTCAAAAATACTGAACTAAAATTAAAAATGTGCACCCAGCAGTTTTTAAGTTACGAAGTTTTTAATAGATGAAAACAACTAAAATTTCAGTACTAGAATAAAAAAAAAATATAAAAAAAAACTTATTTTAGATTGGTTCAAATAGTTCTAGTTCAGTGGATAAAACACAATATTTCGAACAAAATGATATTACATGACAAGAATACTCCTAATAGTCACCGAGAAAAATGTTCCTCAACATGGCCTCAAATGCATGGGGAGTATAGGACTTACCCTGTGCCCTTAATTCCGTTGTAGGAACGTGCTAATATTGATTCTTATCATCGAATACCACTGAGTCACTCTTAACCTCTACAATGCATCGAAAACCACGACAAACCGACTTTCTTTACAATGTGTAAGATGACGCTGATGTTCGATTTGAAACTATATTCGGGCCGTACTACCCATTCCTCAATATTTAGTACTCGATGAATACGCAAGCTCGCTCGTTAAATCGTAGCTTAGCAGGCCACACCACTTGTTGACCTGTGTAGACTTCGCTCGCTTTCTGGAGCGACCCACACGCGCGTGCCGGGCTCTGGAGTTGTAAACATCGGAATGGTGTAGCTTGCTCTCTCTCTCTCTGTTTGTGTTGGCCCAAGTACCGCCGGGGAGTCTGATGACTCGACCTGTAAGGCGCGGCCATGCACGCTGGGGCGTCCTTGCGACTTCGCCCACGTGGCTCTTTAATCTTCGCGAGCTGCGATGCATTCGATGGGCGCCAGATATTGCCGGAGCCACAACAGAGGAGCCCCCCCTCGCTGAGGCGACGCTGCCAAGGTCGCGTGCTCGAGCATTCGTGTATTTTTTCGTAAGTTTGCTCGCGAGCAGAAAGAGAGAGAGGCGATGGCCAGCTGAAAACTGGACAAACAGCAGGCTTCCAGCTGAGCCCGAAACTTGGCAGCAGTCGCCGCCGCCGGCAGACGGTGTGGGGAGACGGTGGCACAAAGCGGACAAAGATGGAAACGGAGGATGTACGCGAAAACTTCCGTCTTTCTTTTATATATATATATATATGTATATATATATATATATAATGAACATGCCAACAAAAGCTTGACTGGCGAACTCGGAAATCAGCACCTTCGTAAAGTCCTTAAATATATCGTAAGCTATTCCTTCTTATCGTCACTCTCTTTCGAATGCCCGGCCTCCTTGCCTTCCGCCGTGCTTGGGCTGAGCGCGCACCCTCGAGGCTCACGAGACGCCGTAGTGTTTGTTCTCAAAGGTTTGGAAGCTCGCGCTGGAGGCGAGGTCAATACTGAAACTTCTCCCTGCTGTTCTTATCCTGAGGTTGATGAATGAGGGGCTGTAAGGTTGTCATACTACTACTACTAGGATACGGGACAAAGAGACTGCAGTGAGAGAGCACGAAAGGGTAACTGCGTTAATGATACACTACACAGACAATTACAGCCTGTTTTCTTATGTCGTAATTGGCATGTTTCATAATTGCGGGCAGAATCGAAAACCTAAGAAATAAAAAAAAAAAAAAATAAAACATCAGAACCTTTTTTAACAAACCAAAGCACCAAGAGAAACGAGATGCTTTCATCTTTATCGTGATCACTTGCTGTTCTGTGTGACTAGTGGAGAACGCGAACCAGTTGTTGTCTGTATTAACTTCGTCTCCGGGATCGCGTTTAACTTATCCTTCACTCTCACTTTTTTTTATATAAGCTGAACTATGTAGTGGCTCGGTTTCCAAAGACCATAAGGGAAATGTTGGAGCTTTACGTTCCAATGCAGCTGGAGCCTTGGACGTCGCCTGGGGAAGGAACCATCTAGGGTACGAGACCCAGGTGCTCCAGAGGCCGGAGCGCGTCATGATGATGCTCTCCAGAGACCTTAGATCTTTGGAACTTGAGTACTATATTTGTGCGAGCACGTGCGCGCGGAGTTTTGTGCTCAAGCCACGTTGTCGCGCCAGCACAGCTTTGAGGACAAGCTTGTTGATCCCCAGTGCATCCATCTTGTAGCACGTGAAAACCAAGCATCTACTCTAGTGAAATATAGAGCATTGGGAGCTCACGCTCTTAGCTTTCTCGCATATCAAAGAAATTAAACTTGTATGAAAGTTTATATGGTGGGAAATTTAAAATCTTGTGTGCTGTCTTCGCTGTATATAAGATTTTCCGAAGTGGTGATTACGCGAAATCCACGGGACCACCTGCAGTTGTTGAACCCGTAAGGTCGGAATCTTCCTGTGTCTGATGTTAGATCAGTTTACCCTGACTGACACTTCAGTGACCGTTCGTGTTCTTTTCACTTGCAGGGTCGGCACACCAAAACGGGGCAGCTGGCCGCCATCAAAATCATGGACGTTACGGAGGTGAGTATTCAGGAATCTTCCATTTGTCTAGCGATTGTCTTGACTCTGCTGAGTGCAATTTGAATTAGGCTAGCTCGTATTCGTGTAGTACTTCTTCTAAGACTTGCGTCCAAAATGCTTCTTTGCAGAAGCATTTTATGACACAAAATAGTTGCTTTCTTCCTCGATTAGAGACACGGTCGATATAAATCTGATATCTTATATTCGTCGCATAGAAAATCTAAGTTGTAACGAGCGGAGAATGCCTGGATTATGGATACTACAAGTTTCTATCACATCGTTTAGGTATGTAGCACGGTTTCAATGAAAGACTTGTAAATTGCAGATTCTTGTCTGCATCACCGCTTACCGATGAGACACGGCTCGTCATGCATGTAGTATTCCTCGAAATTTCCCGCACGGTAACCAATTTAATTGAATCACTTCCTTGCTCAATGGCGAGCTCGTGGAATGTAATCACTTTTCTAGACGATTCGTTCGCGATTTCCTGGACAAAGCAGCAACCGTACGTCCAGCGAGTTTGGTACGTGCTCTTCTCATCGTGACATCAATAAAAACTTCATGTTCTTTTTTTTTTTTAAGGCATTTTAAAAATTAGAAGAAAGAAAAGAAACGCACATACAAGAAACGGGAATGAAAACCAGAAACGCTTCCGGCTTTGCGTAAGCGCCATCTCAACCAGTGACGGCTAAGGGCCTTAGTGACGACACCTCGCTTTTTCTTTTTTTCTCTGTATAAGCTTAGTGTACTTTTTTTCGTACTCTTCGCGTTCATAGTTCATACATATGTGCCCACTTGGACGTGCGGGCTTTTAGTCTGCCCCGACTCGGTAACAAAGGAGACTTCCCAAATATTTGTTCCTGGACGGTAGGGTAGCTGCCCCCGTTATTCGCTAAAACGACCATTCGCTCAAATGTCGCCATTCGCTAAAATGTCATTCGCTCTTGTGATATGGACCGGTAGCTTGTTGTAGACCACGTTGTAGGCCTAGCCGGCGCAGCCCTAGCCGACGAAAGGCGGCAGACTGCGAAAGCGTAAACCTGTCTGGCAGCATAAACTTTTGGTGCTTACATGCAGCCAAATAAACTCGGCATGAAGGGGATGTCGTTTGCCTTTACGCCGTAGTAACTTTTTTTTTTTTAACTTTGTTTTTGTTGGACCGTTTCCTCCATCCCCTCCGTCTTGATCCCCGTTTAACGACGTTTTTGTTCGGGCCTTGTCAAGATGCGGACAAGATGCCGCCTCGAAGGTTGTTTCCGGCGACTGAGGAACAAAGTTATGAAAACAGAAATGACGCCCGAACGCCCGTTAACTCCATCACGCGAAGGTCGTTTCTGTGTTACTTTTAAAGTTTTTTTTTTTTTTTTTTAGCTTAGTTTTGAAGTTGGCATTTGTAAGCCTAAGGACTGCTGTTGTGGACATCGTCCGTCTGCAAGTGACCTTGGCAAGTCTGTGGGCGCACGTCTTTCTGTTTTGTGTGTGCGATGGGAACTGTGCAGCTTATAACCATTGTTATCCCGGGTGTCTCAGACTCTCAGCACATTGGCAATATTGGACTGCAGTTCATCTTACACCAACATAACACAAATATTTAAGGTGTGGGGAGAGTTTAAAAGTGACTTATAAAATTGAAATAAAATAAGCAAAGTTCATGACAATTACTACACATCTCCTGGATAAAATTTCAATTAATAAAAAAATAAAAATAATTTAATTGTTTTTTATTTTTATTATTTATTTATTTTTTACATTTGTACCTTTTTCAAGACAATTGCTTATCGCAGAATTTTCAAATTTGGTAGGCCGAAAGCTACGGTACTCCTACGTTCCTGGAACTAGAAGTTGTTTTCGTTAAAAAGATGAGGAGAAAGAATTTTTTTTCATGTTTGGTCAAATAAAATCGCCACCTTCCAGTGCTTTTTGTTTAATAAAAAAAAAACACAAATCAAAATCAACCATTGACTCTAGTTCCAGCGAAACTCAAGATGTGAACACAGCCATCCTAAAAAAAATCATTGAAGTAGACTACATTGTTTTTGTAAAAAAAGGCACATGAATGACAAAAATTTATGATCTGAAGAAAAAAAGACTTGAAGAAAATAGAAAGAAAAAATATCATCAAAACATTCGAGGATTGCAGTCCTTTTCTTGGGCAGCGTCACTGTAGCCTTTCTCTTTGTTTGTTTAGTCTTTCCTGTGCTGTTTCGAGTCTATTGATGTCAGCGTAGATACACACAGGGGACCAGGGGTGGCACCTAATTGCTTCAACACTTTGATTCGTGACATATTTCCGTCATTGTAGCAGGGATGGCATCATTAACAACTGTCTGAACAGTCTTAAAGCTACCAAATGTGGTTTTCGGGCATCTGGCTCAAATCATTTGGTTGAGTGCCTCGTTAGCGTTTTGTGTTCTGCCATGTAAACACCACCTTCGACCCCACCAGTCCGCTGATGCGCAATGAAGCGTGGTTATCAAAGTGCACACAAACCAAATGTTCTTTAAAAAAAAAAATACAATTAGATACTGACATTGATAAGGCAGTATCCAAGCACGCTGTCATTGTCAGCAGTTGCTTCAAACGAACCATTCAAGTCTATTTTCGAAGATGAAGCACATGACTGTGGCCGTACCTTCTTTGCAGGTCTCTCCGACAATTGTGACTGTCTGTAGTGATTGACATGAAATTTCCCCTTTGCTGTCAGTCGTTGCAATCTTCCCATATGTAATATCAAAGAAAACACAGCAGTACGATGTTCACAGTAGCATCGAATACGCTCTTGAACATGTCTACCGCCAATTTCGTTTCACGCGCTACAAAGAAACCCCTAGTGACTGGAAAATGTACTACCTACAAGAAGAAAACCGTGAAACCGAAACTTTTGTACACACAAAACGAGATTTTCGATGTGAAATGAAACATTTGTGGAGTTTTCGTGAGACCACGCCCACTTTTTTGCTTACACAGAACATGAAAGAAGGCATCAAGAAGCATTTTCCGCATTACTAATCTCCATATGTTATATATGGTTTGAAAGCTAAAGAAACAGGCTATCAAAAAAAAAAAAAAAAAAATTCAAAAACAGGATTTTTGACCGAAGTCTTACCCCACCTTAAAGCACTTATAACTGACAGAAATGTCAGTGCTACTGACAAACTAGAAGGCAAGGTCTTTCAGCTTTAATTTCGTTGGATTCCATCTCATTGGCCTAGAAAAGCAGCAGGGAATCTCTAATATAGTTACTCTACCTCGTAGGGTAATTGATTAACGTTGAAGTTTAAGCTGGTTGATGTATGGACATAACAAAAACAGCGCGAACACAAGGACAAAGTAAAAGGTAACCGACAGAACACAGCACTGTGTCCTGTCGGTTACCTTTTACTTTGTCCTCGTCTTGGCGTTTTTGTTTTTATTATGTCGTAGGGTAAGTTCATAAGCAGCTGCCATCTATTCACACAACCATCAAAAAGAATGTGGCAGTCCTGGTATGTTTTCACTTCAATAATCTTAATAATGTGTTTTGCTGACCATATTTTGCACACCATTGTGCTCCACAAAATTTGCAGTGCACTATACACTCCGTGCGGGAACTATAGGGGGCGCTTTGAAAAACGCGCGCAGCGCCGCTAGCGGAGGAGCTGGCGTTCGACCGTGAGGCCCGTTCAGCAGCCTGCGGCGCCTTTTCGCATGCGAAGCAGTGGCGGCGGAAGCGCGCACGGACGAAACTTTTGCTTTTTGAGCCGATACGTTGAGGGTGACGTTGCATGAGTGCTGGGGCAGACCTAAGAAGGGCATCTAGCTCTTCTCCACTTCTTATATATTGAGTTTGAGTCGTTATTAGGGGTAATTTCCTTAGTTGCGGCCAAAAAAGGAGTTGGAGCAATTTTCCGAAAAGCAAGACGGCCGCCACCATAATTGCTTTGAGTGGGAAATTCATTTCGCTCGTCGCTGTAAACGTAGGACTGCTGGAACGATGATATTGGAGGCGAGTGAGATGTTCACTACGTTTCTGCACGAGGTGTGCCAAGTTTCATTACAGGTGTGAAAGTTGTTTCTAACGAATAAAGAAATAAAGCTGTACGGTATATCCAATATTGGACCCAAAATGTTATGTTATAGCGGGCTGTGCAAAGTGCAGCTTTTGGCACACAGGTGCTTGGACGACAGTAACGTGACACAGCACTTATTATACAAAAAAAAAAAAGGTGGCATAGGGAAACCAGGTGAAAATTTGGTTTGGGCGGCATAACTCAGCGGGAACCGGTTTTGACCATGAAAAGGCTGTCAAGAGAATACCACTGGTCGGGGGAGGTGGAGACTTTAGAGTTAGGAAGGGACTAGTGGACTGTACTTCCAATTGAAACAATCTTGCGAAAGGTGGTTCCAAAGCCGAGAAAACAAAGTTGTCGGCCAACACACGGTTTGGCCGCCAAGTGCTTTTGCGGTCAGCCGTTGTGTAATAAGCTGTTGTGCGAGGTGCTGATTTTCGGCCCACAGGTACTTTGACATGACCGTCGCTTGGCACAACACTTATTATACCAAAAATAGTTGGCATAGAAAACCAGGTGGAAATTTAGTTTGGGCGGCGTAACTAAATGGGAACTGGCTTTGACCGTCTATATAAGGCTGTCAGAAAATACCACTCATCGTGGGAGGTGCACACTTTACAGGTAGGAAGGGACCAGTGGACGGTACTTCCAGTTCGAACCACTTTGCGATAGGTGGCTTTAAAGCCGAGAAAAAAAATTGTTGTCTACAGAACTCGGGATGTCAGCGTTTCCACATCCAAAAGGAGGCTGCTCAAGAAAGAAAGCACACCACATAAACTTCCATACTCAAACCTCGAATCTCCAGTGATTCCGAGTTTCATTGTTGTTTTCTTTAGATTCATATTTGTCACTTTTTTTTTTATTTACCGTTAGAATCTTTCTTTATGACGTACAGATTGCGTGCCATACTTGTCCGGAAATATCATCGACACGTACGATGGGGACGAAACTTGTTTGGAGGGCATTCCTCCAACGAAATTGGCACTGCATACCCGCGAGTGTGGGATTGCATTTCAGTTCGTCCCATCGGCGCTGACACATGTTGGCGTTACCGGTACGAAAACAAACGCAGAGCGCAAAGCGGCAGTGTAGAATATGGCAGCCGTGCCGACACAGTGACAGACATGATCGGGACACCAAATTTCTCGCGTCGTACGGCACGGCTCCATCGTTGTCGCTGTCCCACAAAACATCGGCGAGGTGAAAAACTGCGAAACTTTGTCTCCACGAGACACGACGCATAACTATTGAAGCACTTAATGACGCAGCACAGGCTGTGAACCCAGCGCAACAGCACCATTCCGACTTCAATGCGTACCAACGTACGCGGCGTGGTTTCGGTTTCGTTTTCTCTGGGGTTCTCACTGCCTACCTTTGGTACCGGCCGCGCGGCGGCGCGCCAGTCGCGTCGCACGGAGTGTATAGCTGTAGCTCATAATAACTAGTGATCAAGCACATTTCTTCTGGTAATAGACAAATTTATTGAGGAGAACCTGAGTGTCAGATGCCTTCTGGTTATCAACACCACATTACTCATGCTTTCCCATGAACTAATGTCCGGGAACACGACATATAGCATTTACTGTTATTTTCTGTTCTCTCGAAGATCAGTCTCTGCAGTTATTTTATGGGATCCTTGTGTTTTTCTCCTCAATTATTCTTCTCCTTTCCTAAACTGTCGTAATCTTAATTTTTTTTCTCTCCTGTTTACAACATTTAATGTTTGTTGTTCATCTAATTACCAGCACTGGAGCTAGGCTAGCTCCACCCTTATCACTACTATGTGCTCCACCATGACTATGACATCTAGTAGAACATTTTTTTTTATTATGATACTTTTTGGTGTGGTCTTGTACGATGTTCAAATTGCTGTAATCTTGTTAGCACCTTACTTTCCATAACTAGACTTCCTTTCTGGGACAAGTGCTTCATGTCACATTTCTCATGGTTTGCTTGTCACGGGCCTTTATTATCATAGTTGCCATTGTTGGTAATGGCTTTGCTAGACTCCAATATGTGTGAATGTTCTCAGGCACGCAACAAACTAAAAATAGTGGGACAATGTCATATGAATTAACTGGGTGTATGTTGTTGCTGTCCAGATGCAATCAAAGAATTCAAGGTTGTGTTTTCTTATCCTATCTGTTTGTACGTATAGTTCTGTCTCTGTTGGCTTGTTAATATTTTGCTGTAATGACTGCGACCCAAACTGAGTTGGCCGTTTAGTTTTTAACCTTGGTAGGTAATTGTTTTTGTTCTATGATTTAAGGATTAGTATTTTAGGAGTGTAGCATATAAAAGAAAAGGGAATAAATGCTTGTACTCGACTTTTAAGTCGGTATTCAGGGTAAGATTGATCTGGGGTGTTGCGTGTTACTCTTTCCTTTTTCCTTCACGGACTAAATAGATTTTCTTTATTTATTGGTTTGGCCTAAGCTTTGTTCAGAGTTGTGAACTGGTTCCGCATAGACTGCATTGCTTTCGACAGGTCAAAAGACGCAGATCGGTGCATTTCAGCAAGAGAATGTCTATCACCCCAGGAATTTAATGGAGCAGAATTTTATCCACAGACTCCATACGAGTTTTCACTCATTGACTGCTAGACTCCATCTTGTGAGTTGTGCAAATGACGTGGTGTCTTGTACTAGGGCTTTTTAATACAAAATCACTCATTATCCCGAAATCTTCGGAATTGAGCTGCGATAGGATATAGTGAAACTGTTTTCTCATCATTACATTAGAAGAGATGTAGCTACTGTTGTTTTACTTGAAATGAAAAGCTGAGCCCTAAGTCTAGTGTTATTGTTTGTTTGGTTTTACAATAAACTGGCTTTTCCAGTATGCTTTTCATTAAATTGGGGGTATAATGTAGTTGCATTTAGCATACGAGATAATAGGCTTTTCTTGTTCCTTCATTGTTATCTCTTCTCAAATTCACGGTTAAATTTACAACAGTTACCGACAAACACGAAAAGCAGAGGTTGCCTTTGTCGGTGCTAGTGTTGCTTGGAAGCAACAATCTGCGCCAGTGCTAGCTGTTGCTACTGCAGCTGCTGCTGTATTCTCTGGTGTAGCCGGGAAGTTTGTCGGTTGATTTTCACTTTCTCTGGTTGTTCCGATAGTACACTGTTGCATGTCTTCTACTTTCAGGACGAAGAGGAAGAAATTAAGCTAGAAATCAATGTACTCAAAAAGGTAAATGATTATGCTTGTTACTCTTAATATTTACTCTAAGGCCACAACATTATAACACTAATTGCTAAAAAAAAAAAAAAAATGGAAGAAAGACAAAAATAAATTATCCAAGTTGGAAATTAAAGGATCTGGCTTTTGTATGGACAGTGTCAGTATTAGGTTTTGTGCTTCCCGTTTGTATCAAATATATAGTTGAAGGTATATCTTCTAGGTATATATAGCAAGGCCATTAAATGATTGTGACAAATTGAAAATAAAAGGAGGGGAGGGGCATGGAAGTACCACATACAGTAGTGGGTAACAGTATCTCAGGTGCATCTTTTAAGAACATCAAATATGTATATTCCTACAATAAAAAAATTGTGAAGTGCTTTGCCCAACCCTTGTGGAAATAGCACCATTACTGAATTTCCTGCATTATTCAATTGTCAGCAGCACTATGCTTTCTAGCTAATGCAAATTTACAGAAGCACTTAGTAGGGGACTCTCAAGTCACACTGCTTTGACATCCCATGCCTTCCTTTGCCCTCCAGTATTCCCATCACCGTAACATTGCAACCTACTACGGTGCCTTCATCCAGAAAAGCCCACCAGGAAAAGACGACAAGCTTTGGGTAAGACGTCTCCTTCCATTTCTACAGTTTTACTTTTTTTCTTTTCTTTTGAGAATGGTCGGACAGATGAGTTGTTTTCTTGCAGTTGGTTATGGAGTACTGTGGTGCTGGTTCAGTCACGGATCTTGTCAAATGTAAGTACCTTTGTTGTCTTGTGGGTGTGTGCAAACACCCTCGAAGCCCTCACGATATTTGAGCAACTTTCTGAGGATCTTCGTTAATTGCTTTGTGTCCATAGGTTTGTTAAAACCAGGGTGGAGAATAAAAATCAAGATGATATCAATTTTGATTTAAATCATGATTTAAATAATTATTTAAATTGAACCAGTCTTACTAAAATGATTTAAATCTAACCTTTCACAGATGTATGATCTTGCCGTTTTGCTATTATTTGACTCTTTTATGCGCATTTGTCTAGGTAGTATTGAAATTGGAAGAATCGTCGGGCAAAAAGTATTTATATCAGGCTAAACAGGAGCAAAAAGGAGTGCTCTTTTGGGCAAATCGCAGCCTTGAGCTTCCTTTCTGTCTTCCACTTTGTTCGTCAGTTATGTAATGTCCTACTGCCAGCAAATCAGAATGCTGAAGAAAAAAACAAACTGGAAAAGTAATGTCCTATCTGCAAGCAAATCGGAAGGCGAAATAAAAAGGAAAAAAAGCTTTAGAAACTCAGCAATTAAGCTGTTTTTGTTCTAGCATGACTGGTTTTACATCAATAAAAGGTTATTAATCAAAGTGTACTTTTAATTCAGAGTAATCGTTTCCTCCGCATCGTGGTCACTCTCAGATTGGACGGATGTATCAATCAATCTGCCATGTTTAAAAATGCATCTGGTAATAAAGAGGCTCTATTTTCTAGCTACAGCAATTTTAATAAATCTGGTTTTACTTCATTTAAAAAAAAAATTATTATTTTTTATTTATTTTTTTGCTCTGGTTAAATTTGACTGAAGAGTTCTAGGAAGGATTGCAGGTGAACTTTTTTGGTGGGTTTTATACTGTATGCAAAGAAGCAATCAATTGGACTGCCTCCAGATGGCCACTCTTCTGTGGCTCTTCAGATTAGTTTTGTAGGGTTTTAATCCCTTCCAACATGTGTTGCCTTTCGGCCCTGTATGGACTTAGGTGTTGTAGACAGATAAATGTGGGGCATAATGTAAAAAAGCCATTTTCGCCCAGCTTTATCGTGAGCTATTTCGTAATCTTATATTTGCGAGAGTTGTGAAACAAGATGCATGTCATTGGCTTGCATTTCTTGTAATCAAAAGTATTATGTGGTAGTTGTATTACTTGCCATGCTTCTGTGCCGATAGTGTGAAGCCTTGCCTTCTTTCTGGTTTATGCTCTACGTCCACAACAGTGTCGGCATCTGCCAGTAAGCAAGTGAAGACGGCGGAAAGCTAGAACGTTTATTTCCGTGCGGTTTGTCCCATGTAAGCCATTTTACTCTCATTTTTCTGATGTGGTGTCTTCTTTGTTCCCAGCAACCAAGGGCCAGTCTCTAAAGGAAGAATGGATAGCGTACATCTGCAGGGAAATTCTTAGGGTGAGCGGAACCTGTCGCTTCTTGCCTGAATGCTTATGGCTGAATGAACCCATTAATAGCTTGTGAAACTTTCATAATCGTACGCAAGGGCATTTGTTATAAGTCTGTTGGTGAGAGTGCGAACCATTCAGTTCAGAATTATGATATATCAGTTTCGTTATTGTCATCACTGCAACATACAAAGCAGAAAAGATCAGCTATCAAGTATCCGGTATTTGGCATTTTTTTCTGTGAGAGTATTTGATGAAGCAAAAAATTTTAATGAAATGCATTGGCTCCAGATGGTATTGTTTACCAGCAATAAGAATAAAAGCCTAGTTTAATACAATCACATTTGGATGACCAATGTGGCAGTTGCCCAGCTTCGTGTCTCAGATGAAACTGACGTCTTTTTATTATCACACACACCCTTTCTCTCTCTCACCACGCATCCATATGCACAAAAGGTAAAAGTGCAAAATATATTTTTGAAACATTTATTTTATCACGCATGTATTACAGTAGGGTCAAACCTTGCCTCAGGACATTTGTAGGTTTTTGGACCTTGTAACTGCTCTTAACGATTACCTGTTGTAATTATTGTGTTATGAGTGATTATTGCTTTTCTATAAGAAACACCTTCTGGTCACAGTCAAAAACACTTTGCCATGTCTTGGAAAACATTCTTTTAGGACTCTGCGATGGTTCTTTGGGATGGCGAATTTCAGCTTCCCAAGGGTGCATGGAGTAAAATACTATCACTGATTCATTGTGGTGCCATCATCTTTCGATTGTGCAGGGGTTGAGTCACTTGCACGCCAACAAGATCATCCACAGGGACATCAAGGGCCAAAATGTCTTGCTCACGGACAATGCCGAAGTCAAACTGGGTAAGTGGCCTGGCTTTTTGGGCCTCTTGACCTGCGTGAATCTTTTGAGAAATTGGTCATTGATTTGTGTTAGTCACCATTGAATGTTCAGCAAGGTCCTCGACAAACAAGTAGCCTGGCCGGAAGGTTTGAAGGCCATTTGTTGGGAGATACGTGCCAAGTGAATGCTAAAACAAGCATAAAAGTATAGGTTCAAAACCTTGGACTGCGGGGGGATGCTTGGCATGCTCAGAATTTTGGCATCATGTTTCCGATTCCCAGTGTTATAAGTGAGGCATCATGCGCTGGCCAACTTCTTTTTTTTTTTTTATAAATCACAGTGTGCTTTTTATGGGAATTTTGAGAAAGTCTTCTGGTAAGCTTTCTCGCAATTCGTGTGGCATTTGCAGAAAATTTACATTGCATCCCAATCAAGCGTCAAATTTTTCATTTTCCTCCTTGATGTGGAGTGAGAGGTAAGCGGAAAGCCACACACCGTGGCAAAGTCATTAGGTGTGAGAATTAAAATGGCGCAAAGGACTAGAGACCAAATGAAGAAAGACACAGACAGAGCACTATTTCAAATGGCATTCTGTCTGTGTCTTTCCTCATCCAGTCTCTCTTCCTTTGCACTGTTTTAATTCTCAAGTATGTACCAAATTGCCCAAGCTTCAACTTCATCATTAGGCATATTAGAAAACAAAATTTCAAAGCATGCTTGTTAAAGCATGCTTTGAAACAAGAAATGAATTAACTTTTTGTAGTCTACACTCTACCCTTCGTCTGGGTTTTTCCCTTTATATGTGTGTTATTTGTGCAGGACTGCATGCCCTATGTTTCTCAGTTTGAAGGGCACTGAACTCTACACTGTGGCTCCTCTCTCTGCAGTGGACTTTGGAGTGAGTGCTCAGCTGGATCGCACGATAGGAAGGCGCAACACCTTCATCGGGACACCCTACTGGTGCGTGCTTTGCCTTCGCCTTCCTCCTTGCACGTAGCATATGGCGCATGTCAAAGTATGCTTTGTACGTCCTCGCACAACTTGTGATGCTCCAATGGCACGCGGAATCCAGTCACCTACGTTGCTTACCCCAAAACCTCCTCGAAACCCTAGAGTTGCAGCTGAAATTTTGCTAAGAACCCTTGCCTCTTTTGGGTTAAGCGGCTCATAGATTTGGTCTTGCAAGTACTGCAGAGACTTCAGTCTTGTTGCACACGGGTCGGGAGGATGGCCCCAGCGTGTTTTCTCGTCAGAAGCAACGCAGTCGATTAGAGTCGAACGCAAATATGTCACACCAGCCTTTTCCCTACGAGCTTGACTCTCTTTGCGATTTATTCCGACTTTGTTGCTTTCAACAGGATGGCCCCCGAGGTGATTGCCTGCGACGAAAATCCGGATGCCACGTACGACAACAGGGTTAGTGTTGGGGCTTATGCTTCCGTGGAGCGGTCAGCGATGTCCGCTCCCTCGGCCGTGAGCCGACGGGAAGAAGGATATTATCTCGGAACTGAAAAAGGTTTGTCGGTTTTAACCTGCCACGTTTCTTCTCTTCTTCTCTTCCTTTTTCAGAGCGACCTGTGGTCGCTTGGTATTACGGCCCTGGAGATGGCGGAGTCACAACCACGTAAGTCTCTCTACCGTGGATGGCTTTTACCGCATTATTCGCTTCTGTAGTACAGATAAATGGAAGTAATTGTCTGTAGACTCAGTTTCCAACCGACCGTCAACTAGAAGCTTTGTTTACGCAAAGTGTTATAGTGTTGGCTTGTGTGAAGTGAGCAGGGCATTTTGAAAGAATGTTGCAAAAAACCGTTATGCAGTCGCGGCATTTAGCAGACTTAGATCCCACCAAATTTAGTAGGTTCCGCTAATTACTACAATTACTTTATAATAATTTGATTAATTATGGGGAAAGAAATCTGTGCAGCTTTCTAGCACGCGCCTTGTTTCTCCCAAATATCTGTAGGCTTAAGGTATAGCTCGTTTTCCCTTGCCTTGGCTTCCAGCGCTCTGCGACATGCATCCGATGCGGGCACTGTTCCTGATCCCCCGCAACCCCCCGCCCCGGCTCAAGTCCCGCAAGTGGGCCAAGAAGTTCCAGAGCTTCATTGAGACTGTTCTGGTGAAGGACTACCAGCAGCGGCCGTACACGGAGCAATTGCTCAAGCACCCCTTCATTCGGGACCAGCCCACGGAGAGACAGGTCGGTGGACTGCACCCAACAACACAGACAGTGCGGTGGTAGATTCACGGCGTGTTTCATATGCCACTTTTCTTAAGACCACCTTCATAAAATAGAACTTTTGCAAAGGTCCCAAAGGCTATGTGCAAAGTCTTGTATGCTTCTTCTGGCCTCCCTTGTGTCTACCTTGTGACATTGGGAGAGAGAGAGAAAGAGAGAGGGGTAGCACGGTTGTTCACCTACCCTTGCAGCCCTTGCTCGCTCACCTGCATTTTCTTTGTCTTTTGCTCTAATCGGTTCTCTGCAAATGGTTCCTAGCATTCCTTTTAGTGCCACAGACGGCACTGCACGTTTCGCAAAAGGTCTTTTGAGATTCCGCTGTGGCATTCAGAGCACAAAGAGGAAGGTTTGAAGTCTGTGTGGCTTCTTCGACAGAGAGTCTTTGAGGTGCCACTCATGTACCTGGTTGCTTTGTGGTATAAGGCCCCAATATTTGCTTTTCTTTCCTCGCTTTATTTAATGGCTCACTGGCAGAAGGGAAAGGGGCCCCTCCCCTTTTTGAGTGGCTGCAGGCAAGGAAGCACGAATTAAGGACCCTCTATTTTTGTTGTGCTCATGGGGGCTTATTCTGACTCCTGGAGTTAATGCCAAAGGGTCTCTTTCTCTCTCCCCATCAACAAATTTATGAGGGAGAGGGAAAGAAGCTCAGTCCTTCCGAGAACTATTTCACGGGGTTGACCTTTGACTGATGAACCAGGAATTGTAATGTTCTTCCTCCTTCCACTCCTGAAGAGTAGGAAAAAAAATGGGCAGTACTTTTCTGTACAGTTTTTACGATCTAAATTGTGTTTTAAAGAGCAAAATGTTGGACAAATATCTGTAGTTTTTGCTTTGATTTTCTCACTTGCCCCCTTTTCCACTTCAGTGCTCACTAGAGGAACCAAAAATAATGAAACCAATGTATCACTTTTTTTTTTCTTCTAACCTTTTTTTTGGCAGAGAAGCAGTCACACATGCAAAAAATGTACAAAAGTAGTGCGGGGAAGTGGCCCTGCAAAGCGCAGTAGTTTGGCAGGAACAAAATTTTTTGCTCGTGGTTCGTAAAATTTAGATCTTACGCTACTGGCTCGGTTGCTTATAACTACATTTCTTAGATTCTGAGCAGCGCTTTGAATGAAGGCAATGCGGACAATGACACCCATGCCCCTCGCACATGTGGCGCCGGCACATGCACCGCTTGTCCCGCAACAACAGCTATTGCTTCTTACAATACTTGGACATAAAATGATGAAACATCGCAATACTGTGCTCCTCTGCAAGGGGAGTTACACCGTTAAAGGCAACGTGAAGCACTTTTCAAGAAATCTGAGTTTGGAGTGGACTTCTATATTTCTTTGGCCCGTGAATTCAGTTATCGCACTTACCTTGGGCACAAGTAAACGTCAACCGAATTTATTTTGAAAAATTGACTGAATTGAGATTTCGGTTGCACGTCGAAAGACCCCAGGGCAATCAAATTTATCCCCAGTCCTTGTCAGTTTGGCACGCGAAGCCCCCAAATTCGATTTGCCCGCTCGGTGCGGTCGAACTTTAGGCAAACGTCCACGGGACTTTGCGTTAAGAGTTTGAAAAAGTCCAACCTCAGCAGGTTGGTGGCCCCCTCGATCGTTTGAGCCGTCCCGAGCAATGAAAGATTGACGAACCCACACGCCGCGTGTCTTCCAGGTGCGGATTCAGCTGAAGGACCACATGGACCGCTGCCGCAAGCACAAGCGGGCAGGCTCGGGCCCCGCGGTTGGAGTCGGGGGCGGCGGGGTGGCCGTGGGGGGCGCCCCGGGGGGCGTCGGAGGGGCGGACGAATACCGCTACAGCGGCAGCGACGGGGAGGACGAAGATGCCATGGCGGGAGAGGCCGGCTCGGTGGAGCCTGCCCAGCGGGACTCGACCCTGCGGCGCAACTTTCAGCAGCTGCAGGCCCGGGACGGCACCCTCACCTCGGTGCAGCCCCAGCAGCAGGCCCAGCAGCTGCAGGTGCAGCAGATGCAGCAGCCTCAGCCACCGCCCACCAGCGGCCAGTTCGGGGGCGGAGCGCCACCCGAGCTGCCAGCTAGGCCGCCCCCTGTGCCCCCGCAGAGGGTCATCGGTGAGCCTCTCTTCTTTCCAACAGGATGTGTCTGGGCTGCCTAAGGTTTTGTAAAACAATTACCGAAGATGACATTAAAAAAATTAAGCAGGGAAATACTTTATTTTTTAATTAAGGGATTCCACCTCTCAGTCTCTGTACCTTGGCTTTATTGCAAATACCAAGCACCCAAGCTCCTTTTTTTTTTTTTTTTTTTAATTTATATCTTTCAAGTGGGTAAAATGAAAAGAAGTTATGCTAGATATGGTAAGCCATCTCTTGTTACAAACCATTCGTCTATACCACTGGTCTCAAACTTGTTTGAGACTGGGGGCCAGATAGTCGACACTGGGAAGGCTGAGGGCCAACGTTGGACGGGAGGGGGGGGGGGGGCAGGGCAGCAGCTGTCAAAAGATTTAAAAGTGAAGAGAAATCATGCTCTATGCTTTTTGTAAACTCAGTTTTGCCAGTGACATTTTTAGATTTTATTTGTTTTTATGACTATATTGGGCACTGACCTGATGTGATAACAATAATTACAATGACACCGCCCTGCCGACATGCTCACGTTTTGAATAGAACAAGAGAGCAAGTACACTTTTGTTCCCGTTGCTCAATTCACTCGGGAATTAACTAAGCTCAACACGTCTCTAAAAAACTAGCAGTTCTTGCTTTTCTAATGATTTCTATTACAACACGCATACTTGTCTTCTAATGGTGTTATATTTTTTTAAAGCAAGAATCCCGAGCTCGTTGCTTTACCTTCAGCGGTTGGTCCTGCTGATTGAGAGTTTGCGCAGCCAAGATGCATCCTTCAACAAAGAGCTCGAGCTCGCAGCCTAGTAGCGGAATCGTTGCACTTTACAAAAAGCTTTTTTTTTTTTTGCGAAAGTTGTTTATACATTTTAATCGATTGCAAATGATGCAATAAATAAATGTCTTTTTTCTTTTTTTGTGGGGACAGTATCTTTAATGCAGGTGCTCTTTTGGAGTATTTGCATATGCACGTATGTATGGAGTAGCAGAAGGTTGTTTACCACATCTGGTATACACCAACACACGGCCCTGACGTCATGCAGCTGCGGTGGCACTGCTCGCCGTGGCGCATGTACAGATGTCTCACTTCATGCGAATCTGTTTTTGCGCTCGAGTGCCCACACGTGGTGTGGGCAAATTGCTCTTTATGGGTTAACGGAGCTGTCAACCTTTGCCGAGTGATGTTAAAACAAAATATAACTTTTTTAATTTAAAAAAAATTTTTTGGGGCGATTTTTATCTGCTAAGTGCTACAATTCATGGAATTGTGGGTAAATGGAGACTATTTATTTATATATTTGTGGTACTTCAAAGGCCCATTTAGGGCATTACATGAGGGTGGTGCATTCAGCTTAAGCATCGATCAGAACAGAAAAATAAAAATAAAGTCACGGGGGAAAAAAAAAAGCACATTGAAGAAAATGTTTGGCTTGTAACGGAGAGAAAAAGGAAACTCAAAGCGAAAAAATGTACATTAAGGAAAACGCATGTGCTAATGAAGTTTTAATGCTAGCATACGGAACAAGAACTCAGAGAGTCACGATTCAAAATAAATTATTACAAGGAAAACGCATGTGCTAATGAAGTTTTAATGCTAGCATACGGAACAAGAACTCAGAGAGTCACGATTCAAAATAAATTATTACAACTAGATTACGACGAAAATAACTGTATGCACTTTGACACAAATATTACAGAGTAAAAAAGGCATCAGCACAACAAAACTTAAAATTTCAGGGTGCAGGGGGGAGGGGGATGCTGGTGGAAAAGAGTGACTGGAAAGGCATTACAAAACATTTTTTGATCAGATATGTTGACTAGAGGTGCCGCGAACTTTTTGCGAACCTAAGGTTCGAAGGTTGAACCAAGTGGTTCGAAAGGTTTGCAAAGTTCCAAAATGTCAAAGCCATTCCATAAAAATTTTCGAACTTTAGAATTATTGGTGCTGAGAAATTCTATTGTTTTTTAACTTCTGATCTTTCATGTGAAATTCAACATTTTCAAACTTATTATGCTAAGAAATTTGACGATTTTTGAACTTTCAAACCTGCCGAGTTCAAAAGTTCAACGAACTTTGGACTTCTGAACAAAAGTTCAACAAAAATCAGACCAAGTTCGCCCCCATAGGTTCCAGGCAACAAATATAAATAACAGAAGATGTCAACACGTGAAGTGGAGTTGAAATTGCACTCGGAGTCTTATTCTTAGCTGATCGTGCCACCAATGAAACGCCTGTAAAGTGCTGAATGATTGCTTTGGGGTGGCCTCGGCCTCGTACCTCACAGATTCTCCTTTCGACTTTTGCACATAGCCTCCCTCACACACAACTCCGTATGTTGGCCCGAGGTAACCTGTAGGCCAACAGATTCCTGATATGCAGGTTTGAAATTCAACCTAGGCACTTCGCTGGGAGCGTCCTTCATAGCATTAGTTGTTTTTGAACGCAAGTCTCTCGATTTCCTCATGTCAAGGGAAGGCGCGCGCAGAGAGCAACATTGATGCACTACAGCGAACGCTGAATCGGCACTTACTTCATTATCATTAGTAACTGGCTGCATTTTAGACCGGCCAATATCTCCATTCATCGAAGAAGAAAAGTTCCAGGCAGCAGCAATATGGTTAGCCCGATAACAACTGGTCGTGACCTGATCGGCTTATTAGGCCGGGTGGTCCCCTAATTTAGTCTGGTTGCAATCTCCTCAACCTTGACTTGTGTCAGGTGCTGTGCCTGTGTTCAGTGTTTTCTCCATCCCACGAGTCATCCCGCCAAAAATGAAAGCCCAGAGCAACTAAAAATTTTCGGTAAGCCTGGATTCCTGTTTTTCGGTAAGCCTGAATGCATTGTCCTGCATATTTAGTTGTCTTATGCCAGTGTAGCATTTAGGCAATGTTTGATTGGATGGCTACCAGTTTGCAAATAAGTAGGAAGTATGTTTACCTGACCACCTCAGGGCATTTCGATGAACTGTTTAACCTGTTCACCTCTTGTTTCACAAGTTACGACAAATAACGAGTAGCACAGGTAGTACCATCAGTACCACAGCACTGAAAAGGAAGGAGTATATTCATGGCGTAAGAGGAATGGGCAACATTTTCAGTAAAATTTGTAGCACATTTTGTGAATTTCTTTAGATGAATTCATGAAAACTTAGTTTGAAACTGCAGAGTTTGATTTCCGTCCATGAAATTCAGACTTGAAACTTATAATCAAAACTTTCGAACTTTTCTAACTTGTACCTCAAAAAGATTCGAAATATCTATTTTTCAAACTTGAATATTGAATAAATTTGAAATTTTCACATTTTTCTTACTGTCTATAAATAAAATTTTATATCTTCGAGCGCAAACCTTCAAAAACCTTAACATTTTCGAATTACTTATTCAAATTCGAACCTCAGTGGGTTTCTAAAGTTGCAAACTTTTCAAATTCGAACCTGAGCGAGGTTCAAACATTTCGAAACCTCTTGAATCCGAACTTCGGGAGGTTCGTGGCATCCCTAATGTTGGCAATGGCTTTGGGAAAACCGTGATTGTGAACAGGGTGTGGGCTTGAGCTTATCTTTTGCCACAAAGCATAGACTAGAAACAAATCTAGTCTACGCTTGCTGTCATCACGTGCTTAGCCACAAAGCCTAGATCACTTGACACGCATCTGGCTTCTGTGTACATGCAGTGTTCACACAAGGTGTGGGCAAACGCAGACTTGTTTGTCAACAGTGTGTCGGTCTACATTTTTAGGGAGGCGACTCTGAAGTAGGTGGCAGATTGCACTGCTCCAGTGCCCCTCTAGCTTGCCGACGCTCATCTACTCAACGATCTATGTGACTTTGCTTCACAGTGGTTCCAGACCCGCCTCCCCCGAGCAAGCCCCTGCCACCGATTCCAGTGGAGGACGAGCGCAAGCCGGCCACACCCCCCCGCAACCACCAGGGGGCAGCACCCAGGGGAGGCTCCTCCCACTTTCAGCCCCTCCCTCCCCAGGCCCCGCCTCCGAGGGCCGTGCCCCAGCCACACCAGCAGAACCGCAGGCCAGAGGTGGGTCCCACGCGGACTTCCAGTTAGCCATGAAATGAAGAACATTCCGAGGGAAATTGTGCCTAAGACGGAGAACCTTCCGACAAAAGCTTTCTTGGATTGCTTCACTAAGAAAGGACAATGAGCACTTCTCAGTCTTATGAGGTAGAGAAGGTTGGGGAGCAAAGCTTTCACGGTCACGTTCCTTTGTAAACGTTTTCGAATTGCCTCACATGGCAAGATTGCTGGTTTCGTCGCTTTCTGTCTAGAGTATTGCAACGTAAGATTGGCAGGAGAAACTCCTCCCTTGCCCTCCATCGTGCTTCCGTTGCGTGTGTGCCGAAGTGTTATCCAAGGTAGAAGGCTTTTGCTGGAGGCGGTGCTTCTTCTGCAGATTTCGCGTCACAACAGACCACAGACTGGAGGTGTTTGGAGTCGCATTTTATTCTCCAGCCTTCCCTCCAAATGTTTCGGTTGTATGTTGCTTGTGCACAAGAGGAGGTGTCTGCACACTTTACAGGACTATAAAAATAATTTTGTGTTTGTTTTTTCTTTCTTCAAGAATGGATGTGATGTTTTTTTTTTTTTCTAAAAATTAGTTGTGGAATTTTCAAATTTTAAGGGAACATGCGTGTGGCTCGAATGCTTGGGAATAGTCCCGGTACCAATAAGAGGAGGAAAGTAGATGAGGAATGTGTTCTCCGACAAACAAGCAGCCTCTTGGATGGCTGGTGCCAGCTGTATACTGGATCGGCACAAAATAAGACCCTAGATAAAGATGTCTTTCCACAAAACTGAGGGCATTTTTTTATTTTTAAGTTTAAAACAAGTTTTAGGTGTTTCTTTAGGTGTTTTTTTTTGTATTATTAAACTGATTTGAGTGGCAACCTTTGGGTTAGTCGGTACCAAAAACACGAAATCCTAATAAAAAGTGAACATAATTGTTTTCAAATTTCCTTGCTTCAAAAAAAAAAAATCAATATTTGTTGTTTGTCTATTTGCTTTTTTTTTTTCAAAAATTATTTTAGTGGATTATCTTTTTTTAAACAATAAGAGTAAATTAATGCGCAGCGTTTTTCTAATATTCTAATGGGAGCACTCACAATGCTTGCAAGCTGTTTAGATTGAGAAAGCATAGAAGGGAAATATTAAGGGCGAAACATCCCCTTTTTTCCATTCAGTTTTATTTTTGCGTGTTTGCTTCCAATCAACATTCTGGCAATCAGTCTCTGAAACTGACGAAATTTACAGAAAGTCTGCATTTTATGACGAGTATTCATCCTCAAACTTTGACTCTGAGAAGCATTGCAAGTCTGAATCAGGGGGGCCAGCATTCTGTTGAGTTCTCATCCTCCGACTTCAATTTCGAGAAGAATTGAAAGTCTGAATCAAAAGGGCCAGCACTTTGATTGCCTCTGCCGATTGCCAGTACCACAGGAGCCTCAAAGTGAGGCATGGTGCAAATAAAGCAGATACAGTCGAATCTCGTTAATTTGAACTCGAGCAAAACCGAAAATTTGTTCAAATTAAACGGAGTTCGAAAGAAAGAAAGCTCATAAAAGGAGTACTTATGTGCAGCGCTGCATTGGGCAACGCATGTGTACTGGGCTAACAGATAAGTGACGAGTTCCGGGACATTTATTTACGCCGATCGCCAACGGAAGTAATTGTGATGCATGCCTGTGCGTAGTTCCTCAGTCGTGAATCAACAAACGTCGCTTGGAGCTTTGAGAGTAGCTCTTACGCGGCATCAGCATTCTCTTGGTACGAGAAGTAACGCGCGGTTCTGTCCAGCGATGATGCTACGTCAGTTGCACTAAGTGGGGGCATTTCTTCGCTGGCATCAGAATCTTCGCCACTGAGGGCTGAAGGGTCTTCAGATGTGGCCTGTTGAGGGCACGTAGCCTGAACGATTTCGGTCTCAGTCATCCATGACGCTTGGAATCCAGATAAAGTCCGTCGCGCGCCCACCGAAAACATGCCGAAGCGCAGAAATGCGCAAGTGCAAGGCAAGAAACGTAACTGTCGCGCTCCCACCGAAAACACGCCGAACCGCAGCAACGCGCGAGTGCAAGGCAAGAACCATAACTGTCCGCGCCCTACGAAAGCACGCTGAACTGCAGCTACACGCGAGTGCAAGGCAAGAAACGTAACTCATGCTCCCGCCGAAATCACGCCGAAGCGCAGCAACGCACGAGTGCAAGGCAAGAAACATAACTGTCCGCGCCTACCGAAACCACGCTGAACTGCAGCAACACGCGAGTGCAAGGCAAGAAACGTAACTGTCGCGCTCCCACCGAAAACACACTGAAGAGCAGCAACGCGCGAGTGTGAGGTGGGCAACGTAACTGTTCGCAGCCACCGAAAACATGCCGAAGCACAGCAGCGCAAGAGTGCAAGGCAAGAAACGTAACTGTCGCGCTCCCGCCGAAAACACGCCGAAGAGCAGCGGCGCAGCACCGGCGCCGTGCAAAAGAGAAAACTCTAATCGCAGCATTCAAGGTCACCACGTGATCAGTTGTCATGGTTACTTGGAACTGAAATCAGGAGTAGCAGCTGGCGCACGGCGTAGCGCAGCCACATGGCCGGGTTGGAGGCGCTGCCGCGTGAGTTAGCCCGCTCCTGAGAGCATGGTCGGCGGCGCGGGATGTTTGAATTAACCGGCGCGAGCGCTAAAGCGTTAGAATTATTGGACCTTTTCGCACATTGAGATACATACAGTGTAGATTGGACCACAGCGTCAGTTCGAATATACCGAAAGTTTGAATTAAGCGTGTTCGAATTAGCGAGATTTGACTGTATACCGTAATTACCCGATTCTAACGCGCCCCCGATTCTAACGCGCACCCGTTTTTCCAGGCCAACAAACCAGAAAAACTTTCACCTCCGATTGTAACGCGCGCGGAACTTCGTGATCAAGAACAACGAATGCGAGAGAAACAGGCAATTTATTTATCGAAGTAGTCACTCATCACCCTCCTCGTCTCTCTCCGAGAGCTCTTTGTCGCTCTCCGCTGACCATAACATGTCGTCCTTTGTGCCATCAAGCGCGTTCGCTATGCCACGCTTCTTAAACGAGCGTTCAACCATGGCCGAAGGGATCGTGGCCCACGCCTCGCGCGCCCATCCCGCGAGCGTCTCGAGAGGCGCACGCTTCAGCCGACCGCTTGTCGTGAACGAGTGGGAGCCGCTCGTCAACTCGTTGTACAGCACACGAAGCGGCGGACCTTCGCTGCCGCTGCTGCCATTGCGCGCAAGTAAGCGTGCAAGTGGGACGACTTGCGTGAACGCAGAAGGAACAAAGAAGGAACCAAATGGTTGCTAAAAGCACGGAGGAAAGATGGCAAAAAGCTTCGGCGCCATCTTGAGATGGCGATGGCAATGGGTGGAGCGAAATTTCCGCTGTTTTGACAGTTTCGGTTTCGTATCCGATTCTAACGCGCAAGCGATTTTTTGGCCTATTTTTCCGGAAAAAAGGTGCGCGTTAGAATCGAGTAATTACGGTAGTTCCCCCAAGACATAACAGACGACAACACCTCTCGGGGTGTTCGCAGTTTCACAATTGGGCAGAAGCTTTCCAACATATAATCGCCGCTGCACACGTGCGGCAATGACCGCGTGGGACATTTTTGCGCCGCCGTACATGTGCAGCGTTGACCGTCGCAGAGTTGATAAAGGTCGATATACAAACTAGTAGTGCGGTACACTTTGCAAAGGGTGGGCCTCAAATCCAACCGTGCACTTAGCTACAAGATACGAACGCCTGGTGCGGTTCCCTCCTCCTCAGGAACTGGAAGTCCTCGCCCAGCAGCTCAACGAGTTGGCGCACAGTGGCGGCGGTAGTCGCAGCTCCAACGGCGGCGTCTCGCGCTCGAGCGTGCCGGCCGGTTCCGCCGCCGGCCAGAGGCTCAACGGGAACCCTGTGCCGGCCTCTTCGGCGGCTGCCGCACAGCACCACCCAACGTCAGGGCAGCAGATGCACGATGGATCGGACTCTGACGACGACGAGGATGAAGAAGAGGATGAAGACGACGGACTGGTCCAGAACGACGGGACCCTTCTGGCTTCGGACCCGCCCAGGCCCCTGTGAGTGTTTTAAAAATATTATTTCTTTTGGCAACCCCGCCCCAGAAAGTATATTATTTTTAACGCCTTCTGTCATAATTCTCTTTATTACTCTCGTGTTTAGGTTATGGGTCACTTTTATTTGTGCATTGTCGAACAATGTGTGGCATGATACACAGTTGTCCCGGTGGTTACGCGGCGTGTCAAAGTTGCCTTTGCTATATGATAAAACTGAGATTAGGTTGTGTGTATGTTTATACAGCCTAGTACTTGGTGTGCCTCAACGGGCGACAAGTCTTCCAGCAGTAGATGAGAAATTTAGCCAGCGCAGTACCACCTCTAGCCTGGGGTCTTTAACATGCATCACACAGTAATGTGATACAGAGCCATATATTAGGAGAGTTTGGCCAGTGGGTGTTGCGACGAAGACGCCGGAGAGGGGAAAAGTAAATGAAAGGGAGGAGAGCGCCGAAGGAGCGAGAGAGAAAGAAGGGAGCAGAGAGGAGACGACCGCCATTTTTTAGCAACGCTGTCGGAGACTGGTTGGAGAAGAGCACTTCTGAGGCTACGCGTCGTCTGCTACGGGCCGACTTCTTTTTCGCCTGAATAAAAGTTTGTGGCCATACGCCGAAAAATTTTAATTTGTTAGCTTTTTAACCCACCGAGGAATAACAGAATGTCATTTTCTTGCCAAAGCCAGCGATATAAAAGGCAATAATCGAAATTTAGATGCCGATCCCACGCATTCCGCCGGGAGAATGATCGAAGATGGCGGCCCTCCCCACTCAGGTGGGAGCAGCCGGGAGTTCACGCGCATGCGCTCATGCCTCTCGCTCTATGCCACGTGCTGATTGGCTCACTTGGGAGGAGAGCGTTACGGCGGCGAGATCATAGACTGACCAAACTCTCCCCATATACGGCTCTGGTGTGATGCACGACTGCACGCCAGTACGATGCTCATCCAGATCGAAACGGGCAGGCATGGGGATTGAAGCGAGGATCCTGGGTTCTGTAGCGCGAGCTTTCACTCCACGTGCTCTGAGCTGGTGTGCGCTAGCCCACTTGGTCACCGTTCCCACTTAAAGGGCAACTCCGCTTCTTTTCCAGTAGTGCAAAACTATACAGTTCTCTTTGTTATCATCTACAAAACCCCCATGGCAAATATTACAACAGAATTCCGCCTAGAAGTTCATTAAAATCGCTGTCAAAGTTTGACAAGCACGAATCCGCTGGTTTTGGATGAGACGTGCGGGCCAGACAACACTGCCCGGCTGCATTTCCGCTTCCTCCAAATTCCTTCTCCCGGCACGTCCGCGACGTCATCAAACATGTACAGCTTCTTCTTCTTCTTCTTCTTTTTTTTTTCAATTTTGTTTTCTTTCTTGGTGAGAGCACGGGTGGCGCCAGCGCCGTGAAAGACGTGAGTGACGCGCTCGGCCGGCCCGGCGCTCGACTATTGATACTACTGATAAGCCGATCGCCTCGTTGAGCGCGGCTTGTGTTACGTCGCATACTTTTGAACACCAAGTAAAAGGAGGAGAGGGAAGCTGCTTTTGTAAGAATTTTGAGTGACAGGTTAATCTTCTATAATCTTCTGGGAGGAGAATAGCGACGCCTGTGCTAATCCAGGAGGCACAAAGGAGGATCCTGATAAGAGGAGAGCTCCTTCTTCCCCTTGTATATCACGTGGGTGTACATGCTTAGTGATGCCGAATATACAATGTTGTCCGGCTTTGCCACCGTTTTGGTTTCAGTTTGTGATCATGGATAGACTAAAATTACACGAAAAATATTTTATTTTTCGCGAAACAAAAGATTGGGGATTGTTTTTGAGTGCTTCAAAAAGCAAAATCGGCCACTATCTCAAAATTTTTGAAATTAAGCGGAGTTGCCCTTTAAATAAAAGTGAGATACTCGCTGGAAATGCTCCAGTATTCTTCATAATGCTTCGTAAGAAAAAGGAGGGGATTGAAAAAACATTGCTGAAAAGAAGCGCAGAGAAACATGGCTTCTGTGCGCTTCTGTGACCGAGGCCCGACTGAGAGAACGAGGTTTGTCTTAATTTAATCAGCAGAATATGCCCTTCATAAAAGAAACATTGAAATGTGATTGCATTTCGACGTAGTCTGCAAATTCCTGCAAAAATGCAGCCCCATTCTTTTTTTTTTTTTTTTTTCTTACAAGAGGAGGTTGATTGACTATTTCTCTAAAAAATTCGGAAAGCCTGGGATCGTTGCAGAACTTGGGGCCGCTGCATGCGAAGCGGAGACAGTACCACTGAGCTACACCACAGAGTTAACAAGCCGATTCAAAGTTTGGGGCTTTGTAGTACCAGATAACCACTGCATGTGCTTTCTTTAACAAAAAAACAACAAAACAAAACAAAAAAAAACAGCCGATAACAAGTTGACGTTGTTGCACTGTCACTGCCAGGAGCTCGTGCCAGGAGACGTGCTTTCAGACGCTCTGGAGCAAAAAGAAGCAGAAGCGTTCAAAACGGAGCAGAGAGGAGCAACTCAGTCACGAGCGAAGAGCGCGTTCCGAATGCCGGCCTGTGCACGCGAAATGGAATTCAAAGTTTTGACCAAATATTTATGTTGTAGGATTGCATTTTCTGTCATCCGCTACAGGTCAAGTGTCTACTTTGTTCCGAATGCTTTTGTTCACGCACCCCATGATGCATGAACACGACGCCGAGGCCCTACGACTTCTCCATGAGTTGTGGCTGCTATCGCTGTGACCATACTGTGGATAAACACTGGACTGCCCAATATTTCTGGTCCTTTCATTTGTTTTTGTGTCGCAAGCTTGGCCCAATCGCCGACCCGCTTAATTTGTTTCTGTGCTTCCCTGTCGCAGGCCTCCAGACGGATACAACCAGGACACTCTGAGGCACATGGCCAGGGACGACCCCCTGTCGTGTCAGGCCCCCAACCGCCCCCTACCCCCCACGCCCGACGAGGAAGAGGCCAATGGCCGCAACGATGGCACGCTCGTCGTTCGCAGGGTATGCTCATTCTCTCTGTCTTCCCCGGGTACCCTTGGGCACCCCCCCCCTTTTGGTGGCTCTGAGGTAAAGCACCAGACTATTAATCCCCAGGGGGTGGGTTCGAACCCCCAGGCGGCGGGTTCAAATCCCCCAGGTGGCAGGTTTGAATCCCCAGATGGAGGGTTCAAAGCCCCAGCCCAAGTGGTGGATTGAAATCCCAGCTGAGGTGGCCTCACTATTGAAAGAGGTTAATTGCGGAGAAACCGCCGTGTAACTGAGCTTTTGTTTGCACGTAAAATGAACCTCGAGTGGTTGAAATTGATTCCCACTCATCTATTGGGGCGTGCCAGATGCCCCTCGTTGGTTTGGCACCAAAGAATTCCCAAATTTGACTTTAGGATGTACTCAATGGGACTCCTCTGTTCCATCCGACAAGAAATAGGTGCTCTAGAATGTTGCTCCTTTGACGGCTCCTTTAAGAAGGCGGTTCTCTGTTGTGGCATTCTACAAAAAATGTGGGAACTGCCGAAAGTGGCTCTTTCTTATGGTGGTCGAAGTCTAAAGCCTAGCTTGGTAGCGTTTGAGTGGGACTGTGTTAAAGCCTTTTAGGACTGTTCACGACAATACGGTTGCTACAGCAACCAAGGTTTGAGCAGCACATAGCAGTGGAACGCAAGGAGTCGTGACACAGTTTGTTCCACCAAAAGGTAAATGTCTGAACCAGCAAGCTTAGAGAAAACGCAATTTTTGTAGTATAAGTTACACTGGCCGAGGTTAAGCAGTTTCGCATGGTTCCTGGAGAGCCTTGCTGCGCATGCACGAGGAGCAGTGACGGAACGGGCAGGACTGGTATGGCGCCTAGGTCAGTCCCCGATGCACGCGTCGCACGCATGCACCCGCTCGAGATCTTCGCTCGCGCTGTCCGGTTGTTTTGGGCAGCAGCTTGGTTGCTTGATACATAACAACACGGCGCACAGTTCGCCAAACCGACGACGGGCATCTGGCACGCCCCAGTGGAGGACTGAGGATTAATTTGGACCACCTGGGAATCTTTTGATGTGCAACTGAAAGCTCGGTTACACAGCACCTCCTCCGCAATAAGAAGAGCGGAGAAGCTTAACTCATTGGATCGCGAAGTAGTCACATAATGCGTATACTGTGTGTGTGTCATTGAAGCAGCAGTAAGCATGATAATCAAGCTAATCCTAGACAACCGGGAAAGCTAAGAATAGCCAGCTGAACCTAAGCTTACGCTATGTATGTCCTGGCATAGCCGAGCTAAGCGACTGCAATTTTTTTACCTAGCCGATCAAGACAAAGAAGTTTGGTATATTTGCTTTACCGTAGAGTAGGCACACTCTTTCTTTATGTTTACAGGCATTGGAAGTACAGTCGCCAACCAATTTTTCACACTAAATCGTCGCAAGCAATCTGCGGGGAACACCACCGAGAAGCCGCCATTTTAGGTTCTATGTTAGTTGCACATGGATTGACTTAGTTTGGCAGCACTACATGAGTACTGCTAAGTCCTTCTGCTAGGTGCCTCCATGCTGCGGCTTTTACAGCGGAGCTGTTAAGGGCTAGGTTCTCGAGGATCGTGTCCGTGTACAAAACACTTGTCAACAAAAACACCTCTGGACAACTACCGCCATCTATAAGCGACGGCGGCAAGCACAACCAGTATGGATGCCACCGTCACTCGTAGGGGGTGCCAACCTTTCCACCTATCATAGAAGAATGGATAGTTGGGCAGCGCGTTGGTGGGAATTCATCTTAGGAAACAGCGCGAAAAACGGACTACAACAAAAAAGAAGCGTACGTAACGAGCGCAGCGCTCGTCACGTGTGTTTCTTCGTCCTCGTCTGTTTTGCGCATCATTTCCTACGCTCTTATCAGTTTCGGTTTGGACTTAGGATGGGTCGGCCTCACGCCTTTTCGGGGAAAGAAGACTGCCTGTGGAAGGAGCGGCGACGTACGCAGCAGCGCGAATGGGTCCGTAACCGCCAAAAAGCTGCTGTCGCCTTGACTCAACTGCGTCGAGCGCTTCAGATTCCCTTGCCAAAGAAGAGCACATCGCTCGCCTGGAAAGCCGCCGCCGAGAACACTACCAGCGATGTAAAGGGTGCCAGCAGGTCAACGCCATGGACGACGATCGTGCCACGGAGGCAAGGCCCGGCGACGATTGCACTCCACGCTGGCTGAACCGTTCCCGGGCGCGATGGCGATGTTCCGGAGGGAGTTCGTGGATTACTCGTTTGGCATCACATGCGCCGTGTGCGACCGACTCTGGGTCGCCGGAGACGTATCCACGATCGGCGGCATGTCGGACGAGATGAAGTGGAAAATGAGCGCATGCGCATTGCGGCAGTGTATCGAGTACAACTCCGCTGGTCTTCCTTCTCTAGAGAGGGGAAAGGCTGAACGTTTTAGGGGCGAAGCTCCTTAGGGTCTAGCCTTGTTTATCCGTCCGGCGTCCGTGCTCACATTGATGGCACTGCCTCCAAAATCAGCCCACCTTAAAAAAAAAAAAAAAAAAATTTACCCTTGCACGGGGGTTCAAGCTCGGGACCGCTTGCTTACGAGGCAGATGTCTTAACCACTACGCTACACTCCAACGTTGCATGTAGCCGCTCAACGTCTATACAGGAGAGGGTGCTGCAGTCAAATGCGTATATAATCGCGTTAAACTTTGCATGCATTGGCTGAACGTTTATAGACGAGAGGGCGCTGTGGTCAAATGCTCAACTGCGTATATAACCACGATCCATACCACACATTCTCTTTCTTGCATGGACCGTTGACTTAAGCAGTGGAGATGCAATCCCACGACTTCTAGCGGATCCAAGCTGATCCGCTAGAACAGTGGTTCTCAAATGGGGGTCCGCGGACCCTCTGGGGTCCGCGAAGGCATTCTAGGGGTCCGCGAAGTCTTGCCTCATTAGTCAAGCCCGGCAATAAAAGTTGTATTTTCTCAGATTGAGAAGAAACATTTCAGTTTTCGGGCGAGTTTTCTCATGTGTATGTCAATGACAGAGGTCTACTTTACACTAGGCCTTAGTTATATCCATTTAATAAATCATTATTATATTTAACCTATACCTTTGCCCTTCTCTCATCACAAACGGGGTCCTCCACTATCTCTGCCGATCCACAAGGGGTCCGCAAAACATCAATGGTTGAGAACCACTGCGCTAGAAAAACCACTGGCTCTGCATCTCACTGACCATAAAGCAGTAATAATAAAGTCGAAACGCAACCCGGAACTCAGCACTACTTATGAGCAATTGAAAGAATACAGCACCATCAGCACTACCTATGAACAATAAAATCAGTATCATCAGCACCACCAGAGCTTCGCCCCAATCAACATCATTCACCACGTGGAGATGCGGCCTCTTTTTATTTTGTCTCTAGCTGCGCATCCCTATCATCATCATTGTTACCATTTTGCTTCTTTCATTTGCCATTCTGCAGTCGTGGACTTGCGCCTCTCGTCTTGTCTCGGTGAATCATGTTTTCGGACTACGCTGGCTTGGACGTCATGGCCCTATCTGTTCTTCCGCCACCCCGAAGTGTCGCTAAAAAGCGCAAAAACTACTCGAGCATAGCGCTATAAAAAAAGGCAGCGATTCTCAAGCTAATAGAAAGTGGCCGAACGCGAGCGAAGGCGGCACTGTTGAGGACTTTTTTACGCCCACTTAGACATAATAAAGCCAAGTTTTCAATCTGCTGACTTTTCGGACTGCTCTATTATTCGGACGTTTTCTCAGTCCCTGCAAAGTCCGAAGAATCTGTCGGCGACTATAGGTTAATTTTGCTCGCTTTCATACAGAAGTGAACCAGACACTTGTGGATTATTTGCTTTGTTCGGTCTCCAATTTGGTGAACAAAGTTTTTGCATCGGAACGTATTGCCAAGTACGTAATAAAGTATACTCCAGAGTGATCTGCTCACAATTCAGCTGTTAAACATGGTGTTTCCTATTGTTGTGATTCATCAAAAGAAGTTATCAAACACTGAGCAGCTTCTTCTATTCTCATTGTTCTTCTTGTCTACGAACCAACCCGCAGATATCAAACAGCAGCACGCAGGGCAGCTTCATCGCCGCGGCCGCAGCCGTGGTTGCGAGCAAGAATGGCGTTGCGGCGGCGATTCCACCCAGTCACCTCATCGCCCACGGCAACAACAACAACAGCAGCAGCAGCGGAAGCAGCGGCAGCAGGCCCGAGAACCATCCGCGGCGCTCTCACCACCACTCTAGTAGCAGCGGCGGCGGCAACGGCAACCAACCTGCGCTGCAGCAAGGTCGCCACAGGGAGCGCCACACGCGGCTCTCCGACGGCGGCAAGGTGCCCCACCACGGTAGCCGCGGCGCCCGGAAGGAATCTTCGGCGTCGGAAGGTGCACGGAGGAGCGAGGGTTCGAAGAGGCCCACGGAGCGGAAGCACTCGCAGCAGCTCCCGGAGCGACCGAACCGTTCGCCGGCTGCTGTGGCGGAATGGCTCATCAAGCACGCCGCCCCATCTTCTTCGACAACGACGTCCACGGCGTCTTCGGCCCCTGGCGTCCCGCAGTTGGCGAGCATCGCTGGAAGTCGGCCGGAAAGGCTGTCGCGCGACGAGGGACGCAGCGGGGCAGTGCCAGCCGTGGTGCTGACACGTGACGGCAGTAGTAAGGTCAGTATGAGTGTGTGTGCGTGGGCGGTTGAGTTTGTGAGTGAGTGATACCTTGAGCGGCTGAGTGTGTGAGCATTGTTTGGTGGGATGGAATGTGTTCAGCTTCCTCGGGGAATATTTGATCGGGATATTGGGTGAGCAGCACCGTGGGTTCGGCAACGTCCGATTCTACCTCTAGTTTTTATTTGATCCTTCCCAAACATGATTGGTTCTTTTAACTTAGAAGCTGCCCCAAGATCTCTTCCTTGTAGATAGACAATTATTGTAAACGCAAGAGTAGTCAGAGCTTCACGAGTGAAAAGGTATTGTATCTTAAAAGTCCCCGCAAGTATGCGAGCATAATTTAAATTCTTTGCACAATTCTTCACCTTTGAAGGAAGTTACATAGCCACTATCTCGGTGACTGCTGAAAGTGGGCGCATTGAGCGGTTCCTTTTTTGTAGTTTCTGTGGCAGCTATTCTTTGAACACTTGCATTCCATTATGATAAAAGTTCCTCTCTTGGCTATCGGGAAAAACAGTTGCCTCGGGGCTCTAGAATTTGGATCAAACCCGACCGGACGTCGATGTCTTCCCTTCCTTCGTCCTCTGTTTTTCTGCTGAGTGCCTGCTAACCATCTCTTTTGAACACTACTAACTCCTCTTTTTTCTCCTTCTTTTTCTCTTCCCTTCTAACCTTTTTCTGTCCTCTTGACTAACAATTTCTTTCCTCTCTCTGCATACGACAACAGCCCTGCACTTTTTTCAGGTGGCTGTCTGTTGAATGTGTCGGTTCTTCTTATTCCGACGACTTGTACTGCCCTTTTTTTCTGTCTGGCATCTTTTGCTACTGCCAGAGCCAGACTTTCAAAGCTTTGGTATCATGCATGCTTTAAAGGGCCCCTGAAAAGGAAAAAAAAGTTTTTTTAAAACAGTCTAATTGGGACACGCGTGTCAAAAAATGAATTTTACGCGAAAAAAAAAATTTTTAGAGCAATATTGACGGCGAGAGATTTATTTGAAAATTTGCGCGCAAATTCCAGGTCATTCAGCTCGGCTTCTCATTGGTAACCATGGTCATTCAAATCGGCTTCTCATTGGCCAATAGAATGAGTGACAGCTTAGATGTTGGTTATAAAATCTTCGTGATCTCTTGAAATCGCCTTTTGAATTACATATTTTTAGGTTTAAAAAACAATCCATCGAATGAATGTCGCAATTGTTTACAAACGTTTTACAAAATCGTAACTTCCGTTCGGATACTACAACAAAACAACAAACAAAAGCTTCGCCATTTTGTTTTCTGTCATGGTCGCCGTCTTCGCGTCTCGCATTCTGAAGAGGGCTTGTTGCTTGTGTTAGTTAGTCATCGTAAGTACTTAGCAAGTGGCGCGGGGTGACAGGTTTCTGTTTTTCTGCTCTTCTTTGCGCGATTCGTGTGTCCAGTTTATCCCATCTTTTGTTTGTTTTCTGGCGCGCGCCAGTGCCAATTTTTGTTTAGATGTCGGTTCCCGTAAAGGAGTTTAGTGAGGCACGCAGCACCGCACTCAACGTTTAATAAAAAAAAAATCAGTTGCCACTACGTGTCCTCGCGGCGGCCTGAAGGATCGTGCGGCTCGGACGAACTCGTCGAGGCCTCCGCTTCGCCGCGGCGAAGCGGGTGCCTCGCGAGCGGTTGTCTTGCGGCGATCGGAGCGGACGCCTTCCGGCTGGCGTGGCGTGTCCTCGTACGGGCGAAGGCCCAGCAGCTGGCAGCGTTGAAGCAACCGACGCTTCAGGACGGGGTCCACCGCGACGACTATGTACTGTGTGTAAGACCACGGCACCACGGTGACCACGGTACGTGCACGATACGACGCGGTACGTCGTGCGACCGGCAGACACAGCGGCCAAGGGCTGTGTTCCAAATCTCCAAACGGTTCCGAGTTTCTCCGGCGGATCGCATCACGTGACAGCACAGATTGAAAAACGCTGTACGCGGGTAGGTTTTACAACGCCAAGGGTACAAAACCCTTACCCTGGGGTAAGATCGAGTAAATTTTGGAACACGGCCAGGAAGTAGCAATGGCTCTCGCGCGGGGCGCAGCCAAGCCAGAAAAGCAGCCAAGCCGATCCGTCACGAAGAGGCGGGGACTACCTCTCCTCCACGCGCCCGAAATGCCGAGAGAGAGAAAAGTGGAAAGGAGGTGACTGCCGACTAAATTGCGTCTGGCGCAGTCAATATTGCTCTAAAAAAATTTTTTTTTTCGCGTAAAATTTATTTTTTGACACGCGTGTCCCAACCAGACTGTTTTTAAAAAACTTTTTTTTTCTTTTCAGGGGCCCTTTAAGAGCTCTACAAGTTTTGACACAAATCTGTTTATGCTGTCGTTTTTTGTGAGAATACTGTTGCGCTCCAGTCAGAATCTAGCTTCCAGTGTTACTACATTTTACAGATGAGGCCTGTAAGGACCACAGCCCACATAGCTCATAGGGACATCATGATGTCACGTGCCTCTGTTTCTGTCACATGGCATCATGCTGTCGTGAGGTCACGTGCCCTGTGGCGTCACGTGATATCACGACCATGTCACCCGAGACATTTTTTGTGCTCTAAACATTCTGTCCTCCCCAGTCATAGAAAAAGTGTAACGCTCGAGCGTGACGAAAAAGCATTGCACATGGGGCAAGGCGCCATAAAGAATGCATAGCCTGCAGCAGGCAATACACAACCGTTGGCGGCGAGCGATGCTCGGTCATAAATACCTAGCCCGCAGGTGACCTTCGGCCTGTGCAGCTCGTTGTAGGCGAAGTGCACCTCTTCACGCGGACTCACAACATCAGGGTGAATCGTAATGTACCAAGGGATAGTGTAGCGGGCACACGACGTCAGAACTTCAGACAAAAGTCAATTGATAGAGTAGTGGACTTTATAAACCTCACCTCGTTGCAATTGTTTCAATTACTGCAAGGAGGGCTCCTTACGATCAAAGAGGTGTAATCCAAGGCTCTGTACGTACCCACAAAAGAAGCAGAAGCTGTAAAAAACTTCTCATTAAAACATGCTCGTAGCACGCTCTATTCCCTAGGGAGTCAAAACTTCTCTAGATTATTCTAATGAATGTGGAGGTCGCAAAAGTGTCGGGTTTGCAGCGCACCCAAAACCACCCGAAGCTCTTTGCAACCAAGCACAGCAAATGGTAATGCACGCATACCGTATTTACTCAAATCTAGGCCGATAGGTTTTACAGCGGAGCTGTTAAGGGCTAGGTTCCCCAGGTCCGTGTCCGTGTATGTCGACACAAGCCTGCCTGGACAGCTACCGCCATCTATAAGCGACGGCAACAAGCACACAACCAGTATGGTTTCCGCCGTCACTCGTAGATGGCGGCAACCTTTCCAGCTATAATAGAAGAATGGATAGTTAGGCGCGTTGGTGGGAATTCATCGTAGGAAACAGTGCGAAAAACAGATTACAGAGAAGCACACAGTGTATTGAGTACAGCTCCGCTGATCTTCCTTCTTCACGAAAGTAAAAAGGTTTTATAAAAAAAAAAAAAAAATAAAGTCGGAACTTGGGGGTTGGCTTAGAGACAAGGATGTGGTTGCCGCCTACACCACTTCGCGGCAATGCCAGCTACCAAAACCAAAACTGCCGGTTTTTTTTTTTTTTTTGCGCAGCTTTCGCATGCACACAAGGGGGGAAAGGGAGGGAGAAGGATGCGATGACCTGTCTCCTTGCCCCCTCCCTTCTCTCCTTCACAAACGCACACACACAAAAAAAAAATGTTTACTTTTGTTTGTTGCTCGCGTCTTTATTTGAAAACGCGGATATAAACCACTTACACCCCCGTCGGCTTCGTAGCCGATATTGTATATCGGAAATAATTGCCTTTCTGTGTTTAATTTATGGTGTTTTACTGTTTCTTTCTGATGAACCTAACATCGAGAATTTTTTATTTTTTTTTTCCTTGTTTTGGGGGGTTAACCTAGAATCAATGCTGGCCTAGAACCGAGTAAACACGGTAATACATGCGCGGCACGTTCGGTGCTTCCTGGGCTTATCAGAATGATCGAGGCAAGTTTTGTCAGCATTATTATATTAAGCTTGTGCAGTTTTAACTAGGGGTGTGCGAATATTCGAAACTTCGAATACTTCACGAATAGTGCCCGCTATTCGATTCGATTCGCTTCGCACTTTTACTGTTCGAAGTATTCGAGTTCTTCGAATATTCGAAAACTACGAATAACTCGAAACTCGCTGGTAAGTCCCAAATCGCGGTCACGTTCCCAGTTTGTTTTTAAGCTGCGCAGTATAGTTTCGAACTTGGCAAACCCCAAAAGCCAACCTAAGTGCCTTTTTTTGGTGTTATTTCTTGTACGAAGCAATGGAAGTGGAAATTATATGCACGCGGTAGCGCGATCTGACCTTCGCTTGCCGCGATATCTGGATTGCGGAGATGGCCCAGTGGTAGTGGCGCAAACATGTACGGAGCCATCGCTGCGATAAATTTGATAAAGGACTACGATTTGCAAGGGCACGTACATCGTCGTGAGCTCTAACGCCACGGACTACAGCCACTCACTCACGTGCACTCACAACTGAACGACAGAGCCCATAGAGACTGGCCAACTGGCCTACAGGGCCAAGGAAGCCAAGGGGCCAAAGTGCTATGAATTTGGATATGGATTACGGCTTACTTTCGGGGATAATTTGTACAGTTGTTATCGTCGTTGCCATGATGGATCATGCCACTCGAGTTATTTTCCGCTTGATTTTCTGATTAATCAGTTTTCCAGTATTCATTTCATTTCTACCCGTTTTCACCGCTCGAAGTGAGACTTGCTCCCTCAGCCGAAAAATAGCCGTATTGCGTCTTTAGCTTTATAGCTTCTTCGTGGCGCCCTCTCTCGGCACAACTATTGCACACGAAAATATATTGCGCAAGGTTAGTTCTGCAGGAGGCTGTGGTGGCCGCGAGGCGCACGTTTTCATCCCTCGTGTCGTGTGCCATGCTTTACGTTCACGTGGTTGCGCTTCTGACGTGGTTGCGCTCGTCTGTGTCTGCTGGTGCTTGAGCTTGATGGAGCCACGACAGGAATCGTCAGGAACTCAACAACCACGGCGGAGTACACAACCTCCTGCCAACACAAGAAGTCTCGTATGGACCCATTTCCGAAAAGTTTGCCAGGGTGAAGCTGTGTGCAACCTTTGCGAAAGCTCACTGCGAACCCCATCAGGCACGACCACTACTCTCGTGAACCATTTGAAACGGCACGCCAATCAGTATGCGGAGTTTCAAGCAGCTGCTAAAGTCAAGCCTGCTAATCAGCCAAGCATTGCTGATGTGTTGAGAAAAACGGCACTGCCGCAAGCGAAACGGGAGGCTTTGGACCTGAAGATTGCCAAGATGGTTGCGCTCGACCTGCAACCGTACACGATTGTGCAAGACCGGGGATTTCGGGATTCATTGAAGGAGGCATGTCCCAGGTTACCTGCCACCATCGAGAACAACGCTGTCGCGCACGTTAGTGCCGAAGTTGTACGACGACACTAGAAAGAAGGTTCGACTTGAGCTACAGAATGCGTTCGAGAGTGGCATGGAGTCTCTCTCCTTTCCTCTGACATGTGGACGTCCAGAGCGAACGAAAGCTACATCAGCCTGACCTGCCACTTCCTGGACTCGCAGTTCAAGCTCACTCGCTACAACTTGAGCACCCGTCACTTCCCAGGGAAGCACACATCAGCTAGAATTGCCTCAATTCTTGATAAGCTTGTCACAGACTGGGACATTCCCAAGGACGTTTGCCCTTTTTACGTGGTGACTGACAACGCTCGCAACATCAGAGCAGCCACTCATGCACTTCCTTGGTGTGAAAGAACTTGTTTTGCTCATACCTTACAACTAGTCATCAGCGACGCGAAAGAGATGACTCCAGGACTTTCTGTACTTTGTAAAAAAGCAAGAGGCATTGTTGGGCACTATAAACATAGCCCAAAAGCTCAGGAGAGGCTCAACTGCTACCAAAAGAAAATGGGCAGATCCCCCCTGCATGTTGTTCAGGACATTGAAACAAGGTGGAATAGTGAATGTGCAATGCTGTCCAGGCTTTTAGAGTTAAGAGAAGCAGTAACCATTGACCTTGTATCTGAAGCGGGGTCAATTGAAGGCTTTACCGGAACAGAATGGAAGGAAATGAGTGATTACGTTGCTACTCTGAAGCCACTAGAAGAAGCAACGACCAATGCTGGAGCTGACAGCTACCCAACCTTGTCAGCCCAAATACCCATCTTGTATTGCATCCTTGCATGCCTGAACAGCTCCATCAGCCAGCAGACCATAACTTCCTCGTTCTCATCTAACCTGGCCAAGTGCCTCAAGACAAGATTTCCTGACTACAAATTTGACCAAGTAGCCAGCTTGGCAATGCTCCTAGACCCAAGGTTCAAGGCAGTGGTCTACGAAGAGGACAGGTCGATGGGGAACTGGCTGAAGAACCTGGGGGTTGAGGAAGCGCAAAAAATCCCTGAGACACAAAGAAGCGCAGGGGTGTCCTCAGAGACAGCGGCCCCTGAAGTTCCGTCCAGGTCAGCGCTGTGGCAAAACTTCGACAGCCTCATTAAACAAAAGCAGCATTCAATGACACAAGCTGAAGAAGAGGTTGCAAGCTACTTGCATGAAGACGTCCTGGCCCGGGAAGAGGATCCTTGCAAGTGGTGGTGTGAGAAGGGTGCCACAAGATACCCCCTGTTGGCTCGACTTGCAAGAAGGTACCTAGCCATACCAGCCACAAGTGTGTCTAGCGAGCGCCTGTTTTCAGTGTCTGGGGGAATTGTGACCAGCAGAAGAGCATCACTGCTCCCAGAACATGTGGAGCAACTTACATTTCTTCATGACAACATTCTGTAACTTCATACTCTGAATCGTGTTTTACTAGTATTACTTTATCTGTCTTTTTATCAGTCACATGTGTGACATTTTTTTTATTGCCATAATAAAGTTAACCTTTTTGTAATTACGTTTGCTGAAAAAGAATTCCCAGTTCGTTTTTGATGGAGTATCCTTGGTTGATTCACATCAAATAAAAAATATTCGTATTCGAAAATATTCGATTCGATTCGATTCGTAACCTTTACTATTCGATTCGATTCGCTTCGAAATATTTTGATATTCGCACACCTCTAGTTTTAACCCAAAGGCGGGCTGTTGTAAACATGACACTGTTATTTCGGGAGTTGGTTTCTAAAAAGGGCTCTGGCTAAAGCATAATGTTCAAAAATTGGATATAGTGGAATACGAGGTGCTGCTGGTTGCCTCGTTTCGTGAGAAGTGGAAAAGGTGATGCGAAGTGTTTTTGGCAAAGCCATTAATTACTATATGGATTTTATGGGAAACTTTTGTGAATGCTGTCGTAATAGAGAAAACCATAAATGTATGTCAAGGTCCTTTTTGCTTTTTTTTAGTATAGGTTACAGGCTCACTTGTTCCAGCATGTACCTGAAGGGAGCATAATGAAAAGTGGAAATCATTTTACATTTTACACACTTGAGGGCTGAAGCACTTCATGTAATTTTATTTTATTGCCTCGAGTGAGTGAGCACCCTAACAACTCTTAATTTGAATGTTACAAGAAAAGCAATAACTGCTTTCCTTGAACCGAAGAGCCCTAAACAGCGCTTTTCTCAGGGCATGTGTGCCGACGAAGCACGTTGTTGGTTCTCCCTGCCGCAGAGCAACCGCGACCGTGATGCCGGGGACCGCCTGGGCCGGTCGGACCTCTCCCAGAGTTCGTCGGGCAACCTCTCGGGTGCCCGGTCCAGCGGGGGAGAGCTGCCGGACTTGCTTCCGCGCCACGCTCAACAGTCGAGGCAACAGGACAAGTCTACCTCAGAAGAGGTAGCTGACTCCACCTACTCTTTCGTTGAAGCAGGCTCTGAACGGTAAAAGACGCTACTCTAAACGACTTCATTTTTGCAAGCTCAATAATTTGTGAAGTTTGGGACATGTGAGTCGAGGGGAACATTTCACATATCAGATTCTTGCACTTGATGGTGTAATGCCATGCATTTGTTAGCGTAAAGTAATAATAATATTCATGTGATATCTTTTTTTTTTGTGTGTGTGCAATAAGTTTATACTGTATTTACTCGCATAATCAACACACCTTTTTTTCCTGAAAAATTTACACATATTTGGGGGGGGGGGGGGGGGGGGGGGCGGGCGGTGTTCAATACACGAGGTAAAATTTTTGCATTTACACACTTCGTGCAAATGTCATATTAGGTGCCAATATGACACCGCAAGGGTTCTGTGGCACGTCTCCAGTGATGGAGGCGCGCCACATTAACCATGCTTTATAATTTGAAAATCCTTTTAGGGCGCTTTTGGGGTGCCTTTTGCCAAAGGAAAAGCGCCCTACGAAGCTCACTCAGCACGAAAAGCAACCCAACCACCACCGTTCTTAGGCGATATATATTGCGAGTACCCGGCGGGCACGCTCGGGTATAATCCGCGACCATGCATATAAGAACTCGTAGGAAGTCCAACCCCAGACCGCCAAAGCCCGCTCACATGGATCAAGTTTCGTTCACGGAGACAGGAACTCCTACGAAGTCCAACTGCCGAAGCCCGCTCGCACAGATCAAGTTTCGTTTACGGAGAGGCTACCAGACACTCTCAGCCTACAGTGCAACGTGCACCTCGCTTTGCCATTCTGCTGCAGATTAAATAAACACATTTACCCGGAGTATGTGAAATTAGCCCTAACTACTTTCGTGATTTCACTCTCCGAAAGCAGACCACAGACGGCGGCTTGTTTGTTGATATCAATGCATCCGATAGGCGAAGAATATCCGGGGCTCTGCAGTGCCTCGACCCAAGCTTCGTCAAGTGTGCGCGACACTCGGTTTCACGGTTGATCACTTCCGTAACTACGGCAACTACGCACTTGGGGCCGTATTTTGTGAGCCACTGTTGTGACGTGAGCGGCCTGGCATGGGTTGTCTTGGCTTGGCCGCTTGGCGGCAAAAGAAAACCGGTTTGGTGGCTTGCTAAATTGGACGCAATTCGAGAATCGCGGATTCGAAAATTGGAGGTGCATTGATTACGGGAGGGAAAAAAATTCAAAATATTGATGCCCGTTGTGGGGGTGTGTTTATTATGCGAGTAAATATGGTAGTCACAAAATTTGGCGAAAATTAGGTCCGAGCGAAAATTAAGTCGTTCATTGTACTTGTCTTCTTGCACATTATCTATGCAATGCGAAGCTGCAAGAGATTTAATACCCATGTCACGCCAGGGAAGCAAATGTTTTACCTATTTGTGTTTCAAGCTGCATCCGCAAATCGGGGAGGCAGGAAATGGCGGTTTTTGTAGCATGAATATCAAAAATTGTTGCGAAAGGTTTTTGGGCCTTATGTTCGATGTGATACGTGAACAATTTCGGGCAGCTATGTCTAAGATCATAGGCTTCTGGTCGCAAGCGCTCAAATGAGGGCCAGTTATAGAAGTCGATGTAACTGCCCATTACATCTTCACTTCTTTCATTCTTGTCACTTGTCTGCCATTATGATTGCAATAGAGGTTATGAGATTTCGTGCCACCTCAGTGTTGTAGGCATCACAGGCTCTGCATGGGTTCATTATTGCCGGTTTCAGTGGCACACCATCTTAGTCAAACGGGAAGGACAGCAATGGAGACTGTAATTTGAAGTGCGTCAGAAACAGGTACTTCCAGACAGGAGACAAAATTACTCTTTTACCGTTCAGTGCCTTTTCATTCTATGCTTCTGTGAAGCCAGTTGTGCAAGCCTAACTCTGCCTTTGCTAAAGTTTTGTCCAACCCTCAGTTAGGTGTTTTGCTCCAAGTAAACATCTCGAACCAACTTGGCTTAAAGTATTGACACACGCTTACTGTGGAATGCTTTTATCTTGCACGAGCATTTGCACATTAGAAGTGTGACTTATAAACTGCACATTCGCGCTTGTATAATCGTGCAAAAGTTGTAATGGCCGTAGGTGTTTCTTAGCGATGCTAGCTTTGTACTCCATTCGCCCCCTAAGCCGATGGTGTGATGGGAGCTATGTGCTGGCTGGACCAGTCAACCGCCTCCCTTTCGTCGCCCGACCCCACTCGCTGGACGTGGGTACAAGCAACGCCTAGAATAATCATAGACCGGGATTTCGACGTCCCCCCCAGCAAGAAGGAACGCAGACCCAGATCAGACGCCGTCGGCGTTCGGCCGAGCCTTGTGTCCATTCAATGCGTCGAGCCCGGGCCCAGTCACCAAGTTGGCGTCGTCCTAGTGTGGGGGCGTTACTTGGAGGTAGAGAAAGCAGTTTGATTGTTTTAGGTGGTGTTGGTACGGGCAGTGGCTTGATCACATAGTGAAAGACGTAACTGTCGGCTTAGGGGTGAACGGAATGTTGTCACACCTGGCCCCAGCTGCTCTGCCGCCGGCTAACCTGCGCCCTCACCGTTGTGTTTCTTCCCCTTCTAGTACCGACAGGCTATTAACAAGACTCCGCCTCAGTTGCAGTTGCAACAGAAGCAGCGATCATTCCTGACGTTCGGTTTTAGCGCGGGGGGCGCCAACGGGGGAGGGGCCCCTCCGACCCCGTCCCCCCGGCGGGAGTCGCACGTCAACGTCAACGTGACCCCAACATCCCACGAGGCGGCCAACAACACCCCCGAGATCCGCAAGTACAAGAAGCGCTTCTACTCGGAGATCCTGTGCGCCGCACTCTGGGGTGAGCCACTTGTTCCCTCTCTTTCTGCCATGTGTTTGTTTTGTTGACAGGTAAGGTCAGGGTGAAAAAAGAAAATAACATTTCAAAACCCTGTGCTTTTTTTTTTCTTTTTTTCGAAGACATTGCTCGTTGACAACACATTTCATCTTTAATCTGCCATGGATGGCATTATAGTGGTACATGTGCAATCCATTTTTAACGATAATGAGAAAATCCAAAATTTTGATTGTTATAACCGATTATTGTTGTATCTGGACTAGAAACTAATCGTTAAATGTGGTATTGTTGCTAGGGGATTGCTCTGTACAAGGAAGGTTAAAGGGACCCTGGCACCCAATATTGCTTTGTTTGTTGAGAAGCTAACAAAAAAAAACAAAAAAAAACAATTTAGATTATGCGCTTGAATCTCCCACTTGAGAGGTAACTTTATGAAAAAACATACCCCCCCCCCCCCTTGTCCTTTTATTTCTTTTTCTAGTTGCTTTTAGGTTGTTAGTATTGTTCCTTATTCATTCTGAACGATTTCACACATGCCTCGCCTCAAGCTGCGCAGCTCTGCTTCTTCTTGCTGAGCACTCTGAGAAATCCCCTTGTATGCGAGCTTACTCTAGAAAAATAATCTTCGGAATCGTGCGGATGTCTCTCGCAATCTTTGTTATCCTGTGCGTATCCTCGCTTGGTCACACAACATTCTTTTGTGAAGCTGCTGCGGCCCCTAGCGCCCCGTCGAACGAGCGTGCGAGATGATGTCGTCTCCTTTCCCTTTCGACGCAGGTGTGAATTTGCTAATCGGCACGGAGAACGGCCTGATGCTGCTGGACCGTAGCGGCCAGGGCAAGGTGTACCAGCTCATCTCGAGGCGCCGCTTCCAGCAGATGGAGGTGCTTGAGGGACAAAACATCCTGGTCACCATCTCGGGCAAAAAGCAGCGTGTCCGGGTCTACTACCTCTCCTGGCTCAAGAGCAAGATCCTGCGCACCGACGCCGTGAGCCTTCCTTGCAGTCACCCGCACTCCCAGTGTTGCGTCGGCGCCTCTGTTGTTACGTCTAGAGCCACTGGATAGGCTACGTTGATGTATTGGAACTTCATTCCTTTATTGTCTTACGGGTGCCACTACTTCGTTGCCTATGTTTGTTGCAGGTTGAGAATGGTGGTAGAAGCCCCTTCCACAAAGCTCTCTGCTTGCCAGGATTGGTAGTTTCCAGCTTTCCACTTGCCTCCTTTTGATCATTTGCTCTATGAAGTGGCAAGAGTGTAAGGCTTTGTGAGGAGGAACCTGGCCCATTATTCTTAGCCTGCTACAGACCATAGTGCAGAGAGCATGCAATTGGCAATGGCAACAGTTAAAATAATGTGACTTCCCAAGGTTCAGATACGGCGTTGGGAAACTCCAGCAATATCGTTTCGCTCCGTCGTGGACCTTTTTACCATTTCTGGTGGACGGAAAACGGTTCCATGGGATTCCGAGTGAGGTTTCCGATCATGATTTTAAGCAATGCGACGGCCGAAGTTCTGTTACTCTGAAGCGCAGCTTGTTCAGTGGCTGTAGACGGGGCATCTTGGTACGGCGCCTGGAACATGTCTGCGACTGACGCATTTACCGTGACCGAGAAAATGGTCCAGTGATTTATGCCCGGTGACGTCTTAGAAGCGTTTAGTCGTCACCAGCCGCGATCCCGGCGGCGGCGCCATGGCAGCGGGGGATGTTGCAGACGCCTGCTTTGCTGCGGGTCGCTCTCTAGCTTGACTGTCCACAGAAGCTTCGCCAGCCACGAGTTGAAAACCCCGCGACGACGTCGTACCATACTCGCTGGCGCTTTTGGCTGAGACTTCTTGCGCCTATCACCGGGATCGCGACGTCCAACGGTTTAGTGCTGCGGCTTTTGTGACATCGTTTGTTGCCATTTAGGGTCCACTTTTGATGCGTCGGCCGAGCAGGACGCTAAGCACTCTGGTCGAAGACATGCCCCGGGCTTCTTAGTTTTAGCTTGAGGAGAGACCAGGGAGGGAGCAAAGTCTAAGGGAACACTAAGGCCTCGTTCACACAGCCAACTCCTCACCTTGTTTCGGCACCGGCACGGGAAGGCGTCGTGCCGAGAACAGGACGGTAAAGCATTCAAACCGGCGGCAACGGAGCTGCCGGCGGTGGCTACATGAATGGATATGTGGTGGGCTGTACCTTCTATATTGGGTGGTAGCTTGCACCACCTCTAACCCTTCTATGCCTCCCTTTAAAAAACTGCGTCAAACTTTTGTACCCTGTTAGACTGTTGAATCTGGTATGCAACTTATTTTTTTGTGCGCAATTTCACAATTGCCTAGATCTCCACACACCTATCTTGTAACCCCCTCATAACTGCTTGGAGCTTGCGTTTGGGTCGGCATTAACGATCTTTCATGTTTTAAATTTTTTTATTAATGTGTTAGCATTAATACTTATATGGCAGGGAAAAGCTGACGGCGTCTGTCTGCGGACAAGACAGTGGAAAGGGAAGCGTGCCGCGTAGACAGGAGGAGAGTAGGGAAGGTCAAAAGTGAGAGGGAGGCGACGTCACAAAGCTGAAGCCAATGCGCGCTCAGATGCTGCGGCGAGTCTGAACTTGCAGCAGCGTCGGGCAGTGGATGCTCCTGCTAAGCGTGCATGGCGGGCAAACGAGACAGAGAAGCGTAAGTAGCGCCTAGCTCGGCTGGTCGAAATGTGGCGCAAGAAACGGCAAACCGACACGGGTCTTTGTGCAACAGAAGCCGGAAGAAATTAAATGAGGATCCATTGGTGGATCCTTAGGGAATGTGTGAGAATGATTCTTGGGAAACGCCACACACTTTGGGAAATGATAACAGTGACCCCGTAACGAAACCAACAAAAGGCAGCAGAAAATAGAGGAAGCAAGAGAGAAAAGTAGGGGTCAGCGTTAGCATTTCCCAAAGGGGGACATGTGGTATTTCCAAGGGTCATGCTATTGCATTCTCTAAGGATCCACCAATGGATCTTTCTTTATTATTTGTCTCTACTTCTTCAAACGAAAACGACCGGTCCAACTGTGAGCATACTTTGCGTCATTCACTCGTTATGCCAAATTTCTTCCCCTACGATCGACCACCACATTTTCTTTCCTTGGCTGTCCTTCCTTAAAGGGGCCCTAAACCACATTCTGCTATAGTCTATTTGTGGTCATACCTCAGTCCAGGGATGGGCAGTATCTCAAATAAAAGTATTTGAAATACGTATTTCAAATACTTTGTGTATTTTGCATTTGTATTTAATTACAAATCGGGTAGTGTATTTGACGTGGGTATTTAAATACTAAAACAAGGGTATTTCAAATACAATTGTAATTAAATGCAATTTTGTGGGCGAAAATACATTTCTCAAATTTATTGTCACTGCCCAGAGCAGGAAGAAAACTACGTTCTGCATCGAATGCAGTATCTCTCAATCAAGCACAAGCGTTTTGTGACTTTGTGATTACGTTGCTAGTCCAGGGCAGGAATAGTGACGAAATCGACGTTCACAGGCAGTGTTCAGTATGTAGAAATCCTGCTTATTAGTTAAGGTGATTTTTGTTAGAAAAGTTGCTCTTTCCAGAGTTGTGTCGGCATTGTTTTTTTTTTGTTTTTTTTTACTTTCTATGTTGGTGTCTGTGCTTTGGGGGGAGCATGTGCAGAAGCATCGCGGCCCAGGTGGGAGAGTTTCCCTTGCGGTCGTTGAAACGTCTCGGGTTTCGAGAGGCGGTGCGGGGAGAACTCGTGTTTGGAGCTGCTTGCGCTTTTAACCGAGTGTGTCTGTATATAGAGGGTTTCGTCGCCTAGTATAAAATTGTCGCTTTTTGCCCGATGTAATAATTTAGCTGCTGGCGCCATTCAGTCTGCGTAAAATGCAGGGGTTGACTCTAGAAAGAATTTGGATTTTGCGGTTGGAGCGCCAGGCTGACAGCTCGCCGACCATTGGAGAACAGTGTACCACGTGGGAGTGGTGAAATTTGAAGGGATTGGTCGGTCCCCGAGGGGAAAGGAGGCCCTGGGAGTCAACAAAAGGATCCCCGAGAGGATTTTGGGAGGATTGGCTTTGATTCGATTTTGGGAGACTAGGAACAAAAGTATGGGGTTTAATTTTGGGATTTTAACTCACTGTTCAGTTGTTTTGTTTTATAATAAACGTGGCCACACTGGCCACCGTAAAGTCAACCAACGTCGCAATGTGTTCAGCGGGATCGAAAAACTTTTAGTTCTTTTTTTATTATCAACTTCCCGGGGGGCTGTCATCGGGCGAGCACCATCATCGGTCGTCACCATCCGGACCAGGACGCGCCCATCCCCATACCACGAGGTCCCGGCAGACTGACTAAATAAGTGCCTGTAACAACTTGTGATGCTTTCCAGCCTGATTTCCATCCATATTTTTGCCTGGAACATTCTATGCGCGGGTAAAAATAATAATAATAAAAAAAAACATAAAAAAATTATCTAGCTAGTGCTGCGCGTCTTGGTCGTCTCGGTTCTTTGTTGGTCTATACCAAAATGTAATCGACAAAAAAAGCTGCTGCTTGAAGCTCTGTACTTTTTTCACCTATTACGTCCAAGCTGATTGCATTTTTTGTGATTATATTTCTATTACGTTACTAGAGCCTCGCACACTAACTCCCGAGTGTGCGATGCAAAATTAAAATGAGATGTCCAGAAACCCGTTGCAGGTGCCCTGAAGTCGCTGACGCAAATTTTGAGGAATGTATTTGGAAAAGTATTTGGAGGAGACCAAATACATTTGGTTGTATTTGTATCTTGTATTTAAATGCTTTTTTTGGAAATGTAATTAGATTTGTAATTAAATACATTTTTGACGAAGTATTTTGTATTTGTATTTCAATAAATATTTGCATGTATTTTGCCCATTCCTGCCTCAGTCTATAGGCTTTAAGCATACTAAAAAAAAAAAACATGACATTCGTTCATGGCCGATTTCTCTATTAAAATAGGTATCAAAAGATTGACACCAAAATGGCGCCATCAAACAAGGAGGGCAGAGCTCCGCCCTTTCTCGTGCAACAGCACCATCTGGTCTGAGCAACAGTTCTGATATAATCAATCTTTTCATACCGATTTTAGTAGAGAAATCAGCCGTGCATGAATGTAATGTTACCTTTTTTAGGATGCTTAAAGCCCATTGAACATTTAAGTCTATTGTAAAAAAACCAATGAGGTCACGCCATTTAGAGCAGCAGCTCAGCTGTAAATATAATTTGCTGTAGGCCCGTTGTCGAAGAGCCGTAAACAACAAACAATAGGCATGTCATCTCACTAATAAGGTAAGGTCCCGCTCCTTCCCGAAAAGAGCTTCGTCATTGGGGCACTCTACGGTCAATCCTCCCTCCAGCGGGCGTACCCGTGGTTTCCCGACTTGAAAATCCGCCAGATTGAGGGAAAGTTTCCTATTTTGGGATTGGTCTTCCGCCTTCGGGGTGGGCATAGAAAATTGTCCTTCGGCTACGGTGGCAACATTTCAAGCCAAAACCGGCCCGAAAATTCTCTCCCCCCGCACGAATGTCTCTCGGCACGGCACCGTAAAGGGAGAAAAGCCGGCTGCTTGAATGGGGCAAGTCTAAAGGCGCAGTCCCTCGGGCGTGACAAGAAACAAACTGCTCTCGGATGGGGCAAGGGTGGCAGAGTGTGTCAGCTTACTGCAGCTTGGAACAGGTGGAGAAAATTCTTGCCCTGCGAAGCCCAGTGAGCCCCGATTCGAGCCCAGTCTCTGCCAGCTCCAGTATGGACGAGCATTGTTGTGGCTTGCGGTTGTGTAATCACTACTGCACGATGCACACTAAAGGCCCCGGGTGAACGGTTGTACTGCACTCGCATAATCTCTACTGAATAGCACCGAACTACTACGAGTGCCTAATCTTGAGGATGGATCGACCTCTCGTCGTTTAGTAAACATTAAACATTTTTTGCTTTCTTGGTGTGTTTTCTTTTTCTGGTATTTTGTTTTTTTATGACACTTTTTTTTTTTTTTTTCGCATTCAGCAAGTGGAGAAGAGGAATGGCTGGATCAATGTTGGTGATCTCCATGGTGCTGTGCATTTCAAGATAGGTGAGCAAATCTTTTTTCTTTTTTTGTTACCATATTATGCCGGTGTGCAGTTCTGTACATGAAATGGGGTTTGTTTGTGCATCATTTCATTTTTCACAGCTTGAGAAGAGTGCAGCATTAGCAACATGCTGTGTATTTCCTCTACGGGTGTTCTTTTCTTCCTTTGGCACAGGCTTCTCTTATCCCCATTTGGGTTTTATGTAGGTCAATTTGGTGTCGGCAATGGTTCGTTTTATGGGTACTAAGTCTGTGATGAATAAAGTTGGAACACAATATGAATTCAATATTGTCAGCTTATGAATACTGCAAGTTCACGTGAAGTTCAAAAATTTCCCTTTCCATCTTTTTTTTTTAACGTTTTCTGATTTTTTTTTTTTTTGTCTAATACAAAGAACTTATTGTTGTGCATAAGTGTGTGCTTTTTTGGGAGACAAAATTGATTTATTGTCAGATGTCTTGTAAATTATAGAAATTAATTGCCAGTAATGTAATCAATTGTGTACGTTATAACTAACTCCTGGAATCTAGAATCCAAAGTTTTTAGCCAAATTTCAATATGCAGTGTATGCTTGCTTCTATTTTGTGCCAAAGGAGATAGAGAGTAACACTTCATAATATCTTTCCTTGCATCTGCTTTGAAACCCCTGAAACATAGGTCATCAAAACTAAGTAATTAGCCACACACTCATTTGCACAAGTATTGCGCAATCATGAATCTAGCAAAAGTAAGTTTAAGGGTGTCAAATCAGATTACTGGTCAGCAGAAAAACAGACTGAGTTATAGTTTACTTGTTATGCACAGTAGCTTAGCTGTTGTGACTCGTCATTTTGCCCTACCTAGGTTTTTTTGGGAGACTGAGGCAAGAGCTTCAGCTTCAGCAACAGCTTCAGACAGTATTCAGCAACCCTTGCGCCGTCATTTTTGTACTACTGAGCACAGAAAGCTAGCTTACATCCATTCTGGCCACGCAAGCTTCTCAACGTTGGACTTTAGTGCGTTTTGAGCGACTCCGCGCTCACTCTCACGTTCCACAATCACAATCGGCACAACTGCCGAAGGGCCAGATTACTCGCACGTTCTGAACTCGCACGCATTCCGCAATCACGTGCAACGTGGCAGGAGATCACTCGACCGGGCTCATCGAACGACTGGTATAAACGGTGGAACCAGCTTTCATTCATTGTTCCTTTCCCATTGTGCCTCCGAGCCACATAGTTTTCCGCAACTCGCACACTTCTTGATAATGTAACCGAGCTTTCTTTTCATATGCCTATGGTACTTTCTCAATTCCCAAAAGGTATTTTAGCTTGGTTTCAAGCAATAGTATATTTTAAAGGAAAACAATTATTTTGAAAACTTGCTATATTCATGCCAAAACAGTGCGTTTTCCCGTCTCTTTGGCCCAAGTGGATGTCATTTTTATGACCTGCCGTTGCCTAGTATGAGGCGCCTGCAGCCAAACAAGGTTCCGACCCGCACTCTTCGTTCCTCGTCTGGCACACTTTACGAAACTTCACAACAGCAGCCTACGATCGGTCTTCCTCAGAAAGTTCCTCCGCACTAACCGCGGCTCCCCGCCGATTTCCCTTCTCACAAAAGTCGGTAACTTTGGCGAACGGCGAGCAAAACAATTGGCGATGGGTAACTCCCGAAAATGCACTGGCCAGCCAGTGAAGTCTCGACCGTGTGTGTCTGACCTAAGAGTTTTAAAGAGAACAAAAAAGAAAAATGAACACCAATCCTCTGTGTTGTGTGTAAACTTACCACTGCCACTTTCTACAAAAAAGTTGTGTAAGATTGGAAGAAGGTGGGAGGGTGTATTGACTGCACCACGGTTCTTTGGTTGGCAGCTGCCAGGTACCCCATGCCAGGCCATTTGCGGGTTCTTTCCTTCGCTTCATTTTATTATTAATCCGCCCAAATATTCACACGTATGTGTGTGTATTAGCCACTCGTTGGCCACATAAACTCTAGCCACCACCTTTTCAAATTGGATATTTTCTGCGTCTTAAGTTCGGCCCTCTTGGTGGGCCAATGTTTTTCTTTCGGGAAGGGCTGAACGATCAAAAAGGCAGTGAGAAATTTGCAAACGTGGACTGCTTTAACTCTTACACGCTGTTAAAATCAGAGCTGTCATACCCGTCCCTCTTTTCTTTTTCTCTTTTTTTGCTTCGACACCCGAGCCTTAAAACTGAGCGCGACAGCGAAGGTTTCCTGCAGCCTTTGGCCTCACTCTTTCTCTTGTTCCCCTCTCTTTCTTTCTCCCCTCTCCCACCTGTGGCCACTTTGCCACCTCACCTGTTCCCCCCTCCCCTCTCGATGAGGACAGTGGTGTGGTCAATCCCCCAGCACGATCTAAAGGAGTGGGAAAATACCTTTCGAATTTGGAGTGGCAACGGTAACTAGAGGACTCTGTTTCTCTTCCTCCTTTCTACCCGAACTCCTCTCCCCTCTCGTGCTGTCTGCTTCTCTTGCTCGCCTGTGCTCGAGTCGCAAGTCCGCCTGCTGAGGTTCCTTCTGGTTTCAAAACTGGGATGTGAGACTAAGAGGTGGAAACCTGTTCGTAGCAACTTGTCTGTGCTGCACGCAGTCTCTATGGCGTGGCCACAAACTATCTTCAACCACAAGGCCAACTACAAATTCTCTGTGCAGAGGCTGATCAGAAAGTCCAATCACAGAGTTTGAGCTTGATTACAAAATCCGACCCCAAAGTCAAACTCCAGAGACAAATTTTAAAGTTGGATCCCAGAGTCCGATCACAAGGTTTGGTTACAAAGTTCAATCACAGTTTGGTCATTAAGTCTAATTCCGAAGTCATCAGAAACCCCTGGGTCTAATTCTACCTAAAGTCCGATCCCAAAGTCAAACCCCTAAATCGGATTTTGTCTAAAGTCTGTTCCCAGAGTCCAGTCATAAAAGTTTGGTCACTAAGCTTGATCACAAAGTCCAATGCCAAAGTCAATCCCCACAGTCTGCTTCTATCAAAAATCATTCCGAGAGTCCAATCAATACAAAATCCCACCACAGAGACCGATCACAAATTCTTATCACGAAGTTCGGTAGCAATGTAGTGGAATGTTCGATTGAAGAGTTGAGCAGCCATCTTTGCAGTCTGCTATATTATTGCCTCTTCGAATTCGACCCTTTGGGTAGCTTGTACTACTCATATTGATAAAGCCATTGGAACGAGAATGAAACTTTCGGATAAGTCCTATTTTAAAACTCATTCTACGAGAGACATTACTAAAGGCTTTATTTGAAAGTCAACCCTAGGAAGCTGGATGAAAAGAAAGTTTGTGGTCAGGTCACTTTTGGTTGCATGGGCCTTGCAGTGTGTAGCTGTCGGCAACGTCTGCATTTTTACTTGTGTACCTTATTTATTGTCAGGGTGGGGCAGCAGAGCCCTTGTTTAAAAATAACAAGTGTCTGGTTCAGCATGTGACAAAAATATTTGCCAGGCACAAAAAGCTGATTAAGAGAATGAACTAATATGAGATGGTCTAAAATACTACTATCAAAACAGTGTTATTCCTTTAAAAAAAAAAAGGTGTTTCTTTATTGGTTGACGCACTGGTTCATAGGTACATCTAAACCTAAGTAAAACAAGTCTGTTTAATTTTTTTTTTCTTTTCATGTGTGTCCTGCTTTTATTGAAGTGTGTTTATCTTAATTACTCCACTTCGCTAACTAGATTTGAGCTGGTGTAGTGCTTTGCCAAGGTCTTTGCCCACTGTGCATGCACATATTGGCAGCCTTTGGGAGAAAACAACTTGCTAAAGCGGGTTTCAACTTGAATTGTCTAATATTTCTTGCTTCACGTCTTTGCCACTGAATGAGCAGCATCATATATTCCTTCAGCGCATATCTGAGGGGTGTTTTCTAGAAAAATAAACAGTAGCCCAAAATCTTCGAAAGCTGAACATAACCTAAAGCTATGACTTCAAAATGACAAAATTCTAAGATAATTAAATAATCCAGACAACTAATTTCTTTGTATTCCAATTTAGCTGTTTTTGTTTGGTCACACTTTGAGGACATTTATTTTTCGTCCAGGGCAAGGAGATTGCTGAAATATCCTTTCACGTGCACTTTTCTCTTTCTTTCCTTTTTTTTTTCTTGTTTTAAAGGGATGGTGAACCGAAATTTGGATTCCCAAAAAACAATTCAGGAGATGTAGGCGGGACGCTACAATCCCTACAACACTACTAGTAAGGCGATATCTCAAATGGACGGCCGTATTTTTGGAAAAAGAGGTTGAGATTGAACCAGGCCGACGAGGCGCGCGACGTCAAGATATCTTGTTTCCTCCTCTCTAAGCTTCACTCCCTCAAGGCGGCGAGGTAGAGAAGACGCAAGGCCATTCCCTCTCCTTCTCGGAAAAACATGACGTCAACATTTCTGCGAAATGCGCCTCCTTTTTTGAAAAATACGGTCACCCATTCGAGATATCGCTGTATGAGTGATGTTTTGGTGTTTGTAGCATCCCGTTGCACGCTTTTGCCGCGTGTTCTGGGGAATCCAGATTTCGGTTCAGCATCCCTTTAAAGGGGTACGGAAGTGAAATTTTAGCGCCTATTTCTTTGTGCAGACATGGTCTCTTTTATGACAGGAGCTCACAAACACCAGTCTTCCATCCGTAAACACTAGAAAAGCAATTTTAAAATGAATAAAACTATTTCCCAATATTACCTGATAGTTAGGAGGCCGAGCTATATCAGAACGTCTGACGTCACAGATCTATTAATAGCAGCGCCATGGTGCAGTAATGTCCAATGGAGGCGACCAGGAATGAGCAGTGCTTGGCGCATCTCTCAGTTGCAGGAATACCGTACCTCGGGTATTCTGACTTGGCGAGATTGTAACACGATGATGAAGCTGGCACCACCAAGTGATGCTGATCGTAATTAAAGTACCCTGGGCCGTTCATGGGTCTGTGACGCTGCGAGCCTGACGTCGCGAGCAAATATCTTGAGACGCTTCGGGCCGCTGAACTTCCTTTGGTTGGAACGGAAAATATAGCCATCCACTTCAAATACAAGCGTATGATTATCATTTACAGATATTTTGGATCATATTTCATCCGTTCCGAAGTGTTTCAACGATATTTCAAGTTTCGATTCTGTACCCCCCTTAAGACTTATTTGTGTTTGAGAAAAGAAGACAAAAAATGTTTGGATCCTGTTGCTAGCTTGCCTATTTTGCCCGACCTCTTTGATTCGTTTGCAGACTTTAGTTTGGGTTCATTCACAAGTTATGACGTTGCTTAACAGCAACGTTTTCAAAAGATGCGCAACTAAAATCCTAAAAGACCTCACTGAATGATCCTTAGGTGGTTGAAATTGATCCTCAATCCTTCGTTGGGGCGTGCCAGATGCCCTTTGTTGGTTTGGCATATAAAACCTCCAAATTTGACTTTTGAACCCTAAAGAACAGTTGCATTTCTAAGTTATGTAAACCTCAATTAAACTAAATTTGCGACCCACCGAAACGTCTTATCCCATCACTACCACTTGGTTATATCAGGGTTCAACTGTAAAAAAAAAAAAAAAAACACATTCTAGCTAAGCACTCTGTGCCAGACAAACTTTCAAGTAGGGTCTGTTAATGGCAAGCCCGTCAATATGTTATACTCTTCTAGAGTTACTGGAAAACTAGAAAAATGGCCTTTCCCTCCTTTTCAAATTCAAGTTGGCCTTGAACTTGAAGGACATCACTTATTGGAAAAACCCTTGTGTGCTACACAGATTGCAAGAAGGTCGCAGCCCTACTGTTCTGATGTGAATGTGTATATTTGTTCAGTCCCAATATCAAAACAAAGTGGTATTAAAATTTTCCGGTTTGTTAGCCTGTTATAGCTTGTCAGCCTCACATTCAACTGTGTAGAAAGAAGGCTGTACTTAAATTTTTAAGTATTTTCCTTAACAAACAGCTAGAGTCTCAATTTGTCCATGACCATCACTGTTTTGGATTGATGTTAACCCAGTAAGGATGTTGCCAGTTGGTTTGCTTGTGTGCTTGCTGATGGCGAGAAGAGAATGCCTTTTTGACCCGACTTGTCTAGTTGTGAAAACCACACCTGTCATCCTGTTTTCTCCTCTATCGTCGTGGATTGTTAACCAGCTGCCTCATATCCAAAATCATCCCATGGTCCCCAGAACTTTACTGTGTCATTTCCTATACTCTGTGTTTGCATCTCTCTGCATGCAAGCATGCATGCTTTTTTATTTCTTTTATTTGCTTGCATGTTGATTAGGTGTATGGACCATGCCATGGCATTATGACTGTAAGGACACTTAGAATACAAGGCCTGCTCGGCAGACAAACAAACAAAAATTCACTTTTTTAAACATTTTTATCAACTTTAATTAAAATTCAGGTTTACTGCAAATGGAGGTCTTTTCCCTACCATGTCTCTTTTCTGGAAAAATGCATTCTGTTGACCAACAAAGATGATGTGGCAGGTAGCTTTTGATGCCATTCGAGTTTAACGGCACAAGCTTTATCACATTGGTTCCACCGACAACAGGCCTCGTGTTCAAAGTAAAGACACATAAACACGCTTTTGCACCCTCACAATCGGGAGATTGACCGCCGCACGTGCACGTTGAGCTGACATGGAATTTTGTGGGGGTGGCTTGCAGTGAAGTATGAGCGCATCAAGTTCCTGGTGATTGCGCTGCGCGAGAGCATTGAGATCTACGCCTGGGCGCCTAAACCGTACCACAAGTTCATGGCGTTCAAGTCCTTCCCCGAGCTCACCCACAAGCCCCTGGTGGTCGACATGACCATTGAGGAAGGAATCCGGCTCAAGGTGCGTGGTCGGCCCCTCCGAGAGCCACTAGATAAGCTACGCTTCAGAGTAGCAACACTTCATGGATAGACAGATGAATGGATGGGAACTTTCGTATTGGGTGATAACTTGCGCCACCTGGCGTTCCTCACTAGTTGTGCAGAGTGCTAGCAAAGCTACAGGGGCGAGAGCGTAACCCAAGCAGTTGGAGAGGAGGGGAAAGGGGGAGCCTCCTCTTGCCCAGACAATCTTTCGTGTACCCTTCCCCCTTCCCAGACACTTTTCACCCCTTTGGAGATTACAGGGTGTCTAGTGACCGGGAAAGCTGGGATTGTCAGGGAAATTTTAATTACTGGGAAAAATCGGGGAATTGTCAGGGATATTGTCAAAAAGCGAGCCCTGTCAGGGAAAATGAGCCGGAAACGCGATCGAGTGCCCTGAGCAAAGACTTGAGGACTAGGCAATAGAAAAATAGGCAATAAATTCTGGTTAGAGCGGAGCACAGGCTCCGCTCGCCCGATGTAGAGTGTGCTACCCGATGCAAAGGGAACAGCCGACAAATCCGGTCCAAGCCTTGGATTGGATTGAGGGCGCGACACTAGGCTACATCCAGTTAGAGCTACTAGATTGAGTAACAAATGGGGAAGGCCGCAGACCCCAATCCAAGCCTTAAGCCGAAAGTATCCGAAAGTGTGTATCTGGCGGCCATGCTTCCATTCGGTTATTGACGTGTGTGGTTGAGCGTCGTGTTTTCATCATGTTTTCGGAAGTGGCCTCTTTACGGACGATGTCGGCGGCAAGAAAGTGCTCGTTTAATCCGGACTGGACGAACCCGAATATTTCGGAATATGCAAGTTGGATTAAGCCCGTGTGAAATGATCCTCACAGTGCTCAGTGCCTTGTGTTCTAAAGGTCTTATAGTATATTTAACCGCCTCTGCAGTTGACAGAGAATTTCACCTGAAATTGTCAGGGAAAACCTGGAAAAGTCAGGAAATTTCAAAAACATTATTTGCTAGACACCCTGGATTAGCCCATTGCTCATAATTGGTACAAAAGCAACTTCTCTTTTTTTCCTCCCGTGGCATTCACAGCACCACTGGCTAGTTGCGCCTAGCGAGCAGATGAAGCGACAGTTTAAAAATATTTACGTTCCTCCCCCTTAAATTTTGCTCCAAATTCTGTCTCTCAATAAAAAATCGTCCATTCTACCAATTTCGTGGATTATCTTGCTTCTCTAAATCTTCTCCACCAATCTTCTAGCCTCCTTTTTGCAATTCTAGTCCTGGTCTTCACCATTCTTCCATCCTGCCGGCAAAACCTGGCACTCTGCCGTCACATGTTACTCCTTCAGGGTGGGCAGGACGAAGCCCCGTACACTTTGAAAACCACATGCTCTAGCGTCTCACTCTCACTTCATCTTTGTGCTTATTAAAATCATTGTTGCAGTTATCTGAAGCCTTATGGTGAAATCATTGAAAAAAACACTTTTCTATCCTTAAAATTGTTAAATGGGGGTGCCCGTAAGACAGTTGGGGAATGGAGGACCGATACTGCTGATACAGAGCAGCAGCGAGATTGTTGCACGCTTAAAAAAAATGAAAATTCTCTCAATCATTACAACAGCTGTGGCCTAGTGAAACTGGCTGGTGAGATAGGTCTATTACTTTTAGTGCACAATTATTTGAGCAAATTAAGTTTTTTTGCTCATATCTTACACAACTTTCTATTTTGATTCTTTCTTTTTTCTTTTTTTTTTTTGTGAAGAGCGGCATTAATTGATTTTTGTACTTTCAAATGTTCCTTAGTTTTTGTGTTTTGGACTTCCCAGTATTTTGTTTTTTCCGTAGTTATCTGCTTCTATGTTAAAGGGGGGGATATGGCCTGGGAGGGTCAACTTTTGAACCCTTCACCCAATTTGATTCAAATTTTGAGGGTTATTTAAGCACTATGAGGACGGATAATTGTGTAGTGATCGCTTACGAAGAGAAGAAAGAGGAGCGGTCACAAGACTCTAAAACCAGGATCGCGAGCAGCGAGACCACATTCAGAACGGCGTAAGCCAAACTGTAGATATTGTAAATAAAATACCAATTTGTAGAGGTGCGTGCCTCTACATCATGTATTTTCAATTTGTAGAGGTGCGTGCCTCTACATCACATATTTTATTTACAATACGTGATGTAGAGGCACGCACCTCTACAAATTGGTATTTTATTTACAATATCTACAGTTTGGCTTACGCCGTTCTGAATGTGGTCTCGCTGCTCGCGATCCTGGTTTTCGAGTCTCGTGACCGCTCCTCTTTCTTCTGTTCGTAAGCGGTCACTACAATTGCAAAGTTTTAGCATTATCGGTCTACTTAAAGAGCAACTCCGCTTCATTTTCGATATTTAGAAAACCATTCAGCCCTCTTCAGTATCATATAAGAAGACCCCATGTCAAATATTACAATCTAATTCCGTCTCTATATTTAATAAACTGGGCAGCAAACTTTCCAACGAGCCAAGTCGCCGAAATCTGCTAACTCTAGCGTGCGATGGGAGGTGCAATCATCAGCGCAGTCAATGTGACGGAGTTGGAGCGGCCAACAGAGTGCCACTACGTCAGAGGCGTGTCTACGTCATCCTCACGTTTTGTTTGTTTTTACTTCTCAGAGCAAAATGGAACGATGACGTCATGAGTTTCTCCTCCCGGTGTTGGCTAACGGCGTCCACGTGATCACCGTAACGCGGATGCACTAGTTTGCGCTGCCCTGCGCGTTTATCGGTCTTGTTCCCCATGTCCGGTTTCTCCGCTCCCCCCCGTTCCTCTCTCGTCTTCTCCCCTTCCCCCTCTCCCCCGGGCCATCACCGTCCATGCCATGCGAAGCGAAATGCCCGTGTCGTGTGTCCTGTACCTCGCCCCCCCGAACGTCACAAGACCACGTGGTTCGACGTGACGTGGCCATGACTCTGACGACACAAGAGCAGTGTTGCCTGACGCAACCTAAGTTTCGGTTTCGGTATCTGCTGATGTTTAAATTAAGATTACACAAAAAATATTCCACATTTCGTGAATCCGAAGATTTAGAGCTGTTTAGTAGTGCTTTGTGAAATCACATGTAAGCCTATATTTTTCGGAATTGAGCAAAGTTGCCCTTTAACAGTATGCTACGGTTCTTGCATTTCAGAAAAGACACTTCACTAAGAACATAATAGCGCTTCACGACAGGGACGAAGGGTAGGAACAAGACAACACAATGCGCTATGTGCATTGTGTTGTCTTGTTCCTACTCTTCGTCCCTGTCGTGAAGCGCTATTATGTTCTCCAAGTTTCAGTACCTACTCGCCCAAGAATCCGCATTATTCACTAAGAAGTCTATCGTAGAAAAGTAATATTAGCTGGTGGCCAACTTCTTGCTTTAATGTGAAGAACAATACCAACAGTGCAACCTAGATTAAAAATGAATTGCAAAATATTCAATTATGACAAAAATAACATCCCAAAATTTAAAAAAATATATATATATATGTATAACATTTTTGTGTTAATTTTTTTTTTTTTTTTTTTTTTTTTTTTATGAAGGAGTAGTTTTTTTAGCTGTGATGTAGTCTATCTTGTTTCCAGCAAATTTCAGTCCCAGAGAACCTTGAATGATGTCTCTCTGTATTCAAAATATCAAACGATAGCTTTCCTAAAACAAGAATTCCTGCCAAAAAGTTAAACTGAGAAAAATGTGTTAAAAGTTTCAACTTCTGTTTTTTTTTTTTGGACAATGCCAGAAACTTGATATTCACCCGAGTCATTGGTGGCACCTTCAACTACATGAGCGTCGGGGCCCCCGAAAGGATTTGTGAGCTTTGTGAAACTGATGCCACAGTCTCTTCCAACGACGCGGAGACGCACCGCGAGTTCGTTCGCTCGAAACCTGCCGATTGATGGTGAGTGTGGGGTCGCGATGACGTCTCCGCAAGTCGAGCAGCTAACAACAAACTGGAAGTTGATGCCAATTCTTTCTCGCAAGCTCGGTAGTTCTCTATGGTATTTGGGGCAGAGTAAAATCGCAACAAGAGCTTGCACGGTGGACACATTGAGGAGCCATTTAGGGGCTTTTCAACGAAAGCGTCTGTCGGCCCCGCGTCGAAATTGAGCAGGCTGAGCTTCCTCTCGATTGTAGTCAGCACATCCGATTCAGAGGAGGCATGAAGCAGATCGGCATTCCTAATGAAGCTGTAGGCTCCGATGTCCGCAAAGCACCAGTGGAGCTTGTAGATCGTGACAACGGTGGCAGAGACGGCAACGATGGTGCCGGCGGAGACGTGCCCCGTCTCTTGCAAGGAGTCCTGCTGATCGACCCCTTGGTTTCTGCCATCGAGAACGCCGGCCAAACTACTGCGAGTGCTAACTAAGGCATTCCTCGGTAGAAAATCTACCGGGAACAAAGAGTTTCCCTCTTTGTTCCCGGTAGAATCTAAACAGCGGCGAATTAGCAATACGATCAGAAGCGAAAGAAGCTGCCGATAGCGCATGAGGCGAACAAGGAGCTACGTCACCGAAGGCGGCCAATCGTGAGCCCTGTTTCGGGTTGCAACCAATGAGATTGCTGGTATCATAGTTCCCACGTTTTTTCTGCTTGTATGTACGGGGTTCTCCGGGCCACAGATAGCCTCCAACGTAGCAAGCTTCTACGGGCAGAAACTAGAAGAAACAGCGCTTCCAACGAGGGTAAGATATCTCGGCTACGTCGAACGAGCACGGAGTAGACCTAATTTGAAAATGCCGAACTTCGCTGTCCGCTCGCCCGGCGGGTCGCCGCGCGCGGCCGCGAGCTTGCCGAAAATAATTTTTTGCGAAATAAATACTGCGCATTTATGATTGAAACTTTCTGAAACTATGCTTCAGAATATAGTGAACCCAAATATAATATTTTTTTAAAAGTTAAAAGAATTTCACTCAATATTTGTTCCGTTCATTCCTTCTATATCTTCCACCTTTACGAATTCTGCAGGTTGTATACGGATCATCCCAGGGTTTCCACGCGGTGGATCTAGACTCTGGAGCAGTCTACGACGTCTACATTCCTTCTCATGTAAGCTCGTATTTCGTCACTTCCTCCGATCTCGGGGCATCTCTCTTTCTCTGCATTTTTTGTGACTGAGCTTTTGGCTTTGCTGTCTCTTAACAGAGCTCTCCTTGCGAGTGTGCATGGCTGGAAGTGGCATAAATCTGCCTACATTAGAGACCCGACATGCTGAACATGAATAAAATTGGGGCCATCCAGGCAGTAGAAGTTTTGCTTGATATAATTGAAACACCAAGGAGCATACTGCATTTACGGTTAAACGCGCTGCCCGTGCTAACGTCTGCAACAGTACTTTGTTTGTTGTTTTTAATTTGGAGCAAATGTTATTAGGTGTCAGTATTCCTCATCGCCTTATTTGAGTCGTTTACTTTTAATTTTTCCTACAGACAAGGCAAGCACTTGCAGTGTATGTACGGTCTCCCACAATATGTAAGATCCATTCACCAACGCAATTTATGCCACGGTGCTGAGCACCCTTTGGCCCGACGCACTTTATTTTAAGAGAGAGAATAGAACAAAGGTTAATCTGTTTGTCGCCTCAAGTGCGGGTGTCACCTAAGCGAATCCAACACAACCTTTAAAACTGCCTCGTTGAATGGGTCTTTTATATTGTTGGAGGCTGTATCTTCAAACCCAACAAGATCCTTGGTCTTCCAATTATTTAGTAAAAGGTGTATTATACTTTTGATCGCTGGATTAGTTTGTGGCTGATGTCACCAAGGGTCCAAAGTAATGACAAGTTGTCAGATTAATTGAGAAGATTGATCTGTAATAGCAGAAAAAGGCAGCATCAGCAGTAGCAAGCTGTTTAGGAGGTTGGATGAATGTTTTCCTGAAAGCTTCTTCATCTGGAATTTGAAGCCAGCTAGTAAGGAGGTGTCGGAACAGAACTCTGGTGACGAGTTGCTTACTTCAGGCAACTTGTCACTGCTGCTCTTTTGACAATGCTTGGATTGGGGCTAACTGGTTTGAAATTATGCGGTATGCTGTGCTTCAGAGTTTGTTCAGTGTAACTTCGTGGTGCAACATACCTCAAAATTTCTTTTAACAACACATAGCAGGAGTTTTAGCCCAAATATCAGAATAGAATACTCTATGGCAAAATATCAATGCTTTTCGAGGGTAAACTTGTAGCGATGCAGTACTTAAGTGCCACACAAAATGTCAGGTGAAAAACTTTGGTTGTCTGATCTTGCTTTAGGTCACTCGAGAGCCATTCCACTGTGCCTTAAAATTTGTTGTAAATATTTTTGTGAGCCCCGAGTCGGGCCGTTAATAACCTGACAATTATGGTCTCGGTTACGGCCGAGTTTCTATTGGTGAGGAGAGCTCTGCTAAGGAAGTTTGTTCATCTGATGCTTTCTCTTGACGTTTGCTCGCTTTGCTTGCTTGCCGCCGGTACGGAACAGTTCCAGGAGCGCACCGGACTGGTAAGGAGCGTCTGTTTTGTCCCAGATTGATGCACTGCACACACGCGTTGAGTTCGGCACTTTGGGTCATGAGGATCGCAGGAATGTTTGGTCACAAGGGGAAATGATATTTCTAGGTGATACACACCTAGAAATATCATCAGACTGTTTTAGACAAGCAAAAGCTGAATCCATACCAACGTTTCACGATAGATCCATTTCATTTAGGTGCTCTCTCTGTGCTCTTGCAGAGCCAAATCTCTGTTGCAAACAATCCAGCTAGTTTCAAATATGTAGTAGATGCAGCATTGTGACGTCACATTATGTGGCATGACATTGTGACATCATGTGACCTGATTTCACGTGGCACCCTGTGATGGTTTTACCGTATTTACTCGAATCTAGGCCGATAGTTTTTCCAAAAAAATTAAATCCGAAACTCGGGGGTCGGCCTAGATACGAGGATCCGGCTCCGCCATGACCGCGGGACGCCATCTTGTCTACATCGCTTCAGTAAGATACGCTGTGTACCACGGAACGCACGGAACGTTCGTCTCTACTCGACGCTATGGCGTCGACCAGTCGATGCCACTACTCCGCGGCTTTTAAGAGGAAAGTTGTCTTGGCTGCTGAACACTCGTCCAACCTGCAAGCCGAGCGTGACTTCGGCGTGGACGAAAGAAATGTGCGTCGCTGGAGAAAGCAGCGTGGTCAGCTCTTTGCATGTGCGGCAACAAGAATGGCGTTCTCAGGACCGCGGAAGGGAAGGCACCACGAGGTGGAGATCGAGGTCGCAAACTTCATCAGGGCCCAAAGAGCAGCAGCACATCCCGGCGGAACTGGTAGTAAAGTCGTTCCGAAAGTGTTGCATCTCGAATGCCCTGGACGGTACGGACGACCACGCGTTGTGGGAAGTGGACAGTGACAAAGGTACCAGTGAGGACGACGAATGATCAGGAAAAATGCGGACATTAATCGTGAGCATAATGTCGGATTCGTGACCGAAATAGTGCTGTACATTGCAGATAAATTCCGTTCTGCGTTTAATTTATGGTGTTTTTCCTATACTTTTTGGTTGGCCTAGAATCGAGAATTTTTTTCTTATGTTTCGGCCCTACCGTTTTCGCGGGGTCGGCCTAGAATCGATGTCGGCTTAGAATCGAGTAAATACAATATATATGCACAAAAGCCTCGCAATGTGCCCTTCAGTGGTTTCCTTACTGTTCTTACACAGGGGCAAAAAGGCCCTATAAATAGTACCATGTATTTGAAACACCCTTAAAAAATAACAAAGACAGCCTCTTTTTGTGTGTGTAGGGTTATTTGATTCTTGTTATGGCTCAGTACAAGTTTTGAATAGGCTGCACTTCGTTATTTTATTATATAGATTTTTGCTGCCTTCTGTAGTTTGCATTTTAGTGTTTTTTTTTCTTTAACGTTTACTTGTCTTTTGAGTGTGGGACAAGTTGTGTGTCATTGTCTATGACCATGGAACATATACTAATTAGTTCATTGCTTGCCAAAGGGGAGGCAACAGCAACCTGGCTGTGAAAGGGCTTTAAGATACGCATTTCCTTTTTCAAGCAACCAACCCAAATTTATGGTATAGCTTTAGTCTTAAGTCTTGCATGATGGAAATGAAATCACACTGTAGGCAAAGCCAGCTTATCTCAGGAGCACCCTGGATTTGAGGACATTGGGAGATATTTTAGGGTGCGCATGTGAGTGGTAGTATATATTTTTTTTGCCTGCAGGCATGGGAGGTATGTGTGCTTTACCACAAGCAAAGCGAAGGGAGGTGGTGGTGTGACATTCTTACAGTAAGGTGACCACCTCCTTTTCCTTCCAATTACAGAACCAGGGCCAAATCACCCCTCACACCATAGTCACTCTTCCAAACTCGAAAGGGGTGCAGCTCCTCCTCTGTTACGACAGTGAGTACTCCCCCTGTTGGCTTCCTACGTGGCCGTGAGCATGGGAGGTCTCATGATCGGAGCATTCTTCTTTCGCAGACGAGGGCGTCTACGTGAGCATCTACGGACGAGTGAGCAAGAACATTGTCCTCCAGTGGGGTGAGATGCCAACTTCAGTTGGTAAGTGCCCCCTCTCCAATTCCGCCTGTTCTTTCACGACGATGGCCGTCATTGGCGCAAAGCTTCACGGCAGATCCCGGCGTGTGTTCGGCATACAGTGGAAGGTCGCCCCCCTAAATTCAGTGGGCAGTGCTTTCCGCTAAATTTAGCAGGGGATCGCAGTGTCACGTGACGCTGCGACACATGTTTATTTACTAGTTATACACAGATCGGAGGATTTCCAGGGCTACCCGATAGATGGCGCTAGTGCATTCTCAATCATAAGCGTTCACGTGTGGTTGCAACGCAGCCGACCACACTCAGACGCAAAACTGGCCTTTCGTCAATGTATTTTTTTTTCCGTTTGTTAGTGAACGTGCGGACACAATCGCTGCACGACTAACACCAATGTTGGTTGCACACCCTTTACAGCTTACGTGGGCACTGGCCAAATCATGGGCTGGGGCAACAAGGCCATCGAAATCCGCAGCGTGGAGTCTGGCCACCTCGACGGGGTCTTCATGCACAAGAAGTCACAGAAGCTCAAGTTCCTCTGCGAAAGGAACGACAAGGCAAGCCGACCGTAGCTCCTCGACGAGCCCACAGGAAGGATTTGCGGGCCCGCGAGTTGTGCATGTTCTTCCCCATCGCGTCCCTCACAAAACCAATTTCTCTAGTCGTCAATCGCTTTGTAAACCAACGAGCTGTTCAGAGGGGACACTGGCTAAAGATTTAACTTCCGAACAGCTCAAGTGATCAGAATGAAATTTGCTGGGGAGATTTACTACCAGATGTAGGTCTATTGTGCCAAATTTCAGCTCTCCAAAACAGTTTTGCATACCGTATTTACATGATTGTCAGTCGACTCGATTATAAGTCAACCCCCCCACATTACACATCAGCAAAAAAAAAAAAAAAAAACTTTAGATGCGCTTTTTATTGCGAACACCCAGCCTCTAACACGCGATGGACGCCTTCTGGCGTATGCACACGCAAGGTGCATGAGATGCCCAGGCATCATCGAAACTAGAAAGCTCAAGCTGGATGTGGGACAACTAAAGCTGCTCCCTGTCTTTCTCGCTTCATCATCGTCAGGTGATGTCAGTCCCGTCGTCATCACTGCTACGTTCTTCGAGCAGGTTGTCGGCGTCGTCCGACGAAATCTCGCATTTCGCACATGACAGCATCAACCGCATGTTCCGCGCTTGCTCGGCGATCGCGTTGCACGTCACGGGTAGGGACCGATTGCACACTTTTGCGGCATACGTTGCAAGTCTGACCTCTAACTTTTGGCCCGCGGAAGCCTCTTTGTTTGCCGTCACAGTTTAAGATCTTGCGCCATTGCACACACCACTGAAGCATCACCCGCTCTGACGGGTCGAACTTGCGTCCAACAGCGCAGTTGTTGATTGCTTCTGAGTGAAGAGCGGCCAGAAACAAGCACTGGAAACCTAAACTGCCCGGACCACGCGTGTCGCTACAAAGAAACATAGTTAGCGCTCCAGCATGATCTCGACTCTCGATCAAACGACGTGCAACCGTGAATCATGCGAAAAATTGCGAAAAAAATCTGAGGGGTCGTGAGCCGTGAGGCCGTTCCAGCAGCCTACGGAGTGTCTTTTACAAGAAGTGCCACCACTTACGGAAGTCAGCGCGCCGTGCGCTGTTCACCGCCATACATTCGGGTTATTTTGCGAATCGCTATCAGTAATACTTGTTTGCGCAAAAAAAAAAAAAGATATATTGTAAAATTATTGCACAGAATAGCGCAATGCTACAGGCACAGCTGGCTGAACTCGTAACAAGCCGAGGTGTTCTTGATATCGCAATTGTTCTGTTTTTTGTCAGCAGTGGAATGCTTTGGTTTGATTATAAGTCGACCCCCCCACTTCAGATTTTCAAAGATCGAAAAATGGGTCGACCTACGTTTGTGTAAATACGGCAGCTGCATAAGATGATGTGTCACTTTTCATTAAGAAATCTTTGATATCCGAACTAAGCTATTGAGCACCATTTTTACTCCTTGAATATGAATTAGGGGAATTAGACTTCTGGCTATCTAGTTTTTATAACTCAAATGTATATATTTCAGGAAGAGTTATAACCTTAATGTATGTGATGTGTACCTGTCCTATATCAATTTTTTAAAACATGGTTTTTTTCTCAACGAAGGACTTCAACTTAAAACAAAATAAAGTAGATACTGTTGAAACTGGTTATAACGAAGTCGTTTATAACGAAATAGCGGCTACAGCGAAGCGATCACGATTTCCCATTCTCTTTTGCACCTCATTATAACCGAAGTCGGTTACAACGAAATAGCGGATATAGCAAAGTGATTACCGATTCCCGTTGACTTTCGTTATAACCGGTCTCGACAGCAGCCCGATTCCCCAGTAAATCTCCGCTCGGAAACATCTTGATCGTGCTATTGGAATATTTTTTCCTTCGAACAAAAGATTCCTTCGTATGAAATTTGCGGCAAAAAGTCGAACTGGGAAAAATGCATTCAAACATTGAACTCCTTCACTTTTTTGCTGCCTCACATTGTGATGAAAATATTTTATATCAACGTAACTGTTTTGCGTATGGTTATCAAATTTAGTGTAAAATGTTTCTAAAACCAAAATACTCAAATTTAAAAAATTGATTTTTTTTTTTTTTTTAATTTAGGTTTTTGTCTTTTCTTAAAAGTTAAATTTATTACCGTTCATAGTGCAGCTTTACTAGCTCAGCCGGGATTATTTTGAAATTCGCTCGTTGGATTTTCTTCAGCAATATGGTTCTAGTGCACGAGATGCTACGCTATTGGGGTACAAGCAGGGTTCCATGTCTTCGAGATTTATTTTTCTTTTCTGAAGTTGAGTTTTTTTGTTTTTTGTCGGGATTTATTTTTTTCTCACAGATTTTGTGTTTTTTGTTGTTGCTTTTCGGTATTGGATAATGAATCATTGTTTATCGGGGTTTACATTGAAGAGAACGGGATACAGGCAGGAGATTCCACAACTTTTATTGAATATGCTCATTGACCCCCAACATTTGGCAGCAGTCCCCATACCGAAATGAGAATGAAACGAAATAAGGGACATCGTTCTCGATTTAGAGAGGAGAGTCTTTCTCGGAGCCCCTGGTTTACAATGAACAAAATTAACAGTGTAGACAGCTACTTGTGATAAAGGATTCAGTTTCAGGTCTGTACATTAACTGCGAAGGAAATTATGATAGTTTCTGTCGGGTACACACCAAGGTTGCTTGGTCAATCTATTGTTGGAGAAATAATACAGGGATCAGCGTTTTTCTTTGCCATGCTCGTGGTCATATCAAGAAAAAAAGGTAGTCTTGCACTGCGCGAAGTAGGTTTTGCAAGAATTGGTTGTCGGAACAAGAGGCGATGACTTTGGCTTTTAAAACGTGGATGTCTCGATTAAATACGGTGAGGTTAGTCCAAGATACACACACATATAACTTAATTCAATGCACAAAGGGGAAAATTTCGCAAGGAGCTGTACTTTTTTTTTTACTGCGCTGAAGAGTGCTACTGAGAAAATATTTTTGCAAAAAGTAATTTTTATAATACGGTAAGATTGCTCTGCGAAATCAATCAAGCTCTATGCCTTCTTTGTCCTCAACAGAGTCTTCATAAACAAAAACATCAATAAAGTATTCAGACAAATATTTACATGCACATTTCTTATTAAATTTTATTTGGGAAAAACAAAAAATAAATTTTCCATTCATTTAGTCTCATAATTAAATGCTATATTGACTAAAAAAAATTTATGCTAAAAAAATTGAAACTGAGGAAAAATGCATTAAAAGTGTCCAGACCTCTGCCTTTTATTTAGCACCGAGGCGCTAAGAATGATTTATATCAAGTTAACTATGTGGCAGAAATTAATGTTCGTCAACATATTCTTTAGATCAGTGGTTCTCAACCATCGGTGTTTCGCGGACCCCTTGTGCGTCGGTGGAGATGACGGAGGACCCCATTCGTGGGGAGAGGAGAGAAAAGGTATAGCTTAAATATAATACTGATTTAAAACATTGATATAACTAAGGGCTAGTGTGAAGTAGTTCTCTATTATTGACATACACACTAGAAAACTCGCTCGAACACTGAAACATTTCATCTCGAACTGAAAAAAGACAACTTTTGTTGCCGGACTTGACTGGTGAGGCAGGGCTTCGCGGACCCCTAGAATGCCTTCGCGGACCCCAAAGGGTTTGCGGACCCCCATTTGAGAACCACTGCTTTAGATGTTGGAAGACCAAAATAACATCAGTTGCCACAAACCGAGGTATGTTAATCAACCGAAGTTGAGGCCGTACTACACTAACTCGGCCAGAATTGCTTTGGAATTGCTTACTGGATTTTCTTTTTCGGTTCGAGGTAATTCCCTACGACCGCATAAAACTACTGGACACTGAAATCCCCGGATCATGACTGGTGGTGCGAGGCATTCATTTTTTTCTATCATCAACTTTTTGGGGCTGGAAATTTTGATGAAACATTTAAAATTGGTTCAGTAACTCGGCGTTCAACCCTCGACATTCCAAGAGCTCACGGTTGCCATTTCTCCTTGCTTCCACAGGTGTTCTTCTCGTCTGCCAAGGGAGGCACCTCCTGCCAGATCTACTTCATGACTCTGAACAAACCGGGCATGTCCAACTGGTAGCGGGGAGCACCCCTCAAGGAGCCCTCCCCTTCCTTTCCCCCGGGGAGCGAGGGGAGTTGCAAACACCCTCGCACCCACCCCTTTGCCTCCTTCCCTCTTCTTCGTGATCGTCGTCGTGGTCGTCTTAGTTCGCTTCCCCGCTTTTGCAACGACGAGACATTGTGAGTGGCCGTGTCTTCCGCGAAACCCGCAAATCCGTGGGATTTAGAGAGACGACGAGGGGGGGGTAAAATAATTTGGTTCTCCCGCGAAGACTATTGTTCGGTCTCCCCCTAGTGCTCGTTCCTGTCCTTTGTTGTCTTTAGTCTTTTGCCTCCATTTTATTCCAAAGTCGGGCTTTGCCAGCCCCAAGACTGTTTTGTCTCTGAGGTTCCCCGCTGCCAATTTAAAATCTTCACCCCATTGCAATTTTTTTTTTTTTTTTCTATTGAGGTTTTTTTTATTGAGCTTCATTGTTGATTTTAGACGCTCATTGAACTTTGTTTCGTGGAAAGGCGAGTTTTTATTTGGTTTTAGTTTTGATTTTCGACAATGGACGCGGACAATTTGTCGTCTGTCTTTTTGGGCGGAGGCTGATACGAGAATCATGTCTCGTTTTTTCTGCTTTTTTTCTATCTTGCACTTTTGTTTTACATTTCTTGAAGCTGATGTTTATTTGAAGAATGCAGTTACTATTCTCGTTTTCCTTTCGGCAGTGCTGAGAGTTTGCCGACTTCTCGTTTTCGTAAATTACCTTTGCTGGAATTCGCATTGGACGCTTCTCCGATTCAGTTTTCCTGCACTTCGGATACGAGGGTCAATTTAGAAACGCTCTTCCATGCTACTCAAGTCAAAGCGATGGAGTCCATCGTAACGCTTCATTTCCAGATGACACCATAGCTGTTGTTTTTTTTATTTCGTAGCATGAGTGCAATATGCCAGCTCTGCCACATGCTTTTTGTTCATTTATTTACTCCAAACCAAGTCTGCGTGCCTCCCAAAAAACGAGCCAACCACATAGTACCATTGCGCGCATGTTCACGAACACCACCGTTACTAACTTCCGTTAGCTTTTATTATTTTTGCCCGTCGCTCCCTTCTCCTTTTTCAAGTATTTATTGTGTATAAAGGACAAAAGCTAGTTCACATATGCATACATATATATATATTATATATTACATAAATGTGTATATTTTTTGTTTGTCTAGTTTTGACCACCGCAATACACAAACACCACAGCTCACGTCTCCCAAAGTTGCTTTGCAAAACTCAAATTTGATTTTCGGATATTCTTTGCATTTCGTCCCCTCCCCGTCCGTCGGGTTTTTATCTCTCGTTTTTGTAGTTTGTTACGAGGCACTAGTCTAGAGTCGCCTTTTTTTTTTTTCTTCACTCGTCGTGCACGCCCTGCTGACACGCTAGCACGTTTTTAGTTGAAGCTTAATTCCATGAGGAAGAGTTGCAACACGTGTTCCATGAAGAAGCGATAAAACGTGGCAGCCGTGCAACCATCCGTACCATCATTTCTACAGCGATCCCAAGGCTGCCTCTCGGTTGACTTCGAGAGGCTACCAGTGTGTGCTTTCCAGAGTTCCTTTCTTTTTTTTTTTTTTTTTTTTTTTTTTTTTGGCCACCGCATTTACGTTGCTTGTCCACTTTCAAACTTGGAACTCCTCCCCAAAACATTGTCGTCGTCTTCGTCTTGCATCTTGGAAGAAAAGCGAACGTGAAGGACAGAAGCCGTGCTGTGTCGTCTACCGTGAGAAGAAACAGAAGGGAGAACATTTAAATGTTTTGTTTCTTAGTTTTTTTTTGTTTTTTTTTTTTTTTATTTCTTCACCCCAACTTGGGTGTGCAGTGACGCTATTGTACCAACGCAAGGACTTGCAGAAACCTTTGGACTCCTCCTGCCACGCACTAGCCCGACATTCTTCTTGCAAGGCTCAGTGTAACGTCTATTAACAATAGTGCCAAAGTTTTGTACGTTTTTTTTTCTTGGTTACGTGTGCTGCATAATGCAATGCAATGCGAAGAGATTGTTTTTTTGTGTGTGTTTTCGTTGAGTTGTTTTTTGTTTTTTTTTTTGTGAATGATGCCTGTTCACCTCCAGTTTGGGCTGCGGTGGACGTGCGTCATGCGTCGGAAATAGTCAGATTGTATGTGTGTGTGTGGCAGGATTCGTGTACATAACTGCATTTTTTTTTCATGAAGGCGTTTTTTTGAAGTGTCGTATGGTTCTCTTTTTTTTTTTCTATTCGCTTTTCTTCTCTCAACAATAATCGGTAGATTATTTATGGCCAGTTGGCAGTGCTGGCCCACGAACCAGTGTGTACAATGTTATAACTTCATATCTCTACTATCTATCCACTACTACGCCCGTGCGGCCGAGAGCCACGGTACTACTGAGTGTTGTGTCCCGAGCTGAGAGAAATTATGCAAGGGAGACCCCCTTTTTTTTAACACGACTTCAGGAAGCGGAAGAAAGCAAAAATGAGTCTGTAACATACGCAAGCAGTTTTATATGTTTCTCGAATCTAGTGATTCTCTATCAATAAAATTTTACAGATTTTTGACTATCGTCGTTTATTGTGCCCCAACTTTTGAGGTTTAGAGCCGCCAAACACCCAAGGTACGCCTCGGAGTAGGGACATGTCGGCCATCTTGATGCTTGAAATCATTGTTGCCCATTATCCGAAGCTTTATCTGAAATCACAGGAAATAGCTTTCTGTCTTCCAGAAATGCTAAAACAGTTCAAGACTGAGCAAGACAATGTGGCCTGGACTTCCTGACACTGTATTTAAAGATCAGGAAGTTGAAATTTAAAATCCTAGGAGGGAGTGCCACTACTCTAGGTGTAGCTTACCTATTTACTGGCTCTAGTGGGGTTAAAATGTTACGTGTTTTTACGCTACTAGAACCATAGATGCGGGAAAAATCCATCCAGAGCACTGTAGTGGTAGCTATGGATTGGAGTTATCTCGACTAAACTTTGGTAAAACTTTCTGTTGCATTTCAGAAGAGTGCATAGGATTGATCGATGCTCAAGGGATACAAATGCATGGGGACTCGTAGTTTTGACTACATTGCCTCGGAAAGTAGTGCTGCTTTCCTTGCAATCTTTCGTAAATTAGTAGAGAAAATAAAAATGTCTCACTGGTTGACTAAACTTTGACCTGATTGTAGATGATCAGACCGGTTTAGTGGATTTAGCAAATGATAGTCCCTTCAAGCGCTAGTTTGCTGAATGACGTCTTGGCAATAGCAGCTATTTTCACCACATCAATAAACTATGCATGACCAAACGCTCATTCTCCGCCCAGATGTAGCACTAGAGGTCCGAACAAGATTCCAAAGCGTTGAAGCTAACCGTTATCTCAGTCAAAAAAAGTTATAGGGGATTTTCTGAAAATTTTGACGATTTCCCATTGATATTTTTAGAAAAATTTGGGGTCCATGTTTTGTAACTGGCGCCATTCAGCTCTGTATTCAAGAGCTCTGCTGGCCGCCATTTTCCCATAGGCGCTGGGCAGGGTTGCGCTGATCATCGGCGCCACCAGGCCAAATGAGGCAACACTGGGACGGCTAAAATCGTTAGCACCCCCGCCATATCCTTGTGAGGTTACGTTATACCAACTCTTTCCGTTGTAGTGCACAACACTATAGACTGTTTTCAAAATGTATTAAACATTAGATATATTATTGTGTTTGCGTGTGTGGTTATGTGATTGGGGAGTTTTAGTAGATGCCTTCCTTGATAGGTTGAGACAACCCATAACGGGAACTAGAACAAAATTGACCATCCTGATGTTACGGCGAAATTTAGGTGAAAGCAAGCCAAAGACAACGCCGGGCTTCGAGCGCATTAATTCCAAATATAGAGTCATATAGCACATTTAGAAATCCATCTCGAGTCCTGTAATGTGAACGGAATGCTCATTTTACACGTTTTGCGGCATTTATTCATCTCCGACGACGTATCTCCCATGGCCTCGACGGGAACCTGCAGAGCTTCACACCTTCTAAGCTTTGGGGATGGCAACAGTCTGGTACGCAACAGTACCTACAGCTTTGTTTGCTCTTCCACGACATTTATTTATTTATTTATTTATTTATTGAAAGTACCCTGATGATGGCAATGTTTAGAATAATAAATTTAGAAACACTTAAGAGTGCTTATGTGCAGGAATGCGAAAGCATTGTAGTCCCGCGGATAAAATGTTTTCGAGTAATGTTTCTACATGTATTTAAGTTGTTTCTGCCGGTATTGTATTCAGTAGCCCCCATAGATGTAGGCGCTGCTGCCGATGTTGAGGCAATAGATATTGGTCGCCTCACAGTCCATTGCACAAAACACACAACGAGCACAGATGAATTCCACAGCACAACCGAGGTGCCGGAGGCAGTGTGCCGCGTCTTCCTTTTGCACACTGCACTGCGGCGGTGACATCACATTCCCCCACTGTGCAGGTGCGGCGCCCCCGCCGGCTTCACGGCTTCCATGGTGGAGCATTTGCGTTGCTGTGCTTTTCTTGGTGTTTTATTTCTGAGGTGTTTTACGCTTCGACCTTGAGCGGTGCGTGCTTGATGGCTTATTTTTATGGCCATCTTTTGGGCACAGCACACAACCCCATGAGCAAGCAGGCTGGCGATTGTACCTTCCCAGTGGTGCAAATATCTTGAGATAGATGGTGCAACGTATCACACCGAACTTGATTGCCCTGAGGCCATTGAAAATTTCTGAAAATCGCTTGTAACTTTAATGAGATAACACTTAGTTCTGATACTTTTGCATATGGTTCAGACCGGTAGCACTACATTTGGGCGGACAATGAGCGTTCGGCGATGCATAGTTTATTTTCACAGAGAAAAAGCCCTGTCATTTTTTTGGGGGGCGGACACCTTGTAATTTATAAACTAGGCATGTATAAGTATTCTTAAAGGATTTAGTAAAATTGATGACCCTCTATCGGTCAGATATGTGGTCTGCTTGTGACCAGTGATGAGCATTGCAAACTAGTGTGCTCACTTGTACTGTAATGAATGTTATGAACCTGCACAGCTCTAATTGACTTGAATCTTTGCTGTTGCTGTGTCGCGACTACTTCTTTGCGTCATCGCTGAAAAAAACACAAGACGACTGAATGACATTTTCTATAGTCTGCTGGTGCAGCCCTGGCCCGGCAACTCGACAAACCGCGTGGCCGGCCCGAAGGCTAACACAACGTGGCCGTCTACGCTGGAGGGTAGGGTCGAGGGCTGTCCAGAGTTCTTGTGGCCGGTCAGCAAGCCTAACACACCGAGTTCCCTGTTCAGCTCTCAGTACATCGCTCCCCTCATCGGCACTCGGCCTCCCCTTCTTGCCGTCTTTCGTGTCTATTACTTGAAGAAGGGCGTCCGCCCGAAATGTCGTGTATACCTCTTCGTCCGCATATTTTTACGAGAAGCACAACCATATTACTTGCAATTATGTGTTTTGGCTCATTGCGCTCGGCAGCGCCCCCATTCCCTTGGATACTTCCCCTTTTTATAGCCAACCTCCGTGAATCCCGACACAGTGGGTCCCGAGAAAGGACTCTCGCCTCCTCCAAGGTCAGTGGAGCCCAGGACACAGGAAACCTGTTTGCGGCCCCATCCCCCCATCGCCTTCTGGTGGACTGCCATCAAAATAATCATTTATTTTTATTTTCATGTAACAGCTATACTGAAAAGCTATTTTGTTTTCACTTTTTGTGGAACCCTGATTCTAGTAGGCTCGTATGATTGGTCACGAGTTCCAAACCTGTGCAGGAATTGTGCAGCAGTGAAGTGAGGCCATGTAGCTTCAACTTTGAGCTGAATTGAATGCATCAGTTTCTGAAGCGTGGACGACGTTATATCATGGATAGTGCACCCCATCCCAAAATCCTTGTCTTGTAACCCCATCTTCAGAAGCCCTGTATTTAAGAACCATGCATCCACCCCCAGCACCGTGTCAAGTCTCGTTATCACTTGATCATCTTTGGCCAAGCCCTCACACCTGCATTTCATTGTTTGCTTATTAAGGTCCAAGTGTTTGACTGGCAACTTTCAGCAAATTTCTGCCAAACATCCCACGCGAAAAGTGGGAGGTGCGAGTGGTATACAGAAATGCCAAAATTTCTTTAACTGAAGGAACAATGACAATATATATATATATATAAATAAATGTTCTAGAATTTTATAATGTTTTGCGAACACCAATCCAACTCGTAATCAATGCAGAGGACAGTGTGTGTTTAGAAAACAACGTAGCTGTGGCGATTAAGAGGATCTAAGAGAGGCAAGACTGGCTGCATATTTGACAAGGAACTGCCCATGAGGGATTATTTTTCGAGTTAATGTTTTTTTTTTTTTTTTTTAAATTTAACTATGCTTTTATGTTGCCCATGTCGAGAAGTAGATCATGGTAAGTAGATGACATGATGTTGCAAGTTTAGATTAGCAGTGAAGAAAGCAAATTGTTTTGTGTATGTTTATACAGCCGGAAGTTAGTCTGCCTCAGTGGGCGTCTGGTGTCTCAGCTGTAGATGAGCAATTTAGCCAGTGCGGTACAACCGCTAGCCTGGGGTCTTCAACGTACATACACCACGCAGTAGTGATACACGAGCGCACGCCGGTACGATGCTCATCCAGATAGGGGCAGCGAGAGCTTTCGCTCCTCGTGCTCCGAGCTGGTGTGCGCTAGCCCTCCCCAGGCCCTCCCCAAAAAGCTCCCTGCTTGCCACGATTGGTAGTTTCCTCCTCGAGCATTCGCTCTGCTGGGAAAGGGGGCTTTCTGGGAGGAGTGTCAGGAGTGTTGCCCTAGTTAGAGCACTATATAGCTCCTACGGAGCAGAGTAGCGCAATCCTTTGAACCCCGTGTTTTGCCGACAACATGGCCGACAGAGCGGCTCGGCGTGAGTCACGTGGTACTCAGGGTTCCAGGAGGCGGCCCGCCCTATGGGAGAATACATGGAGATCGACACAACACGGCTGATTAAAAAACTAACGGCGAGTTCACGCTTTTCAAAACTAGCCTGTCGTGAAGTTAGTAAAGCGCTAAACACTTTATCAAAGTTTTAATAATATCGGATGCGTGTGCAAATTTTGAGAAGGCATTTTCCGAGGCACTGGCGTTTGAAGCAGACGATTTTTGCTCGCAGCGGAGATGGGCTTTTCGGGTTGGCCGGAGCGGGTCACGTGAATGGTGTGACGTCGCTGTGTCGTCTGCTGCATGATGCCGCTCAGGCAATTTTTAAAAAAAAAGTCAGGTCCTTGCGGAGCACAAAACTTAGCGCAAATTATTCTAAAGTGTTCCATTATTATGTCAAAAATGATTGCGATTCCGTACATTCCCACAATACTGGAGAAGCAACGATTTTCTCACGTTCTCCATGCATTTCTGACCGCAGTTGGAACCTCCGGGCGTTCGCCGCTAGTCGCCGAGAGGCGGCGTTCTAGATTGCGCTACTCTGCTCCGAAGGAGCTATATAGTGCTCTAGCCCTAGTCACCCTAGTCCAAGGAGGTTAGAAGTACTAGGAGGGGGCACGTTGCAATATTGGTGAAGCCTAGTCATAAAAAGTTTAAACGATTTTGTGCCCAGCGTGACCGCAGATCTCTCTGGCGATTGGTGCGCGTGACATGTCACGTGTGAGATGGATGGTTGATTGTAGGAGGACTCCTTGCAGGCTTGCGCGCGCTCCGTCCGGAAGGTTTTATCACGTCGAAGGCTAGACTGTGGTGTCTTCTAGTACCCCATAGCAAGAAGAATGCTAGCTACGGTCTCGTGATGTGGTCACGTTGGCATGGTAAGTGAGGAGAGTAAGGAGGAAAATGAGAAAGAGGCGAGGCGTCAAGGGAGCATGGCTTGTGGAGGCTACGCGGCCGACGTCATGCCCTCTCCTACCCTTCTATTCTCCATGCCCTAGTCACTCCAAAGGCGCCAAAGGTGTTTTGGCAAAAATATACCAACATCTCAAGATGGCTTGGCCTTCCAGGCAAAGAAGTACTTAGGTGCTCGAGAGCGTGACAAAACTAGTAGTTTTTGGCCACATTCAGTCCTTCAGTAGTCCTCGGCTGCTTTGCCCACTTCAGCAGACGCACATATTTTTTACTAGTTGTTAGCTCTCAAGCGTATGAAAGGTTACACAAAACAAACCCGAAGGCTCATTTTGCTTTGTTAGTGCTCAAGCGTATGGAAGGTTCCATGGAGAATGGAAGGTTACCACAAAACTAACCTGAAGGATCATTTTGTTTTTTCTTGTTATGGTAGTGGCATGAAAATCGCGCCCCAGATCACGTCAGGCAACGTTGTGCGACCCGCACGAACGAGCGCAGTTCCCGTGATCCATCGGTGTTTTACATCTGAGGCCATGTAATTTCTGGGCTCGGTGTTTTGCTGATCGTCAATTTAATCCCGGCCTGAAGGAAAAAGGGTCGAATCGTTTAACGTAATACCGCTTGTTTACCGCCTCAATCATCGCCGCAGTATTTCATGACAACGTAGTCGCTGCGTGGCACCTCGGTGAGTCGGAACGCCTTCCTTATCGTGCAGGGAGGGTCGTTCGGATCCCTTCTAAGCCTAACCTGTTTATCAAGCTCTGTGGATCCGCGCTTTGCTCGCCTTTTCTGCCACCGTGTCATTTTTGTGCTCAACGGATCTTACAAAAGCTTCCCTATAACTGCCAGTTTCTTGGGCGACCAAGTTATGACGCGCATATGCGACGAAATGCTTTCTTTTCTGTTGTAAACGCTCCGTAAAGAAAATGGAGCTCGGCTGTAATATGATCATCTTCCCTAGAGTCGTAATCGCGAACTCGACTCCAAATGGAACTGTTAGTTTTATTTTCTGAAGTCTGGCGTGAGGGAGATTTTGCCTGTGTGAAGGAAGTTGATATTGATCACTTGTCTGGGATGAAAGGTAACATCTTGCCGTTTATTTTTATTTGATGTATTTTCCCTGGCTAAAAGCATGGTGTGCGCAGCATTTGCTCTCTGCAACTTTTGTCATTGACCTGTTTCAGATTCAGCAAATATTTCGAGTACGGTTGTAGACAAAAATGGTGCGATACAATGCGGCAGACTCGCCGCACTGCTTGTCCCTTGTTTCCGAGCCGAAGGGGCCTCAAAAAAGGACGAAAAACTCCCCACCTCAGGGCTTAGATGATGAAGGTATTACGTGAACTCTAGACACTCACGACAGCGGTCATCCACATGCGTGTGCACACGTCACGTGCGCATGTGCTATGTTGAGCTTTTAAAAGTGGAAGGTAAAGTACAGGTACGTTGATGCATTGATACTGCTCTCTAAACGAAATTGTTGAACCTGTGGCAGTGCTTTTTTTTGTCGTACTTGTTAGCTTGACTACGGGGTTAAAGTGCCTGCTTTTTAATTTTTATGTATGAACGATAAATAAAGGTGGAGTATTTATCCCCCCTTAAAAACGCAGTTGTGAAAGATTTTTTTTTTAATTAAGCTTTTTAAGATCTTTATTATCTGAAATGAGAGTGAAACACTAAAAATTGTTCTTCGTTGCTCTTTTTTTCTTGTCTTGGTTGTAAACAGGGTTATAGAAAACCAAGACTCGCCAAGGCAGCCTGATCAGGTGCGTGTTGTTCTTCAGTGTCTGGAATGCCATAATGCAGTAGCTAAAAGAAGTCCAGTTTTTTCTTTTGTCTTAGACACAAGTTGGGAGACGCCTGTAAGAAATAAAAGATTGAGAGTCAATCTATTCCTAGTATAGCAGGGTACGTTGTTGGGCTAGTTGGTTCATCTTAATAACACAAAAAGACGAGGACAAGAAATAGCACCTTTCCCGTATACTTCTTGTCCTTGTCTTTTTTGCGCTATTTCATGTTTTACATATTCTTAGTACTAGAAGCTATTTAGTCTAAACAATCAAATTTCCCTCTCGATTACCATATTTCTGCTATCCTGTGGTGCTTTATGAACTACGAGATTAGTCAAACCCTTTGCAGATTTGGTAAATGTTTCATGGTGCCCATACAAATAATCATTCGGAGAACAAGAAGAATACCAGTAGAAGTGGGAAATCGCTGTCCGCTTTTCTCATGCCCAGATTTTAAAAGCAAGCAGGTTGGCGTGTGCCTGTACACAGATGGATCCGCAGCTGGGTTGTGGAGAATGAAACGTCAGGCGTCATCTACTGTGGGGGCTTTGTATTTGTTGAAACTTCACCAAAAGGCAGGTGGAAAGGAGGCTGAGGGCACCTGGAATACAAGGCATACGTCGACGTTTCCGCCAGCGTACAGCCGTTGTGAAAACTGGTGCCTCTCTTTAGTGTTCCGTGATTTGTGCAGCCGTGGAGCTGTGAGCCAAAAAGCTTCAGGAGTGTTCAGAATTTAATCTTTTGCCAGTAGTTAATAAGCTCAACGTTCGAAAGCGTGGCACCCATTCCATGCCACCGGATGTCTGCATTTTTAGATCTCGAATCGTTTGACTGGGTTCTTATTTATTCAGCGAGAGATATATATGTCTTGCGATCCTCCTAGGTTTCCCCATTCTACGGTCTTGAAGGGTCGTAAAGCAATGTGCTGCAAGCAATACGTCGTCAGATATGCATATATGTAGTTTTGAAACTTTCCATCCTCTGAGAACATTTTTTTTAACCTCCAGTTGTAGTCCTACAGCACCAGTTGTGCTTGGATTTCTTTGCAGCATAATGTTGTTTTTCCCTCTGTTTTGAACCACTCCTGCAACATTATCTCGATGTGACGCCACACGGAGTCCTTGGCTTCAGGGCAGCATTAAGCAGGGGGGGAGAGGGTGCCCTCTAGCGGCAGCAGAAAAAAGAAAAAGGCCTTGCTCAGCGTCGATTGTTCGAAAGTCTGAAGTCGGCAGATGGTGTGGGCCTATTGTAGGGGAAAGGTGTCTTTTATAACGTATTAGGACTCATTGTGCGCAACGCCAGTGTATACGTGGCTACCAGTTCCCGAAATGCTGGGAGGTCTGGATTTGGAGTTTTCGTCCTGCCTCGAGGTTCGTCGCTTTCACAAATGTGCCAAGGGAGAATTTTTTTTTTTTTTTTCTTATGAAAGGTTTATAATGGTCTAAATATCTGTTTTTTTTTTTTTTTTCTTCTTATTTATGGATTTATGTTGACTAGGTTCTGGTTAGGGCTGATTCTGCTTGAGCGTAGGGTGAACTGATTGAGAGCGATAATAGTTGCAGTAAAACATGTACAGATTAACCTATGTTTTTCAAGCTCAATCTAACTGTCCAGTTGAAATGCTGTCAAGGAATTTCGTTGTGCTGACGTGTTAAAAAAGGCGAGAGAGAACAGCCTTGTTTTTTCTGTATCGGTGAAGTGAGGTTGGAATGCTTGTAAAGAGGGTTTCTGAAATGGCTAATATTTGGGGTGCCTACCATTTTGTGTTTTGGGCTTAGCTTGGTTTGAACAAGATGCAGCATTATGCACTTTTGGGCCGCCTAGGTGGAGGTCACAAGGTGACCCGAATTGTGTCTGGGTTTTGATGTGCTGGCAGTACTGAATCGGGTGCTCGTTTTGTTTCAGGAGCTTCAGTGGTAAATGATTGAGAGAACAAAAAAAAACACAAAAAAAACGATCTCCCCACTAAACGAGGTTTACTCTGGCCAGAAGCTCGCCATGTTGAATTTCAAAAGAGCCCAAGCATTGCACATGTCTGATCCTCCCCTACAAGCCGACTCACTTCAAAGAGGTTTGGCTCTGTAACCCTCTTGTCTTGGGGACCGTGCAAGGCCCAACAGGCTGCGGAGATTTCTGGAGGTCGGGGTGGGGGGGGGTCAAATAAAGCAAAGTTCACTCAAAACCGTAAGGTTGTTTTTGTAGTAACCTTCTCTAAAGTTATTGTTCTTCTCTGATGGCTCGTAACTTTTAACTTTGCTCGCGCCCAGATTGCATTCAAAATTACTTGTATTTAGACCAATGGTGGGTGCGAAGGCTAGAAATGAGTTTTCTGCTTTTGCAGATGTGTCGTCGCCCAGAGAGGGCATCCTAACGTTTGCGGTTTATATGACGTCTCTTAAGCTGTAACATTGCACTTCTAGCCCTTGCTAAGTCTCCAGCTCGTGGGAAACTGTGACGTATGCATCGTTCTGACTTGGAGTGGGCACGGAGCAAAGGCTAGGGTCGTGAATGTGTCGCTTCGAGCGATGCTTTTGCTGAACGTGGTCTAGGGTAGCTAGAGCACCTTTCAAACCTACGCACTTGCACATAGTCGTTTGTGGCGTAGTTGCCTCTGAGCGAAGCTTATGCGCCGGGGAAGGCGAGTGAAGGATTTGCTTGAGGGAAAGGGAACAAGGGGCATGGCTGACGGTGGCACGTTCCCCCGGGCGTGGCAGGGCGCCCTGTGGCCGCCGGCAGAGGAGATGGACGCTCAGCTGCTGAAGCAGCCCCTGCTCAACTATGGCCAGGAGCTGCTGAGTGCCCTGAAGGAGGAGCAGGGCATCGAACGGGTGGGCTTTGCCCTGCAGGGCATCAGCCGTGCAGACTTGCAGGCCAGCAAGCAGCGGGACAACAAGGACCCCCTGTGAGGAACACCCCCTCTCGGGCCCATTCATTCACCTATACTAATAGTTACATTCACTCAGCCTTACTTACACTTGCTAATACTCATACATTCGGACACCTATGTCGGGGGTGGAGAGGAGATGCCAATTTCACAGTGGCACCCTGCTGGGCCGATTAATGGGCTCTAGTAACCAAATTTTGATTTGTATGATTATGTGCCTGCTTGGTAGTAAAGGGCATGGTACCACAAGGAAATGGGCTGTACTTTATTGTTATTACAACTAGTACCAAATGTTTACAGTCCTTTTAGAACCTTGATCAGAATGTAGAGAGTGTGCTCTGCTAAGGAACCGGATTGCTTTTGATGTTGCAGCCTAGAAGAATTAACATAAATGTCTGCAGGAGAAGCAATCTGTACAACGGGTATGCTGCATTTAAGAGACATTGATCAAGACAGTTTTCTCATCTGTAGCTGCTTCACTTATTACCGTGCAACTTGGAAACACTGCCTCTAAATTTTTTTTTTTATTGGGGAGAAAGTCGGATGTTTGCTTAGCATATCTACCTTTGTAACCTGATTACAAATATGTGCTTGGTTTTGATATAGCTTAATTAGCTTTGCTAATAATTAATAATGGTTATGTGCAAACAGATGTGAGTTCTATAAAGTAGCAAATCATGTAAAAACTCATTGTAAAGAAACGAGAAACACATTCACTGACTTATTTCAAGAAAATTCTTCAGGACAAGGTGTTAAAAAGTGCCTGTAGATCTATAAAATGTGCCAGAATCTGCAAGTTTTCTCAGTTGCGCCACCACGAGTTAAAAAGGTCCACCTTTGGTACTTTAGTGGGCCCAAGTGCTCTCCTTCAGAGGCTGCTTGTGGGTACATAGAGGGGTACTTAGACACGACCGTTGCCGCACCTGCACAGGTTGCAGGATCCCTCAAAGCGTTCCAAGTTCATCCGCTTCCTGGCTCGCAAGGCGGACGTCTTGTACAAGCCGTGGGAATCTGTGCCCCACTCGTCTACCACCGATGGAGAGAACGAAGGTGAGCTTTATTCCAACAAAACTGAGTTTTACATGCAAGATTGCAATGATTGATGGGTGTTTGGTCTCTCTTTTTGTTTCCCGACAGAGCTGTGCGCCGTGATGCCTCCGCTGGAGAGCTTCATGAGCATCCCCGCCCCTGAGAGAAAGAAGCATTTCTTCGAGGTAGAACCGTGCGCTCTCTCTTAAACGGGGAAAAAGCACCATTGCTCGGAGCAAAGGTTGTTTGCATTTGTCTTGGTCCCGTGTCATTGTCTTGTTACTACTGGTGCACGAGAGTTGGCGTGGTACCAAATCCACCTCCAGATCATTGCCTTCTTTTTTTTTTAGTTGAGAGTGGATAGTCCTCTAAAGAACCAGGTTCATCTGGACAGAATGTTTTGGGTGTAATTTAGCTTTTTCTTTACTGCTTTTAGTTTAGGGAAAACTATATCTGGGAAAATAACGGTAGCTTAGAGGAGAAGAGAGAGGGGGGGAAGAGGCCTGCTTTTGGATTTCTGTGGCTGGCATCGCTGAACACGTGCTGTGCTTTTCTCAACAGGGCCTCAAGAAGGGGGACACTGTGATTGGCCACGTGAGCGGCAAGCAGGAGAATGGGCTCTTTGTCACCCTGCTTTGCATGGACGGGGGCCTCCGCAGAGAGATACACGACCTGGCCATCAAGGTGAGGCTTTCTTCCCTCTTCGACCGTTGGGCCCAGCCTGTCATTTTGTTGTTCTGCTTTTGCATTGGTAGAAAAATGGAGGTATCTAGATAACTTTCTGATACAGCAATTTACTACTATATTTACTGCTAGTGTCCCTTTACCTTTTATTTAAGCAAGGGGGGGGGGGGGGGGGGGGGCAACACGGCGCGCGGCAAAGAAAGGGAACTTTGCCATTGGTGAAACCTGTCCCTCCTTTTCTTTTTTTTTATATTGGGTATTGTTCCTACCCTATCCTGTGTCGTTTTTGCCTGCGACTTATATATTTGCTTTGGAGCGCCTGAAGGAGCATCTCCAGGCACGAGCTCTTGGCATTGACAGTGGTATGGAAGCATTTTGTTACCGGCAATTTCTTTCGTATTTTCCTAGCGAGTGTGCGCTGTCGGCATCATGTACTGCAAAAAATGGCATTACATAGAAGGACACCTTGATGCCCTAGTGCTGGTTATTCTGCGTCGAGTTTCTATAGACCCGTGTCTACATCCCTAGCAGAGTTCCTCCACGGGGAACAATGTCTCGCTTCCATTTTCTTGCCCGTTTTCACGACTGGGGTAGTGGTTTATGCATGTTGGTGGGAAATGGAGGACGAAGGAGTCCTTTCCATGAAAACAGTGTTGAGCTGACTTCCTCTTTATTTTGCCAAGCATAGCCTTTTTGTAGCGTGAGCTACACTGGCCGAGGTTGAGCAGTTTCACGTGGCTGTCAAAGAGCCGTGCTGCGCAAGCGCGAGGAGCAGTGACGTCACACGGTGCACAGCTGGCGCGCCGGAGCCGGTCTGCGCATATGCGAGGAGCAATGACGTCACATGGCGCACAGCTGGCGCGCCGGGGCTGCCGCCGCCGCCACTGCGCGCACCTCACCGGTCTGCGCATTCTAGAGGAGTGACGTCATAGCCGCGGCTGACGCACCGGTGCTGCCGCGTGCCCAGCTGTGCGCCTCTGTTGTGCAGTTGCCAAGTCTGACGCTGCACCGGACTCGCTTGATAGTGCCTCTCCTTTTGTGCACATAAGCTCACGCTGCGTATATCCTGGCATAGCCGAGCTAAGCCACCGCAGTTTTTTTCTCTCTGTCCTCGTATTTTCTTTGCCCTTTGTTCCCTTCTGCCCTCCCACCTCCTCCTCTTTTTCTGTTGTTGCCCATGACCCCACTCAGTCATTAATGAGAGTCTGCCTTTCCCGTTCAGGGAGAGTTTTTCTTCAGACCAAGAGAGAAAGAGAACTAAGCGAGGTTACTAAGTGCGCTATGACCGAAAGAAAAAGATAACGACGATCAGACACACACACACGAGAGAGAAAGAGTGTTGAGTTGAGAAGTTGCGCGCAGTGGGGCGCACCATAGACGTGCACGCTCGGACCGAGCCTCGCATTGTCTCCCACGAGTAAGTACGCCTCCTGCATTGCCTTCCCCGCTGCTCCCTCTCCCCTTCGGAAAGTGCACGTGCCGCCACTTTCTCATTCTGCGTCGTGTGCTTTCTCTGTCGCTGCCATTGACGTCTGCGATGGTGTTGTCTAGGAATCTCGGAGAACCTCTCTTGCAACGAAAGAAGGAGTGTCGAAAATCTGTCTTCTGCAAACGGATGACTAATTGGAGTTCGTTGGAAGAAAGCAACGTTCTCGGTTGTTGGTGTGGCACCGGGAAGATTGCCAATGCTAACGGCCGGAGAGACCGTCCGGCCGTGGCGACGCTAGACGCGACTTTCGGCGGCTTCTTCCCCTCATGGTCACGTGGTCTGTCTTCCCCTCTGTAGGCCTTCTGCCCGCTGAATCAGGTGCCGACGTTTTCGGCCCACGAAAGCCCCTTCGACGTTTTCCAAACCAAGGATCTCATCAGAGGTGAGGACCCCTTCGTGGCAGCGTATTCTTGTCGATCGCAAATAGGCACCATGGCAGCAAGTGCGCTATGTGCAGGCGCAAGTTTCTTGCAAAATCTGAGAGTGCACAAACAATCAGCTGGATTATTGTGGCTTTTGGGAATGCAAAACAGTGCTGCCTACCGATAAAATTTTACTTTGCGGCCCGGTTGGCATAGAACAAATAGACAAAATTCTAACTGAGATGCTGAGGAGGAAAGCACTGCCAAGGCAAATGCAGGAGTATGTTAACGTTCCCCTTTCTGCATTTTGCTCCACTCGTGTCCTAGCCGTAGCAATGCGTTCTTGTCTCGATTTGTTATGAGTAAGCTAGTTCTGGTGTTTACCTTTATGATGATCCTGCATTAGCTTTGGTCTGTTTTCATTTTGTAATCCGCTACCAATATAAAGTTTGCTGCATGTCCTATGTTTATACCTCTATGGGGTGTATGGTTTCTCAAACTGACTTCCCCAGAGCATTCTCGAGAGTTCTGCTAGCTCCCAAATTTCTTAGGTAGTCCTTGCCCCCAAATAGGCGTTTTTCAGATTCAATGCTATAATGGCAGATCTGGGCCATTGTATAACCTTAGGCGCCAAACACTCCTTAGTATGTGCCTTACTGCTTACAAGGTCTATAGCGGGGGTGCACAACATGCGGCCTGCGGGCATGAGGCTGTGAGATGTTTCTGCAACCAGTGCGATGATGCCAGATGTTGAAAACCTGTCTGCCAGATATTCAGAACCTGCGCATTCTCAATAAGCATTTTTTTGGCACGCATCATTTTTTAGTTGTGCACCCCTGGTCTATAGGCTTTTAAACTAGTCTGTTGCATCAATACATAAAAAAATTACATTAAAAAAAAAAAAATTTCGAACCCCTGATGTAGCTTACAAGTCCATACTTGCTTTGTTCTTAGTCTTTTGAGTGTCACCTGAATTCCTTTTTTTTTTCTGTTCTTTTTTCTTTTTTGTAGGAGTGGTGATCAGCTGCTCTGCAGAGTCTGAGCGCATTATCCTGTCAATGAAGGCAGATGCCCTGCCGGCAGACCAACAACACCTGATGAAACTGGTGCGTGGGATTTGGGCCATTCCACTGCGGCATTTCTCTAAAAGGAGTTGCATTTACACCTCGAAGCAACCCAAGACAACTTCCCGTAAATCTGGAACTGGAGGAATTAAAACAAGCATTGGAACATTGGCTTGTCGGATGACACTGGCCGGTGGTGACCCCTAAATGTGCCGTTGGCCAACGCCGACTAGTTTTCCCTTTTCATTCTGTGCAGCTTTTTCATATTGCTTGTCTTGTGTTTCTAATCTGTCTACGAGACGCTAATGGGTGAGACTCCAATGAACTCCAAGCTGGGCAGCCAGCAAGGCAACTGCGGTTTGATGAATGCTGGTTGCAGCAGTGTGTAGTACCTGTATAGGTTGTCTAGTAGTATACCAGGTGATCTACACGGTATGGAAGATTGAATATCTCCGTCCTACGTAGAGGCATCCATGAGCCATGCTTGCTAGTGGAACGTCGTCCACAATTTGGTGCTCCAAGCGTGTGCTTTCTAATTCTGTCAGTTGCTAAGTTCTACTGAGGGTTCACTATCTCCCCATACCTTGGGATTAGCATCAACATGCTCATAGTTAAACATATTTAATAGGTAAAGGTGTAGAAATACAAGCAAGACTATCAGGTGTGGTGTATCTGTTTGGCAGCCTTTATTTACGCTCGAGCATTGCCAGCTAGCTGCAAAAGGTGTTCATGAATGAGCACTATCTCGCGCCCGCTTCTATCGAAGTCGGTTATAACGAAATAGCGGCTATAGCGAAGCGATCACAATTTTTTCATTTGCACTTTTTCAGTGTATTTGTGTCTTTAACGAAGGAAATCGAGTGGCTCAAGCCGATATTGGAAAGGAGATCAGACCGCGGCACCCCAAGTGGCTAACTTTAGAACTCCACGGGTGGGGACAATAAATAACAATGACATGGCGCTCGGCTGACGTAACCAAACTCCACGTCGGTGGTCAGCTGGAGTTTCTGTGGTCGCCGGAGGGGAAAAGGGACTCTTGTTACCTCTCCAGCCTTCATGAACAATGCAGCATGCTCAGTGCATGTGCCCAGCTCAGCACAAAAGCCGAAGTGGGTCAAGTTCGCATTTTTTGACGACTGCTTTCGGGTGAAATCCAGTACTAACAATAGATGTCACTTCGTTTCTTAGTTTTTTTATGCTGCACTGTGCCCCGCACTCTATTAAGGGGGGACACTACCCAGGAAAAACAATTTCGGCAAAAAAATTGATTTTAAAAGTCATATTTACATCCACCAACACCTAGAGAGTATTCCCAGAAAGTTTCATTAGTTTACACTGCATAGTTAATGTTTTATAAATTATTTTCGGTCCTCCGATGCTAAAGAAAAGCCAGGGGTTAGAACACTTTGAACACATTTTTCTCCGTTCCACTTTTTGGCATAAATTTCACTTCAGGAAAACTATTGTTTTGTTATTACGTAACTTGGATTCATTTTTATGAGTTCTTCTAGAGTGAAATTTAAAGGGGAAGATAGCTATGAGCTTGTATTTTTTATTTTTGTCATTTTTCATGGTCAAAAATGAAAATTTTGGACAAAGAATGGAAATCTAAAAAACAGCATTTGTGTTTATGTAGCTTTTTTGCCATGAAAGATGGTATAATATAGAAATATAGCTCCATAGGTATCTGCTCTGGACTGTCGTAAAGCAATTAAACACATGAAAAAAAAAAAACATTTATAAGTATTTTCAAAACAATAGTTTTCCTATGCTGACACACCCACTTTCATCTTTAAATGTTTGCAATTTTTTTTGTACTTCACCCAGGTTAACAATATTTGGCTGAAATGTTCTCAACATTTACAGATACAAGCCCTGTAAATGTCATTTAAATCATACAAGTGGTTCAAAAATTAACTTTTTGGGGTAGTGTCCCCCCTAAAGAAGATGCCATGGACATGCCCACAAGGCCTGTGGGCATGTCCACAGGCTTTGTGTGTGTTAAACACAGAGTTGTAGGGACAACAAACGGGTCAGAGCGCCCCCTATAGTTCAATCTCCCCGCCAGTAGCAAAGAGAAATGTTTTGGAGATTAAAAAAATAGTAAAATTCAGAAAGTTCATCAAGTCGCAGACGCCGTACTTTGTCACTGTGGTTGAGCAGCCACACAGAATGGGCAGCAGACAATGCTGCAAAAGCCGGCGGCGGCTTCTGCATCATCGTCTGCTCCCCTCTCTTTATTTGGGAAGTGGCTTTTCGGATCGCACCTGGAGAAGCCGTTGTGGCACGCCGATAGGGGCGTTTAGAGTGTTACGCTCCTTTCACCCCCAAGCCGCGACTGCTGTGGAAGCTACGTCCTCGGACGAGTCGCATGCCTCTTCCGCCACGTGATCACACTCTTGCCCATACCCATGTGTAGGGAGCCAAGTCAGGTGATGAAAGAAAGGCGGCCAATCAGTCCGGCGGTCACATAGCTCCCACCGCAGTCTCAGCTTGACTTAGGGATGAACGGAGTATCGTGACAACGTACCGACGGAGAGAGCCTAGATTTAAGATCTACGCTCGTAGACCTTGAATGTGGTTAAGCTTCTTTAGCTTACATCTGTTTTCTCCCCCAACTAACTACTTATTTTGGAATTTCCTTACAGGGACTGATCACCGAAGATGACATCCCATCTCACCACAAGTGAGTCGAGGGAGTGCGCCATTTCCCCCTGGTGTGCCATTTCTGGGCAGAGGCGCTGCCAGGAATTTGTGGTATGTCGGCTGATCGGGAACGCCCTTTCCTCGCATGTCCCCAGGCGCCTGATGAGCACCCGGGGTCGGTCTTTCCAAGAGGTGCTGGAGCGAACGATTGGCTTCAACAACCCGGCCACGGCCAGCCACATGTGCTCTGTGCTTGGCATTCCGTCTTGGAAACAGGCCTCACTCACCAAGGCGCTGCACCAGTGAGTTTTGCTCCTTGTCTCCCTAAAGTGTGCTCGTTCCCGCGAGTGCGTTTCCCACGGGTGTTTACTTTTAGAAATGTGGTGCAATGCTAGCCCTTCTTATTCTGAGCACTGCTCAGCTGTCAGTAGAGATGGACTTTGTTTCTTGTTTGTTGGAGACACGCATTTTGAAAAGGCATTGCTTTTCTTTTCGTTTTCAGGAAAGAATTTTCTAAGGATGAATTTGCACCTGCCTTGCGCAAGGCCCAATCCTCGAAGTGGGCCTACAAGAGGTGAGACACATTTGTACTCGGTCGGCGCTCACTTCGCTAGCATTGTCAACGTTTTTGTTGTCGCACGTTGGGATCCGATTGCAATAACTGTAGCGGGCTTGTCGTAACAAACTGAATTAAACTCTTGAAAGCGTAAAGATTGTATGGGAATAACTAGTCATCCCAGCTTGGCTGCAGTTATTAAGATACGGCACTTTTTTTTTTTTCAACAAGCTTTTCATTGTTTTTTGCCAAGCTTGTCTCGCTGTAAATGGCTTGTATTTTGCATCAACTTCGTTTTGGCAAGACACAATAGGGAAACATTTATCGAAATATACCGTCGTTTACTACTAGTGGTGTGCTGTTGCCAGAGGGTAATGAACCCACCTGCCTGTCTTGCACCCATTCTGCATGTGGAAGGATCAGAATGCTCAACTAGGGCACATGCTTATCAGTGACATGCTCATGAATGCTCAGTTCTCAAGAATGCTACCATTGCGCACTGGTGCTCATTTTGAGAGGCTTGACAGACAGTGGGAAAACTGGAAAACAAATTTGCAAGTTGCCACCAAAAGCAGGATTCTGTTTGTGTATCTGGACATTAGTTTTCCTTGAACAGTGTAAGGTACATTAGATAATTTATCCCTGGATAAAAGTATTGACGAGTAAAAGTACTCTGTACTATTTGTGTAGCTCATGCACCATCTCCCGCGTGATTAGATCAGAAAACGTTTATTTAAAAATTATGGGTTCTGCCACAGCTCTTGACTTCAGTCATCTGGTGATCTCCAGCACGGAGGGACAAAACCGTTGTCGGCAGTATATGTGCTTCGGAGGGGCTTTTAGTGGGCGTAAGCACTTGGGCTAATTATGTGAAAAGCTCCTTTAAGTAGAATTAAGATGCATTCTGAAAACTTGAAACCGAGCAAAATGTTTCCCTAAATCTTCACACTTGTAGCCTAATATTGCATTTATTGTAACTTCCTAAAAAAAGTTTGAAATTATCCTACATTGGGCTTTGTTTCAAACGCGCTATCAAACCTAATACCTCATGTTTACTCTGATGATACGACTTTATGGATGGTGGATTTCTTTAAAGTACCTAGCAGTGCTTCTGTCTGAGACATTCTTGAAACAATCTGTTTCTCAAATTTTCTGCTTCGCAGCTGTGACGCTAACTCTCCGTAAGTTTGCTTTCTTCGCTCGGCAGTCTACGGCACACCTTCTGGGAACATATCCTTACCACTTGGAGCATGCTTTGAGTAAAAGGCCTGGTTGTGGATTTGGGGTATTAGTCTGCCTGCCTCTTCCTGTCTCGCATATTTTTTGCAACATGAGGTGGTGGTGGTGACGGCTGTGGAAGCACCTATGCTTAACGTCGTCAGTTTTGCGTTATGTTGTCGAGGCTAGCGCACAAACGTCATGCCAATCCACATATTCACGTGCTCCTGCAGCACTGTGGAAGCTATTTTAGCCTTCACAGTGTAGCACAAACAAGTAGATGCCGAGTCTAGTGGTGAAGGCCAGTTAACCACTCTCGAGTTGGGTCACGAAACCGTCCACTAGGGGCCATTCGCACAATGTTGATGGGACCTATGTGTCTTTTCCCTGGTATGGTCCAATGAGAGTGGTTTTTTTATTCTTTGTATTGTTTTCGGCACATGGTGTAAGATGGGCAGCTGGGTTGAGTTTCTGCCAGTTGCTCACTTCCTAGTTTTGGGCAGTACGAGGTCTCATTACGGGACATTGTTATGACATATTCCAATGGAACAAACATATCAGAGCAACTGTGGCTACGTTGGAGTGTTCTCGATTGCGTCGACGTTAACAGGAGATCATTGGCAGCTTTTGTTCATTCATTGTGACAAATGTGCGTTAGAATTTAGAATGCAGTCTTTTTTTTTTTTTTCGATAACCGGCAGATGAACCGTACGCAAAAGGCGTGCGAAATGGTGGCTTGGCAAATTACGTCTTTCTGAGGGGCAAGCAGCTGGAGTTGGCAAAAGGCAGACATTGGGAGCGCGGCATTAGGCCCCCCATTCCCGCTCGGGGGTTCTGAGTCTCCCCTCGCGTTGTGCCGCAGCCTGAAGGACGGGGTGATGCACTTCAAGGCCGGTAACCACAGCGAAGCCTTCGCCTGCCTCAACAAGGCCCTCCAAATCGACCCCGAGAACGTGGAAGCTCTCGTAGCCAGGGGAGCCCTGTGAGTACTTCAGTTCATCAATCGTTCATTCATTTCGTTCGATTTTCTTCAAGGTGAGAGGTAAATCCTTGAAAGATCCAAAGGTACAAAATGCGAAATGGGGATATCAGTGACCAACAATAGGGTAAAAAAATATTTTGGTTAGAAAATGGCACAAAAGTGCCTAAAATAGAGTTCCTTTTCTCAGACTCTTGTCTGTCTCTTTGAGGAGTGTAACTTGTTTTGTGCCTTGTTTTAAACACTGCAATATGACCCATTTTTCAGTAATTCTGTTCCTTTGAAATAGCTTGCATGGAATCAGTAAGGGAAAGAAAGAGCCTCTGGAAGGTATTCTTCATCCTGCATAAATTGGTAGCCACTGAAAAGTGTTCATAGTCAAGTTAATGCCTCGGTATACTTATTTCTCTACGGCCTTTAAAAAAGTAAGTTTCATGACCTCTAGTAAGTCTCGTAACCTCTTACACTTGTTGCGCTTATTGTATAAAAACCAGTGTAATCTTGTCTGTGTTTTTGTGCCTTTTAGCCTTCGATTGAGTTTACAAATACCACCTACCACTCGGGGACAGCCGGGAGAAGGACGGTCCCAAAAGAAGATTTTGTTGCCTTTTCTATTCGGGGGCTCTAGGGACAGTCGCGCTGTCATTCTCATTTTCTTTGAGTTCAAGCGCATTTTCTGCTGGCAGGCCTAGTGCTGAAGCAATCTCGGTCAACAGAACATTGCCTTCAAACGGCTGCGATCATCAAACAAGTCGAAAGCGATTTGTATAAAGCGGAAGTTATAACGGAATTTAATATTGCAATCAAACTAGTCGAAAGTGACCGGTGCCAGGCGTAGGCTGCATAAGAATTCAAAATTTGGGCTGACATCGGTCGTTCCGATGGCCTTACCACTTAAGCTTTTATGTGGTCCCGTCGACTGCGAAAAATCGGCGGCGACTGTGTTGCACCCTTTCTAATTCTTGCTTGTCTCGGTAACTTGTGCAAGAGTAAATGCCGACTGAGGATGCTAAAGTGAGAGATGGAAGGAAGGACGTCGTCCATGTCTCCGTTCTCTTCCACACACCCTCAGGTTTGCCAACAACTCCAACCTCCGTCGCGCCCTGGAAGACTTTGAGCAGGCACTGACGCTGAATCCAAACCATCCCAACGCCCGCAAGTACATGTCAGAGACGCTGGTGGCCCTCGGAAAATAGTGAGTGGGACCGTACGCCATCTGCTGCCATTGAACCTTCGGGGTTGCGTTACAAAACGTGTCAGAGACTGATTAACCTAACATTGTTAGTCTTGAGCTCAAGACACAATCTTGCGGGCAAAAATCTTTGTCTTCGTGTAGTGACGAGTAAGACTCTCGATCCACTGGTTCTTACAGTTCGTCGGATAATAATGTTGAGCGCCATCAGCAAGCCTGCTAAGAACAACTGCCAACGAAAGTGAATGTCAAATTTGCCTCGCATTTGTAACGAGCGAACACTAAGCTCTGAATGCTTGTTTGCACTGAATGTTAACATTTGTCAAGACCACACTACTTATGACCTCTTCTCGCTGTGCAAACGGCAACGGGCTCTTGTCGCAGACACATGAAATGCAACTTGACAACCAACCAAACTTTGTTAACTGGTCACAAAAAAAAAAAAAATTTAACAGATGGTTTTGCAGGGGATTGTTCAGGTTGCCAATCCGTCTATTTTTTGTCTGCAAGCGAAATTCCGCGTTCTCCGTGCTCGTGGAACTCTGCCATTTTTGCCGGAGTATTCGGAGTCGCTCGTAGGAATTCGTGAATATGACACATTCCCAATCCTTTTTGCGCGCAGCTACGAGGAACGCGGCGACTTGGAAGGGGCGGTGAAGACCTACAAGAAGGCGGTGAAGGTGAACCTGAGCAATTCGGACGCTCGAGAGGCCCTGATCGCCATGGAGGTGAAGGAGCGCAAGAAGGACAGCGTAGGTCTCCCCGTGCGTCCGGGGGCCCCACAGGGGGGGGGGGGGACTTTGCGAGTACGGTGCCCGGAACGTGTCGCACTTCCTCAGACGGGGTCCATCGATCGTCACCCAATGACGTAAAAGCGTCGCGCCATTGCCTTTCGCGATCGCAACGTCGTCATGCCAGCAGAGGTGGACGCTGCAGGCATCCATTCTGCCGCGAGTCTCCCCGCTTTGGAGATCCGCGGAAGCTTTGGCAGCCGCGGGTTGGGACGCCGCAACTACGGCGACGCTTGCGTTCGCTCCCGCCGGACTCTAGTGGCCAAAGTTGTTAACCATACCCGTGGGAACGACATTAATGTTAAATCGTTAGTTTGTGCTTTTGACACTAAGCTCTGCCGACGTAGCCGAATGCCGACGCGGAACATCCTCGATCGGGGAAGACGGCGTAAGGAATCCAGTCCACGTGTGCCTTGCGTTGGGTAAGCGCCGAGCTGTGTGGAAAACAAGCCGGACGAAGCGCCCCCTAGAATTGGACCTCCTGCCGACGTGTCGCTAGACGTAACGGGCATCGTACCGTGAGGAGGAGGGAGGGTGCTGACCGGCGTCCCCTCGTGCAGGACACGCGGTCCCTGTCGAGCCAGGCCTCCCTCCTGGCCGAGCTGCAGGGGGAGGTGGGCAAGTCCAAGGACACCCGGGAGAAGCTACGCCTGCTGCTCAGAGAGGAGGTGGACAAGAAGTAGGTGCCCCTCCCTGTTTCTGCTTGTCTTTGGTTTAGTGGGGGCTTACCACATGTTTCTGTCTAGAAGTCCAACTATGAAAGAACATCTTCGCGAAAAAGTTGTCGTGTAAGTCTCGCTACCCCGCACATATAGTTAGGAAGCTCCACAAAGAATGGCGCATAAAGTCGCTGCAGCCGTGGACCGCACTTCAGACAGTCTTCGGACCCCAGGAAGGGTGCTTGCTGTCCGTCCTTCGTCGTGAATGTTGATATGACCTACACAGGGCAACACTGTTTCTAGACCTTTCTTTTTTTTTTTTTTGAACAACTTGTGAGCCAATTTGTATTGAATTTAGATTGCTAATTTGCCTCTAAAGGCCATGCTTGGTTTTGATGCGGCCAAAACATTTTTTGTTAAATTCGAAGTTTAATTTGCAAAGGTTGTGGGAAGGATTAAGACATTGAAATCTGGAAATAAACAGTAAACTAAAAGGTCTGAAATCCAATGAGTGGGAAATAAAAGCTTCAGGACAATTCATTTCTTTTTTCTAAAGATATGAAATTTTTAGTTTTAAAATTATTTTTTGCGCAAAGTATAAAAAGCATATATAATGAGGTATGCCATATTTAACAAATTTATCCATAAAATTTATTATGGCACCATTCCATAAGATAGCAAAGTGTAAATAGTTCATTCTGAAATAATGAAAAACATGTGCACATCCCTTTTGCCGTGTTTTAGAGTATATATTTTGAGAGCAAATACTTGTTTCACAATAGACCCTTTCCGTAATTCAGTCTGGCCACCTTGATCACTATCATCCTCATCTGAAAACGGCATATGTGCTATACTAATGGCGGCCTTCTGTTTACTGATGAAGGAAGAAGTTGAAGATGTTCCTAAGCAGATGATTCGAGGCCTATACATTCTCGACGTTAGCGCGACGGGAAGCAGGAATTGGACGCAAGAGCTGCGTAAGCGTTCATTCCTAACTCTGTCCCAGTCAATCTGTTAGTAGCACTCACTCGGCTTCAAAGCACCTTGATGTATAGGACTCTATCAAGGCGTCTATATGGGTTGGCGCTTCGTTCTCACTGGCTGCATTTGTTTCGCCATCGACACTAAAAGAGATTGAAAAATAATTGTAGTGAAGTGCACATTCTCGTTTACAGTTGACCTTTAAGTGACGGTGCCCCATTAAATACTGCAGACCACAGGTTCATTGCCGCCATTAGTATAGTAAAAGATAAACTGCCATTTGAGTCACCAGATGGCACTGAATTCCGGAAAGGGTCAATAATGCTTCCGGAGAAGGTGACAAGTGCCTGTTAATCTCTAAAAACATTTCAAAAATGTGTTTTTTTTATTTTTTGCTTTAAGAGGAGTGTTTTCTTAAGCTCCATACTCATAACCAAGACAGTCTCACCATCCTACAAAACTCGCTAATGGAAATTTAAAAAACAAAAAGGAGGGGGATTTGATTTGTACATTGGAAAACATAACTAAAAAATGAGGCGTTTACAATCCCTTGTAACTCCGAATTAGAGTGCAGCTCTTGAGGAGGAGGGTGGAAGGTACGAAGAGGAGGGTATCCCTACCAAAAAATCCGGTATAGCTTTCCCTATCCGGAATATAAAACCGGAAATTTGTTACTGGAAACCCGTAATCCAGATTGCAGACAAAGGAATAATTTCTGAAAACCTAAATTCCAGATAGAGTCCAGATAGAATCCAGATAGATGTCCGGTTCCATAATGCGGATAGCGAAAAGTTATACCGGATTTTTCGGTAGGGATGCCCCTCCTCATTCGTACCCTCCTCTCCTGCTTGCCTCCCATTCAGCGGGAAATTTTCGCTAAAGTTCCCACCAATCTTGGTGGAATGAATTTTCCGCTAAACTTAGCGGGGAAAATTTTCTGCTAAATTTAGGGGGGAATTTACCTATAATGCAACGTACGATGACGGCGTTTAAGCTGGAAACGAGGTTTTAAGAGCTGCGCTCTATAAAGAATGAGTGATTATAGGTGCAGGTCAAGGGAGTTCTCTCCAACTACTGCCGTTCCCCACAGGCACAAGAAGCACCGTCGCCACCGCAGTTCCTCCTCGTCCTCTTATTCATCGTCCTCCTCGTCGGGGGCCTCCTCTCGCTCCTCTTCGTCGAGCGGCTACAAGCGCCACGGCCGCAGGCACCACCGCTCCCGGCGCTCTCGCAAGGACCGCAAGGTACGGCTCACTAGGCTACACCGTTTGTAGAAATGCGTTTGAGATTAAATTTTCTGTCTTTCTTTCTTCGTGTCAATCGGGCAAAGACGAAGCTCTCGAAGAGGGGAGCTTTGTTTTAACTCGGTACATGAAAGAGAGTTCATAGTAAAGATGAGCGAGTTTGGTGGAGCTCTGTCTAGGCCGCCGCAACTCGGCTAGCCAATAGGGTGTAGCCAGCGTGCTTGCAGTTAGCAGGCTCTCATTTTATGGCCGAGCACTCTCGAACCTAGAATTTGGAAAGACTCGTTCATTTCGATCTGATGACAGCATTGTTTCTTAGTCTCGGGTCAATCTCCGGGTGGCGTCGGTCAGTCTCCGAACGTTTCAGGCAGGGTGCGTCTGCTCTCGAAGGCAGTACTTAATGCGAATAGGGTCTCCCACGCTCAAGGAGACTGCCTCCTTTTTTTTGGCACGAGTTAAGGAAAGGATGAGGACGTTCGAGGTTTGGTAGGCCAGCGAAAAAATTACTGTCGTCTCGTATTACCGAATGTCATGTTGGAGTGAGGCTCCCGTGACAGGCAAATGCCTGGCAGTCTCGCCGTAACTTGGCAAAGGCTATGATCCCAATGGGCGTAAATTGGTGCGTTGGAGGGTGACATGTGACTATACTTTCCACTAGTGGTGCGTAGTGAGATGGAATAGTTTGAGTTTCGAATGACTGGCTAATCTTCGAGGGGGCACGAAAGCGGCGTCTGGGACTCGCAAAAGAGGGTAAGAGGGGAGTTCCTTCTTCCCTCTTCTCCAACTACTTGGGTTACAGCATTACCCCAGTACCTTTGGTGAGGGCAGTTACACTTATTGGCTCGAAGGAGTTGTAGAGTTTGCTCTTTGCCAAGTTACGGCAAAACAGTATAACTGTTCCCAGCAGAGAGCAATGACGGTGGTCGCCAATCCCTTTTTTTTTTCTCCCCCTGTGTGCGTGCAGGAGGGCAGCAAGGGCGAGCACCACCGTGGCTCCAAGAAGAAGCGCAAGTCCAAGGACCGGCACCGTGCGGCCGGCAGCCCGGCCCCCGAGCCGGCGTCGGCAGCTGCCGGGGCGGCTGCCCTGTCGGAGAGCTACTGGAAAGGGGACGAGCCCGTGGCCAGCAGCTCAGCCGGCAAGGGCACCGCGTGAGTGGCCTGGCTCCTTCGCTTTTTTTGTCTGCAAGCGTGGCGTTCCCAGGGCCAGCTCTCGGGGTCTTCGTAGCTTCGGTAATGGCGTTGCGGTGTTCGCGGCAGTTGGCGTCCGATTGTGGCGTTGAAACTGTGGCGAGTCCAGAGGGGAATCTCTCGCTCTAGTTTTTTTACCCCACGACACTGTCGCATCACGTCGCACTGCGACATCAAATGACACTGGCTTCGCACGACACTGACGACATAGCGTCACGTGACAGCAGCGTCACATGTCACTCGACGATCGGGAAAGTGTTTGGTTGTGCGATGTCGAGGGACGTGGGGGCGTCGTGTAGTGTGATCGTGTCTCGTAATGTTATGCGACGTCGCAGAGGACTTAATAATGCTATGCATTTATAGTGCCTTTTTTGGTTCATTTGCTCGCGTTTCCTCGAAGGGGCACTGCAACCATTTTCACCATTTCGCTACAGACATTATGACAAAATTGTCCGGTCACGTACCGCACGCATGTTTGCTTCGTACGTATGTGTGTTTCGAACATGTCTTCAGACAGTTCTCATATAGCCAATCTCCGAGGACCGTCATCCAAGGAAGGAAACGTGCCTCGGGCAGTGCCTGCAAGCTGTCTTTAGTATGGTGTATTAGTGGCAGTGCCGCGGATTTATGCCAGACATTGCTCGGAAACAAACGTAAACCCCAGAAATAGTAAATTGTCATGCATTTTCGTCTTAATTTGGGTAGGGTTTTCTAGAAATAAATTCTTTATATTGACAAAAAAAAATTTTTGTCGCAATAGTGTACGTAAAATACAGGGAAGATTTCGTGCATTCGAATAACTTGCAATTTCGGAAAAGTACCAAATTTGAAATAGACTTCTAATTCCTGGAAGGTATTGTATATGTTTTGGTATACATGGTAGAAAGGAGAGTCTCCTCCCTGGTAATAATCTTCACAGTCCAATCTTATTGGCAGTGTTCCAAATCTTACTTGAGTAGGTCAGCGTTACTTATGCAGGTCACATGACGTGACTATTCGGATAGAGTAATGTCAGACGTGACTGGGTCTTTTGGAGCAAGACAGAGTAAATTTGGGAACACTGCCATTGCATTTGAGCCAAGACTGAGCTTGGTGCCCACTCCCCCCCACAGTCAGCGCAAGAGCCTGAGCCCGCTGTCGAAGAAGCTGGCCCACCTGTACGAAGACGAGGAGGAGCTGCTGCACCAGCAGGGCCGGTCGGAGGAGGGCCCCTCTAGGGGACTGCCGTCCCCCAAGGTGACCTTCGTCATGCGCTCGGGCCAGGACTTGCACGTACCCCGGCTCTTCAACGTTGACCCCAAGTCAGCTGCGGCCGCCAGCTCGGCCTACTACGAGCGCAAGGCCACCGAGGCCGGCCGCGGCTCCTCCGCCGAGCCTAGCCAGCCCCCGGCCCCTGCTCGGATGGAGTCCGTGGTCAAGCGGACAGAGCCGCCCGCGGAGCGCAAGGGCATAGAGTTCAAGTGGAAGGCGGTCAAGAAGCAGCTGCCGCACGTCGGGGGCAGCGGCGGAGCCGGTGAGAGCCACGAGGAGGGCTCCGTGAGCTCGGACGAGGCACGAGCCACCGAAGCTGCACCCGCCGCGGACAAGATGGCGGCCTCGAGTCACGAGGAGGGCTCGATCCACTCTGACTCCGACCAGGAGAAGGCACCACGGAAGGGCAAGAAGGACCGGTCAAGCAGCCGCGAGAGTACCCCCAAGGAGGGCGGTGGCGGCGGAAAGGGGAAGCGCAAGCTGAGGCGGCGCTCGCGCGCCGACTCGGAGAGCTACTCCTCGTCGGGGAGGTCCAAGTCACCGCCCGCGCGAAGGAGACGCCGGCGGGAGCGGAGCGGCGAGCGCTCCGAGGACTACTCGTCGGACCGGTCCAGCGCAGGCTCGCGGGGCCGCCGCGGCGGAAGGAGAGTTAGCCGGGGAGGCCACAGCTCGGACAGCTCACGGGAAGACTCGCGGCGCCGGCGCTATTCATCAGAGGATTCACGGGAGGGCGGCAAACGCCGCCGGGACGATAGCTACACCTCAGACTCGGACGGCTCGCACCGGCGCCACTCGCCCATGCGCCGGGGCGGCTACCGGCCGTACTACTACAACAACAACCGGGGCGGCTACTACAAGGGCAACTTCAACAACCGGCGGTACAACAATTACCGCGGCGGGTACCAGAACAACCGGTACTTCCGGGGTGGGCGTGGAGGTCGCCGCCCATTCCGCCCTTACTACAACAACCGCATGTCTCCGCGGTACTACAACAACAACAATGGCGGAGGCGGAAACTACAACAACCGGAGCAGCTATGGTCGGGACCGGCGGTCGGGGTCTGAGGGGCCACAGGACCGGTCCTTCTGTCCGCCATGGAAGAGGCGCAACCCGATCGTGAGCAGGGCTCCCGACGCAGAGGAGCTGAAGAAGTTGAGGGAGGCAGCAGCGCAGAGAGCGCAGGAGAAGCAGGAGATGGCGGCGGAGGGGGCAAGTCAGCCGCGCATCAACAAGGCGACCATCATCCGCAACTGGCTGGACGACGGGGACTCGCGATCCCCGCCTTCCAGAGACGCCGGCAGTCCACCCCCGCGGAGGCGGGAGGAGGCACCGCCCCTGCCCCCTCCCCTTCCCACTGAAGCACCCCCGCTGCCAGAAGACGACTGAAGTTCATCGGAAGTCTATTCGTCTCTTCATCGCCGTATTGGCAGAAACCTTCGGAAGCCATTTCCGGTCCACTGGAGCGTTTCTCAGCTCCCCTCTACTCGCAATTTCTCGGCACTTCTCAGGTCTCGAAGACCTTTCAAAGTTTGGACACTTATTTTTTTTTCTTTTGTCTCGGTTTGTTTCTCATATTTTGCCCCCATCCCATTTTTGCACCGTGCTTTTGTGGGTAAAGATGCATCGCATAACCAAAGTTGTCTAGCACTTGTTTAGTGCTTTGTATCTGTGCGAGGAAATGTGGCGGAAAGATTAGGGGGTCATGCTGTCTCTTTGACAGTGTTTTTTTTTTGCTTTGTTTTGTCTTTTGTATATAGAACAATAAAGGCGAGCCACAATTGTGCGTCTTGAGGTCGTGTTTTGGGTCATTCCCGACAGCTTATTCCAAGTTAGGTGGTGTACTACAAGGGGCATACAACATCAATTTACAATTTTTTTGCTGCAGATACCAGTCAGTTCCTGGTCTGTAAATGTGTCCACCTTCTCGACACTCTCCCTTTAGCCGAATGCCCTTGCACCACCTGTGTGGCAGCCTTTCCATGCCTTGCTGGAGCCACCTTTTGGGAGTGCCTCACCCACACCTGGACAGCTGCTTCCAGCTTATCAGTGACCATAAAATGGCGTCATCGTTCGAGGTTTTACATCACACTCAACGGGGGATAACCAATGGGGGGGGGGCCTGGTCGGGCCATTTCCATGTGCAACCAACCGCAGACTGGTTGTAGGATGTGTCAAGAAGACTGCCGAACCCGATCAAGCGCCAGTCAATTGTGGCCTCGCATGAATTGCCACGACGCAGTGATTGACTGGTGCCTGATGGGATTCGGCTGTCTTTCCGACACTTTGTACAACCAGTTAAATGTTTGGCCGTGCGTGGGTGTGGCCTGACCGGGCCCCAATTGGTTCTCCCCCTTTGGGTGCAATGAAAAAACTCCCGCAAGGACGCCATTTCGTGGTCACTGATAAGCTGGAAACAGGTGTCCAGGTGTGGGTGAGGCACTCCCAAAATGTGGTTCCAGCAGACCATGGAGGGGCTGCCACACAAGTGGTGCAAGGGCAGTAGGCTTCAGGGAGAGACTAGAGAAGGTGGACATATGTATATAGAAACCTCCAAATGGCTGGTATCTGCAAAAAGAAAAAAATTTGGTTGTATGTTTATACAGCCTAGAACTTGGTCTGCCTCAATGGGCGACGAGTTTCCCAGCTGTAGATGAGAAATTTAGCTAGTGCAGTACAACCGCTAGCCTGAGGGTGCTTCAGTGTCTTGTTTAAGGTGATGCCACCCTTTGTAGTACCCGATGCCAACAGCACGCGCTTGCGGGTATAATACAAAGAAATCGACAAAAACGAAATTTCGCCATACCACTGTCGGCACCATGAACGTGTGCAGGGACTAGCTCTTTCACGCGCTTCTGAACAAAAAAGGAAAAGTGGGACAAAATGGCCAGATGTGTGCACCCTAAGCAAAGCACACATGAAGGCACCCTAGTTAGCCTGGGAGGTCTTTTTAGTGTGCATCACGCAGTAATGCACGACTGCACGCCGGTACGATGCTCGTCCAGATCGAAATGGGCAGGGGTGGGAATTGAGCACAGAACCCTGGGTTCTGCAGCGCGAGGTTCCGCTCCACGTGCTCCAAGCTGGTGTGTGCTAGCCCACTCGGCCACCAATGCCCCCCCCGGTATCTGCAGTGAAATAAGTTTTAAATCAATATGGTATGCCCCTTGTAGAATAGGCAGATGAGACACTCTTGCGATGCATGAGAGGCAATTGCTGCTGCTGAAAGAAGTGTCCCTCGTAAGTGATGGGGTGCAGACAACGTCCAAGAAGGTTGTGAGAAAGTCATTCAAAACTTTTCTTATGCATGAGGGCAGGGTCACAAAATAAGGTGGCTGTGTCCTCTTGCACCTTAAAAGGGCTCTGCAACGACTCTTCGCAGTTTCTTAGTTTGCACCAAACCTGAGCGCACTGAACGTAGTAACTTAGTCAACTTTTTCTTTTCTCGAAATTTGCTTTATTTTGAAAGTCATAGGCATATTAAAATTACAAAAACGAGCAAAAATAACCTTCTCCATGACGTCCTTGCTCCTCTGTCCCACCTTTTCCCGCGCCTGCGGTCCGTGGTGTCCGAGGAATGTAGAAAGGGAGGGGAAGACTGGGAAGGAAGGTGAGGCAGAGGGGAGAGCTGCTTGGGTAGGGGCGCGTAGCATCTCTCCTCGGCTGACCAAAATCAACGTCACGATTTTGTCGCATGCCGCGCGTGTTTCACGCCACGGGGCATGTGACTCCTGCGCGACACCAGAGAGCTGTGAACCTATGTTGACCGTTGCAATGCAATTAGATTATTCTTATTTTCAAAACTGGTACATAATGTAGCTGGAAAGAAACCTTCAATTTCTGTTGCTGAAAGTTGAAACATGCTCAAGCATCAATTTTGAATCATTGAATCATTGACCGACTCGCTCTGGCAATAGGCCCATCTCGACTTTGCTGTTTTAAGTTCTCGACAAAAGACGCACTCGTCGACACGAGATCCTCAAATAAAATGTTTATAAACACCTTCAAGCCAGAGTGAGCTGCCTTGCAATTTCCTTATTAATGTGAAAGCATTAACTGTCTCATGGAGTGAGCTGACGTCATCAGTCTGAAGCGCGAAAACGGCAGATGGTTTCCTTCGGTTCCATTGGCTGGCGCGCGTCGACAGGGCTCCCATTGGCCGTTGCGCTCGTCAGTTTCCATGACCGCTCACCCCATGGCGCTGCGTGTCCATTGGCGCGGAGCGTCCAAGGTCACCAGGGGAGCACACGCGCCGACTAGCGACGAAAGGTACGCAGCAGAAGAAAAAGGGAACGGACGAACGGCGTGCATGCTTTCGCATTCACAACTCTTGAGGAATGCTAGGTGTACCTCAATCTTTTTTGCACGTCTTTGTTTAGATTATATTTCATTGTTGTGGATGACACGAAACGCCGAAAACATTCTCCGTGTACTGCATCTAAAGGCCCGTTCACACTCTTGCGACCTCTTAGAACGTGGTGCCTTGGGACCTCTTAATTCGCAACTGCAGCGACCTATATTAGACGCCACTATCGGGCAAATATAGCGGTCGAATCCAGATCCTGCCGTGCCATGTGCCAGCTCAACGCAAAACGCTGCGGCACCAGCAAGCAAGCATTCGACTCAAAATGGCTTGCCTCGCGTTTTATCTCCCACGTTTTGAACCTGCAGCGATGTGGTGAGGTTAGCGAACTTCCAGAGGCTTGACTTTCTTCAAGGAAACGAAAAAAGGACTGCCCACTGTCCTTCCACGGTGCTGATAAACGTTGAGAAACGCAGAAAGTCTGGCTCACGCGGTTCCATAGGTCGCGTGCAGAGCAACCTGGGTCACAAGGCGATACTACGGTTACGGCACAATCACCGGTTGAACTGTTCTGCCGCACAAACCACCGACAACATGTCATCACGGAAGCCACAAGAGACGAGCAGAAATCGCAAAAGGACCTGTTCCGGCCAGTTCAGTGTTTTCCCGCTAGGTGCCGTTCGTTTTGTTGGAGTCGCGAATATTTCTTGCAACGAGAAAACACACTGACGCCATCTATTGGGTAGCAGTGTAAACTTTGCGGTCCGGCATATTTTCTATTTCTCTCACGCATTATCCTCTCTTATATGGCTCGAAAAACTTTTGTCAACGTTATAAACGAGCCTTTCTTATAGGTATTACGCATATTTGACCTCGGAAATCCCGCAAAACCTTAACTCTTGTGAAATGCAGTTCCAGGGTCACCGTATAGATAGCACCAAAGTGCCAGTGTGTTCTCTCGCTTAGAAATTTTAAGAGGCTCGTCTCGCTCGGCTGCAAGAGTGTGAACAGGCCTTAAAACGGCAAAAAACCTAAAGGGAAATTGAATTACTCAAATGATACAATATTTGGAATACTCGCCTCCGATTTCTATTGGTGGCGCGTTCAGTGACGCACTTCTGGTGTCACCGCACTGGCGGATGCCATAATGCGGGGCAACAAACATTCTCAACGAGTTGAAAAATGCCATCCGCGGCACACAAGAACACAAGACGTGCCCTAAGTCAGATACGCAGCACTTTGGAGCACCCATTAGAGCGCTTTCGGCAACGTTTTTAACCACTTGGCATGGCTGCGGAACCCGACGTTAGCTAGATGGGTGCTACAGTATTCAAAATGGCGCTACCCACAATAGAACGATCAAAGGCAGCTCACTCCGGCTTGAAGGTGTTTATAAACGTTTTATTTGAGGATCCTGTGCCGACACATGTGTACGTCTTTTGTCGAGAACTGAAAACCGCAAAGTCGAGATGGGCCTATTGCCGGAGCAAGTTGATCAGTGATTCAATGATTCAAAATCGATGCATGAGCATGTTTCGACTTTCAGCAACAGAAATTGCAGGTTCCTTTCCAGCTACATTATGTACTAATTTTTAAAATAAAATCGAGTTGCATTGTGACGGTCAACATAGGTTCACGGCACTCTGGTATCGCGCAGGAGAAACTAACTTTTCGATAATTTCCAGCCACACCCGGCAGTGGAAATGAGCCTTCAACTAAGTGTTTTAGGTGATAAAATCGACTCCGTGTCACCACTTCAAAATATCAATATTAGTAGGTAAATTCAGTTACAAAAATTTACAAGCTGAAACAGCAATTATCGCAAGAAAACTTGCACGTTAGCTAGATGGGTGCTACAGTATTCAAAATGGCGCTACCCACGATATAACGGTCTACCGTTTTATTGTGGAACGATCAAAGGCGAGAGTACTTATGTTCATTGGCGGTACAGTGTTCGGTGCGCGCTCCATTCACAAAATGTTCCAAGCACAGTCGAAAGGATGGCATTGGGGAAGTCTTTTCGGTTTACGGACGCAACCCACTGCCGTCGGAGATTGGGGTCATGTGGAAAGGGATGGAGCTTAAAAACATTGCAGCCGCACTTGCCGGCTTCCGTGTGAGCTACATCGTAGGTCCTCGGACAGTATTCAACGCTTTCTGTCGTTATTCGTGCACCCTATAACCCAGCAATAGTGTCCCGACGACTGGGAGACTGTCACCATCCAAGCCTGTGGCTCCAATTAAGCTTGGGAGTTTAAAACTGAGAAGAAAGTGCAAACAAAGTTCGAGCAATGCAGACGCCCAACATCGGCGAAGCCTCTCATCTGAGACTTTCACTCTTTCTAACGCACCAGCAAGGGGGAAAGCGCAGGAACACCCTTTCCCCTCCTCTCTCGCCTTCTTTCAGTAAAACGGTCTATAGACCGACACGCTGTTTACAAACAAGCCCGCGTTTGCCCACACAAGGTGTGGGCACTGCGCATGCGGAGAAACCGAATTCGAGTGAACTGAGGCGTCTGCGCATGCGCAGTGCCGTCGACAGCGCCACCGCAGCTGCGTGACGTCAGGGACGCGTGTTGGTCTATAGACCACGGTCTTTGCGGGCAGTCTCGATATTTTTTAAAAGCAAGCAAGAGCAGCATGGACGTAGTGCCATCTATGGGCATCTATTGGTGCAGTTCGCAAGACAGATGGTTGGTCGAGTCAGTCAGTTTCTCTGCACTAAGTCTGGCAGCCGTGCTCTAGCATATCCAACAAGTGTCTCCTGCCAAGAGCTCCAGAAACAAACGCGAGCTGCATATTATGATAAGACCATGGCCAGTCCAGGAGCCAATGGGAATTTTAATATCTTTAAATTCAAGCATCATTCTCTTCGGTTGTTTAATGATGATGATGTACGAGGTTTTCTGGCGCAGCAGCATCGGGGCTACAGTGTGCCAGGGTTGTTTAATAGTGATCAATAAAAATGTTCCAACAAGCAGTGCAAGTCAGCACTTTTCAAAGCTACAGGTCTGCGCCTTTTTGCTAGACAGAATTGCACCTGTTCTTGATATTTTTTTGTCTTCACATTTCAACTACATCCTGAACGCATAGATGTACAAGAGAGAGCAAATGAACATTCAACATTAGCAAAACTGTGTTTTTTTCTTTTTTATAAATTTGGGGTTTATTGGAGTTTATTTTTGTTAGACTACCAATTCTCCGAAATTCAGTTTATTTTACCGTGTCCCAATTTTTAAAACAAAATACATGAAGTTTGGGTATCATGATCCGTTGTCTGGAAGGAACCTTGATGAGCTAAAAGGTCAGTAGAGATCTCAAAGGAAACTGAAGTTGTATCTCCTCAGGACTTTGTGCTCTTTTGAATTCTGATTGAGGGACCCCTGAAATGAAGACAAAGCCTCAAAACAAGACAAACCCAGTGCACTGCCGAGGCAAGTTTATTTTAAAATTGTTTCTCCTTCATCGAAATTAGAATCCTACATATTACTAAAAAAAGAAAAGAAGGCATATGCTGAAATAGGAGGCGAGTGGTCTGTCATAATTTCTCTTCCTTTTCTCATCGAAAATTAAACCTTCCAGGTGAAAGACAAACGTTCCAGTCTTGAGCCACCTCACAAAAAAAAAAAAAAAAAAAGTGAAAGACAAACATTCCAGTCTTGAGCCACTTCACAAGAAAAAAAGAAAGGAAGTCATTTGTTGTACAAAGACATTCAGATTTAAGCCAAACTCAGCTTCAATCGACAAAATCAATCACCAAGTTCTGGTTCTTGTTATAACCTATTAAAAGCTCAGCCAGAAACAGAAAAGTTGGGTCATGCTTCACATGTGTACACACGCACCTCTCGGCGAACCCACAGCGCGGTAGCAGACTTCGTTCCGTCCGAAATAATCCCGAGTCTAAGTTCCGCCCGCAAGTGCAGCAAAGCACAAGCACCTAGGTATAGTTACGTAGAACGATGACACACACTGCACCTTGTAGGCCATACCTTTCTTTTCGTGGTGTGCTGCAAATAATTTCCAAGTCGTTCCAAGTTTCGGAGAGCAAAATATACCTCATTCTTAACACTTCCGCGCATCACACTGGCAATTCCTCTACAAGCACCAATCTTCACAAGCATTGCAAATCCGAGCAAAAACAAAAAGCGCTGGCTCGCCAAAGTCACACGCGAAAAGAACAGCCCAACTCTCGGAGGGGGAAAAAAAAAACAGTTCGTTCAGACTGTTGCACAGATGTTCAATGGTCTATTTACAAATGTGTACACAAACCAACAGAAGAAAAAAAAAAAGAAACAACTGCTGAATCTCTTGGCGATCACATCACTGGAGGTGCTTGGTGCTGTTGTTCTTGGAGCCTTGGACGAGCGGCCGCGCCCATTCCACAAAGTCGTCAATCAGCACGGGCCAGGCGCCTGTTGGGAGAAGCATGCGTGAGGTGCGGCATTGCATGGTGCCAGGCCGCTCCAAGTGCTCAACCCTGTCATCAATTCTCCCCTGTTACAGAACACAGTGTGTCCCCACTATATATATATATAAAAAATTTCTTTTTTTTTTTAAAAGACAAAAATAAACGAAGCATTGCTGAACGGTGGTTCGAACCAGATGTCGGAAGTTTTAGAACTAACCGTCATCTTATTCAAAAGTTATAAGTGATTTTCTGAACATTTCATGGAAAAAAGGGCCCATTCTTGGTCACTGGTACCAATTCAGTTCCATGTTATCAAGGTAACAGGAACTGCTTCACTAGTAATCCTGAGGAGTTCAAAAGTAATGTATTCCGAATATATTACTTGCTAGTCAATTCTGTCTTTTGCATCACGCACATGAAGCCATTCCCAATGCCCGCCAGCTGTTTGGGAGCACATTAAAAGTGATTTATTGATTGAGCTACAGAACAAAGTTTTAGTTGCTGTACCTATACACATAGCTGCATCTAGTTGCTACCAGCAAGAAGATTGCAACAGGATTTTACAAAATGATAAGTGCAGGGAAGCAGATTTCAATTTACTAGCACCTGCTGTGCAACTCAACTTAGATCTTGCCCATACACCTAAAAGCTGACATATCTTTCCATCTTCTTTTAGTAGCTGTGTCGTGCCTTTAGCAAATAGTCACCGAGGTAAACAGCAAATATATTGCCGCTAAGACTTTTCTCACTGTGTTGCTGTTACACTTGCTCTTCTTGCTAGAAATCAGTATGTGGATAAGAACAGGGGCGGATGCAGGAATATCCTGAGGGGGGGGGGTCAGGTGTTGGTCAGCGTACCATATGTTTAGGAACCCCCTTCCCCTCTCCCTCGTTTCACGCCCTAAATTTTACACATGCAGAAATCAAGAGGGGGGTCAGGACACCCGGACCCCCCCTCTAAATCCGTTCCTGGATAAGAAGGCACCTTAGTAAAGATGAAAAAAAGGAGTTCTACTTCCGCAATCATTCCCAGTAGACAGCGTAGCACTATTCCAAAAAACAACCTGTCGAATGTGTCGTACAATCGGCGCCATGTCCACCCAAGTTGTTTGGAGTCAATCCATGACCTATTAATTCCTGAGCCCGGTTCAAATATGTCTCATAGTCATCCATGCAGCGCCACGTAGCCGACGTCGGTAATACCACCGCGAGTTTCGTAACGTCTCGCAATGAGCGCGATGACAGCATGCGGCGACGCCAAGACGGAGACGTCGGCCGCCTTGCCCGAGAATCGGCGTGTCTGCCGCTTTTTCACTAACGATGACGTCATGTGCAAGCCTCGTCTTTTAGATGGTATTGCTTTAGTCAATTTAATTCTGTGAACATCTTATGTTACTATGCACCCTGTTCATCGTGGCACCTCTAGCTAAGGCCATGCGACACTCCTTGCAAGGTGAAATGGAGTGTAGCACCTCACCTTCTTCGTCATAGTTGCTCATGTCGTCTGCTATCATACTACTGAAATCTAGGAGCAAATTCCAAGTGTCCTTCGGTATGGACCTTTTGTGGTGTTCCTGAAACGAAAAGGTCACTCAGACACGACCTCAGGCACCCTTATTTTGCCATTTCGATTGAAATGAAAACTCACCTGCAGAAAATCACACCACAAGCTGAGAAATTTGAACCTCCCCGGAAACACGATGTTCCAGTACGCTATCGCCATATCCAGATCTGTGAAGAAAATTACGAAATCTTTAGGACTTGCAAAGAGACTGGGAAGTCATCCCTAAAATTCCAGCTCAAACTGAAAACCTCTACAACAAACCTTGCCCTCTGATTAAATTTTTGTCAGATTGAATTGGTCTGCAAAAAGGTGGCCTTTTGATCTTTCAATGGCCAGATGAAAGCGGTCTAGATGGTACTAATGTAAATAAATGTTATATGGTCAAGTCTCGCTATCTCCACTGATCCTATGGGGTAAGTATCCTAATAAGAAGTATAACAAGCTTTTTTGTATACTTTGGATGGTTCCCAGAAAGTTGCAGACTTGCTACTTTCAGTGTTGGTTTGCAGCCTTTGCTGTCATGCTGAATGGTTGTACAGCAAGGTTCTGCCAGCTACACTGTCAAAGTTAATGTGAAAAGGGGCAAAACCACACTACTTGGAAATATTGTCAAATTTAACCTTCAGAATGTGTTGTATGTTTGACATGGTCTAATCTATTCTCAAAGATTTTTTTAATGATGTGGCAAAGTTTGGTATAGAAATATACCCTGCTTACAAGCTCATCACAAGGGCCTTTCAGATTCCCTGCGAAAGAATCATACAATGCAACCATGAAGTCTTGATGGTCACATTGACCAATGGCAGCAAGATATTTGGGTGGTGTTCTCTCATGGTTCCTACCCGCAATTTCACAAGCAAGATTGGCTGAATAGTTGTGAGATTTTGCCTATTTATTAGTTGTTGCTAACTGCAATTTTGATACTATCTGTCGAAAACAGAATGTATATCCTACTAAAGACATTTCTATAGAGGGCCTTGCCGAATCGTGGAAGGCTGACCGCAGCTATTATAATAATAATAATAAAAATAGTAATAATAATAATAATAATAATAATAATGCTTTATTTGATTCATACCCCAGAACTACCGAGAGGTTATAATGTGGTGGCACATAAAATATAATACAAAAGAAAAATTCATAAAGATGTCTGGCACTGCTATGCTTTTGGTCAGGCAGGTTGAGCATCAACAGTCAAACCATGTGCATGTGTAACTCACCCAAGCCTTTCTGACCAGGGTTCTTGGCATAGTTGAATGTGAAATTATAAAAATCCTTGAACTTCAGAGGCTCCTTCAGCTCGGGCTCTAGAGCTGTTAGCTTGCCTTTCAACTTCTCGATGCTGTCACACCTTCAGTGGAAACGGGAAGCACTGTTAACAAAGTTTCACAATTCTATCGTGGCAAGAAAATAGACAAGCCCAGTTTTTACTGTGCATGTACAGTTGGCAGCAAAAGTTTGTGGGGCGCGTGAGCGCTAGCCAAAAAGATTGGTTGTGCCTTCTGATGGCATGTGGCTGCTCTCAAGATTAACGCTTTCAGAATGCGCTTCCTTTTGTACTCGCAGGCCTGTCTTTTTTAATAGCTTCTGTCTGACACGCACAAGATAATCAGAACTGGTGCAAGGTGCCGCTTTGTCAGCCATCGTGCCGTGCGTCTGCCTCAGCCACCATCATGGGTGACGGACGAAGCTAACATGCTACAAAAAATATTTTGAGTCACCTTGTGTCCGTCTCTTATCTTGTGGGCGTCGGACGGAAGCGAGCGAAGAAAACATGACTGGCAACATGAAAAAAGGTGCATGCGCAAAGTGTGAGTCTTGAGAGCGGCAATGCGCCGTCAGAAGGCGCAGTCAATCTTTTCGGCTGGCACTCCCGTGTTCCGCAAACTTTTGCTGCCGACAGTGCATCCGTGCTTATCGCAGAAACCTAGCTACAATGACAGAAGACTTAATATATATGCTTTGTGTAGTGAACCCCGGTACTGTTAAACATAGAAGCCTTTGTCCACAAACTAAATACCACTGCCGCAATCTAAAGGCACTAGAGAAGCCAGGGCAGCAATTTTGACCGAGGCATCGCTAGACGAATTAATCATGTCAACAGAGATTCCCCCCAATGGCGCGGGACAAACTCCATGAAAGCACTTGTAATGTTTAGATTGTTTCCTTGCACAACTGGGGCCCTATGTTGCGCTTTTTAGACTCCCATGGCGACTAGGAAGAAGGAAGTGACGTCAACAATGCGGCAAACGCGGATTGGATGTTGATTGGTGAGTCGCTGATGACGAATTTCTGCAGAAGAAAACAAAGAAAAAGTGAGTTTTGTTTTCTTCTGCGTAAAGTCGTCATCAGCGACTCTCACCAACCAACATCCAATGTTCGTTTGCTGCGTTGTTGACGTCACTTCCTTCTCCCTAATCGCCGTGGGAGTCAAAAAAGCGCAACATAGGGTCCCTGCCTTAGTATAAGACACCTAGAAGCGGCAGCCAACATTTCGTTAAGCAACATAGCTTTTTGCAGAGACTTTTGTAACTCTTTGTGAAATGCAAAACATTACTCTGAAGCTTCCAGGTTCCCATCAGTTTTGGCTGTCTTCATGTAAGTGTAACATAGGCTAGTTCACAGCTTTGATTTTGTTTCAATGGTTCAAACAACTCGAGGTAGAACGTTGCGTTACTCGGCGCTATAAGCAAACTGATGGTTATAAAGGACTCCTAGAGAAAAGAACAACAACAGGATTAGCGGAGGTGATACACTGCAGTGATGACAGCGATGAAAGCTTACCCCAGCTCCGACATTCCCGTCATGAACTCTTCCCTGGTGAATTCACACTGCGTGACGGCCTTGAACTTCCATGCGATTATGAGCACTAGTTTACTTTCAGGACTAAGGCCTAAATCTTCGAGGAATCGCATAATGCCGTCGACAGTCATCTTATCGGGCTCGTGAGGATCTGCGGAGAGCAACAAAACCGGAGGACGAGGAACCATGTTGTCAGGGTCAACATTGGAAACGTTAGCACACGACACTCGTTCACAGTTACGGCACCTCCGTGAATATCACGATTATTCATTTCGTAAAAATCGTGACTGTTGGTCACAGTAAATTCGTGACGATCAGTCTGTTACAAAATGGAACAGGTACGAAGGCTTTTCCTGTTTCGTAACGTATAGCTATCATCCCGAGCTCACTAATTACGACTTAAAACTTTCGCGAACGATGAGGGGACATCACGGCCGTCCCCGCGCGACCGATTGGTCAGTTTAATAGGAAATAGCGACTAGTTTGTGCACATCGGCAGACGGGAACTAAGCCTAACCAACTACCCTCACAAACTTGCGAAAACTTCGGACTGTTTTTCCACTAGGATTGCGATGACACACGCACGACACCTTTGTATTTGTTGAAGAGGTGCTCGAGCTTCTTTCTGTCGACCGATCCTTTGGGTTCCCTGTAGTACATGTCTGGATTTTGGAAGAAATTGTCCGATGCCACATCGAGTTTCCAGTCGTGCTGCGCTAGGCAGTAGATCGCCGTCTTCTCTCCGGTCTGCGTGAACGCGATGAACTGCTTGACTTTCTCCTTTTGGGACGACTTCAGTTTATGCTGAAAGGGAGCGGAACAAAGGTCATTAGGGCGCCGCAAATCGGGTCGCCGCTCATTGCCAGCCAAAAGACCGTCAGAAAGCAAAAAAGTATTTTGGATCCTACCATTTTCGGCCATTCAGACGCCGTCGAAACCTCGAATGCGCATGCGCTGGGCCCAGCAGTGGCACAGCTGATAGCCCCCCTCGATTATGTCGACACAGCGAGGCACCGAAAATTCCCTCACTGTCCTCTGCAATCGTCGTTTGACGAAAGCGAACTTTAAAAGGTGACGCTTTATTCGCCGTCACGTTGCACCACATTAGCGGGAGGCGACATTTTGAGAAGAGAGAAAGGAGGGAAAAGAGAGAAAGGAGAAAATCTTGAAAGGGGGAGGGAAACCGCCAGGTATCACGTGACTAACTTTTCCCGCCGTTTCTGAACGACGTGCGGTCATTCGCTTTGTTCGGGGTTTTCATCGCAAATTCTGCCTGAAGGCAAGCCATTTTAAGCCGCCGAACCTTTTAAAAATGCCTGGAACAGACTATGCCGGCGACCGGGGTAAGTTTTTGGTTGTTACAGTAACCCTTGAGTTTTTATTACTCGATAATTCACGGAGCTTGTTCGTCCCGCCTCATTGTGACTGCTTAACAAGTGTCCGATTTCGATTTCAGAGAAGATAAAGTCCTTCTTCACCGATTTCTATGTGACGGGAGACAAAGGAAAGAAAGAATATGTCTATTCCAAGCAGCTCGTAAGTGTTTGTTTCTCTTTCCATTGTTTTGTCGTGCGGACCACCGTATCTACGAAGCTTTTAAACCGAGCACCATTTTTAAACTTCCCAAAGCAAACTTTTTACGACTGTGCCCTGCCTTTTTGGGTTTGTAACAGTATTCTAGCGGCGGTCCGATTAAGCAGTTACGTTATTTCCGCGATCGTTTGATCCGCGATTCTTGTCCACTGTTTACTTTTTTTTTTTCTTTCCTTTTTTGTATAGGTGAATCTGGCGCACAGGGAACAGGTTGCGCTGACGGTTGACCTGGACGATGTCGAAGACTTTGACTCCTCTTTGGCAGAGGCGATCCTTCAGAACGGACGTCGCTATGTCAACTTGTTTGCCGATGTTGTCTACGAGATGCTACCCGACTACAAACAAAAGGAGGTATTTGCGTTGACGCTTTGGTGAAAATGCACGATGCTTGTGAGGACATTCAAACAGTAGTATCAAAGGTTCAAAGGTGTTTATTGGCTAAAACAACCATACGACCGAGAGCCTGAGGCAATCAAAAGGCAGAAGCTTGTGCATACATATGCTGATTTCCTCCTCGGCCATACGTTAACAGATGAAATGGAGATGTTGGAATGTAATTTATAAAAGGGTGAGAATACTTAGTCTAATGAAGAGAGTAGGTGTCATGGTGATTCCGCACCAGATCTTTAAATTCGCCTACGCTTGGGGCCTGGCGAGCAGCATCTGGTAAGTGATTCCACAGGGTAGGCGCTTGGACAAAGAGGGAGGTAGAATCAGCTCTTTGGCGCATTGAAATAACGACTATGTTAAAAAAAGAAAGGTTATTTTGTGTCACGTTTGATCCGGTTTGTAAACGTATGAAAACCCATTGCTGTTGCGAGTTAAACTTGTGGAATTGGGGAAAAAGTTTATGCGGAGAGCAAGTTGTCTGCTTCTTGCGCAGGAGTTGCAGTGACGTCAGAAAGGTGCCCAGCTCTGATTGAAGGATAGTGGGCAGACCTCAAAGCAGGCTGCCTTGAGAATTACCCCCTATCCTTCAACTAGAGCTCAGCGTTCTGACGCCACCACGACCCCTGCAAAAGGAACAAATTTGCGCTCCGCATAAGAAGTGGAAATATTGCTAGCAGTCGGCACAGCAGCTTACGAGAAATATTGGCAGGAGTGTCCCATCATTGGGTGGCTGCAGTCACTTGACTGAAGTTTGGTCCCTGCTGTGTGCAAGGGGTGGGAGGACGATGCTGCGGTGTGTACGAGTGGGCCAGGTGGGTTAGCATTTTACAGTGGAGCTGTTGAGGGCTGGTTTCCCCAGGATTGTGTCCGTCAGCAAAGAAGTGTTGACACAACACTCTGGACAGCTACCGCCATCTGTGAGCGACGGCAGCAACCATTTTGTCGATTGTCTGGTTGTCACCGTCTCTCATAGATGGCGGTAGCTGTCCAGAGTGTTGTGTCTGCCGGTTGTCTGGTTGCCGTCATCGCTCGTAGATCGCTGCAACGTTTCCAGCCTTTCCACTCTGGCTTGCCAACTTGCAGCCGGCCAATATTTCATTCCCACCATAGTACAGCTTCGCTGGTCTTCCTTCTTCACTAGAGTGGAAAGGCAGAAAGTTTTTCTAATGAGCTGCAGCAGACTGTTGCCGCGAAGTGGTGTGAAGGGTGGGCCGGGTTAAAGCCTCATGATAAAAGGATTTATTACAAACACCACTAGTCATTGTTGTGGAAACACGCAAGACAGGTGCCCCGAGCAGGTGCTCTGCCGCCATTCGCCAGTGCTGCCCACCATTTGCTTCCAAGGGCCACTCGAGACAGCGTCGTGCACTGGAGCATTTTACGCTACTTGGAAGACAAACGCAAACACATTGAAGGGCTTTAGGCGGGGTAGGTGAACACACGCGCCCCAGTGATACATGCATGTTTTGTTAATACTTATTACTCGAATTGCACGCTGTAGGGACATTTTGTTGTGCTTGTATCACTGGGGACTTGCAGCAAACTGTTAGTGTTCCGCAAGCCGCACTACCGAAGCCGTTGAAGCATGCTTTTAAGTGCGCACCCCCGCGGTCACAATACCACCTGGGCACGTGTTTAGAAGCGTGCTTCAAAGGCTCCGGTACACGGTAACGGTTTGCTAAAATTCCCTATTAGGGCACGTTATAATTCCGGTTGCCGGCACGCTACCCCCCCCCCCCCCCCTCCCCCCCCCCCCCAAAAACATGCCAGCAGTATAGCCACACGATTGCAGCCTGCCAATGGGAGGCAACTGCCGGCATTTTTCTGCCCGGACTACTCTGCCGGCAAAATAGGCTCGTCCAAGTTTATATTGGCATATATCATATGTGCATTGCTCAAATTTTCACACAATTTATCAAAACATGTGCAACCTGAATCATTTGCAAAGTTAAAAGTTGGGTAGCGTCGAGTAAGTGTGTTATGCCTGTTTAACAGATTTGCGTTGTGTGGTTTGTAAGGTTGTTATGGCTGTTTAATTCAGCATATTTGCACTGATTTAGGGAGTTCAGAAACCATTAATCATACATGGGTTGCATGAGATAATTTGATAGATTATGTTGAGATTCTTATAATTCCATCAACAAATCCAATGTTTCAGTTACTGCTTCATTGTGATCAGCATAATGTTTGGGTAGACCCTTATATTTGGTCTAAAATTGGCAACCCCCTGCCAATTTTGGTCAAACTGGTTAAAACTGGTTTCTGTCCAGAAACCGAACGACCATGGTTTCAGTATTCTCAGTTTTAGAGCTCATTAGGTGTAAAAAAGAGCAGTATAGTTCTAATATACTAGCTCATTTCAAAGGATCTGCCTCATTTCGGTCGAAAACACTGGCCAGAAATTGTCGTTATGAAAGTATGAAGTAGTGGTCAGGCACGTAGCCAGGGGGGGTCCATGGGGCCCCCCCCCCCCCCCCCCCCCCCCCCCCCCCCCGAAATCTTCCATTTTGCTGGGACCTTATCTCCCCCCTCCCCTTCATACAGCATTTTGTCATCGGCGGCTTCCCCCCCCCCCCCCCCCCCCCCCGAAACAAAATCCTGGCTACGTGCCTGGTAGTGGTATTTGGGTAGAAATCACCTGCACTAATCCAAAAGCAGCAGCTTTTTGTTTACTTAAAGCGAATCTCTCAAATCCAACACAACAATTTTTCTTAATTCAAATATGGGGAAGCATTTTCGGTCTCACCAGTTTAGTGTTAAAAAAAGTTAAAGCCAATTAGTAGTCCCGATGTTCCTAAATATAAAGCCCCAAAAACGAGGAATCCTACCTTCATAGGTTCACATGGTAATTTAATAGTTCATATTGGAGATCACGATATTGCAAACCAGTGTATTTTATGTTAAGAGCAAAGAGCCAGAAGCGACAATTCGATCATTAATCTTTGCGTTCTTGTTAGTTTAAAAATGGTGTAGGTCTGACAGATACATTAGCATATGTTCCTGTTTGTTGAAGACCATTAAAGGGTTGGCCAGACAAAACATAGGCACGCACACAAAGCAGTTTAGCAGCAAAACAGATCCGGTGTGCAAACTCTGTGTTCGCTTTTATGGCATGCAAAATCGCAAACGGCAAAAGTAAAAGAGAATAGTGTTCTGTCGGACAGCCCTTTAACGGAGGGGATGCGACCTATGCATACTTCAGTGTCCCCTAACTCGTATATGGCTCTTCTTTCCACAGGTGGTGGCAAAGGACGCCTTGGATGTCTACATTGAGCACCGGATGCTGATGGAGAGTCGCAACCACCAACCTGGAGACGTCAGGGACCCCAGAAACAAATATCCGCCGGAGCTGATGAGGAGATAGTACGTTGATTGCGGCATTTTAACATTGAGTTTTGAGCTGCTCAATAAAAAGGGAAGGAAGGGAAGTTCTCTGCAGAAGAACAGGTTTCTTGGCAGATCTGATTTTCACCTATATTGGGAATTATGAGCCATGTGTAGGATATTCACAAGTTTTCTTTGCCCAGTGCACTTTTTTTAGTGTCTTAGTGTGGTTGCTTGTTCCTTCCCTGTTGATTGCATTTCCCTAGAAATGTATGTTACCGTGGATTGGGGGTGTAGCCAGAAAGGTTGCCCTATGTGGAGCGCAAGTTTGTCTGCTCTTTTGCTCAGGAGTCGCACTGATGTCAGAACGCTGAGCTCTTATTGGCTGATTGGCAAAAAACAGTGGTAGACCTCAAAACATCTAGTATTGAGGTCTACCCACTATTCTTTCGATCAATGCCAATCGGAGCTCGACCTCGTTTTGAAGTCACCGCAACCCCTGCAGAAGAAGCAGACAATTTGCTTTCCGCCTTAAGTCCAGCCCCTCGTCTAAAAAAAAAGTTTTCTACGTTCGCCACTGCAGTCCATAATCCCATCAACTCTGTAATACATACGTATTAGAAAGAAAACTGTAAGCACAAAACAATGAATTTAACTTTTTTTGTATTATTTCCTTATCGATTTGCCAAACTGATGCTTGGCTTATCCTGGCTCATGGCAAATTCACACAATGCCCAGTAATGGAGGTTTGCAATCAGCTGTAAGGGGGTTCATTTATGATGGCCGGTTTGCCCATGCAGTGAGGTCTACTTCAAGATGCCGTCTGCCACCAAGACTATGTCTGTGCGAGACGTCAAGGCCAGCAGCATCGGAAAGCTGGTCATGGTCAAGGGCATTGTGACCCGGTGCACCGATGTAAAGCCCATCCTGCGCGTCGCCACCTACACCTGCGACCAGTGTGGTGCCGAGACCTACCAGCCCGTGAGCATGACAACCTCACTACCTTCGTTAATTACTCATTGTCTTTGGCATCGTGCACCATGCCAGTGATATAGAAGGCTGAAAAAACGGGTTCTTAGACTTCTCTGTCTCGAGGAACACTTATCCCTCCTGACCGATAGCTAGGAAACCCCCCCCCCCCCCCAGTTTTGGTATTGAAGTAGTAAAGCAGCGTAGAATCCTCTAGACCTTGTAAAAAAAAAACAAGAAAAATGCACATACTGGGGTGTATTTGGCACATTGCTATGCATCAGTAGATGCCTCGTATCTGCAAAAGCAGTGCTTTAACCGGAGAAACACTTAGGTGCAGAAGCGGCAGCTATGAGAAGGGGGCGAGGGAGGGAGGCAACGGCTCATGCCCACCTCCCTCTCGACCCCTGGTCTACTGCCGAGCATCTAATACCCTGCATGGGCAGATTTTTTAACACATTTTAAGGGGCCAATACGTGTTTGCCCATGGACTGTTGGCCATTTTGTCTCGTAACCATTTGACTGGGGCCCATTTATGCCGGCTTGTTTTTCCTCTCTGGCTTTTAAAACTTGAATCTTGGGCCAGTGACAGGTAAGAAATTCAGTGGCAAATGCCCCTCAAAGAGATCGATAGGTATGGAATATGCTGTCTGATCGAACAACTGGAGTGCCCACTTCAGCTATGACAGGCTAAAAAAAAAAAATCCTTGAAAGGCTTTTTTTCTCTTCTCTTTATTTCTTTTGCTTCCCCTCCCCTTCAAACTATGTCTTAAAGATGGCAGCACGCCGTCCTTGTATTGAGACTCAAAAGGAGGCCAGTTGGAATGTGATGCATCTAGATTGCAGTAATGCATCAACTAACTCAAAACGTTCTCGTCAATCTGAGCCCCTCTGATGCAGCACTCGCATTCAGTTTCTTAAATTTGCTCATCTGCACGAATCTCCTAAAAGAATTCCTTCCCTTGTACATTTTTGTTTTGGTACGAAATGTTTTCCTATGTCGCCAGGCTTATATCAGTTCTGACCCCTGCACCCCTGCCAAACACTAGCGTCTTGTACCGTGTAATAGTGAAGCTGCACGTTTGTACAGTGAAATCCTAAATTTGTGAAACATTTCTTTTTAGGACTTTTTTTTTGTTGTTTAAAAATACTTTTCGCTAGTTTGGAAATAAGAGATTCAACAAGCACTTAATGATTGGGTACTGTAATCAATAACAGACCTTGTCAAATGTCAGCTTGCAAGAAATTTTTTCTTTTTAAACCAACGCTTGCTGCGATTTTGGAACTTCTCGTCCAGAATTGGGTCGAAACGCAGACGAAGATGCCGCCATCTTTGAGGCTTGCAGCCCGGCATTTTCGACACTGCCGAAAGGCGGCGCCAAAATATGCTTAAAGTCTATTGGCCAGCACCGCACTTGACCTTGGCACTGGCAAGTCGCGACGGTCAGCGATCTTGCTAGCTTTCTTGCCGAGTGTCCAACTTAGAGCCCCTGTATGGCAAATTTTTTGCCCTTTCACATTCGCTCCCTGTCATCGAAACGTTAGTTTGGGTTGGGGCGTATCTATTTTAAATACAGGAAAAGAGGGTAAATGCCCATTCATACTGTTGGCGTCGCAAGTCGCTGTTATCTGAGCGGGGACATCGGTGTGCAGATCAGCAGCCCCAGCTTCACCCCGCTGGTGACCTGCCCGAGCGACGACTGCCGTGTGAACAAGGCCGGCGGGCGCCTCTACCTCCAGACAAGGGGCTCTAAGTTCATCAAGTTCCAGGAGCTCAAGATTCAGGAGCACGTACGTAGTTCACTTGTTGCCTTTGGTCAAACTTCTTCTTGACAGATCTTGCTTAAATGTTCCAGAAATGGAAAGCAATGGTGCATCGTTTGGGTTTTCTGTCTTGAATTTATAGAGAAAAGGAAACGGAGCTTTGTTTGAGGTATTGTTGCTCAAAACAAAATAAGAAAACAAGCAGATTAGATGTGATTATTTGGACAGCGTGAGGTCATTCTGCCTTTGAGGTATGGAAGCACAGGTTCATGCTGTAGACTAGAAATTTCGCCAGTGCGGACTTCGACTTGCAAGGTTGTGGGTTACAGATTCAAGATACTAGTGTGTTTTATGGATTCTATTCTTTTCATCGACAAAGGCTCTATACTGTTTCTCGAACATTCCCAATTCGTATCGTCATAGTACGTGACTGAGGAATAGGGCAGCAGTCGGCCCGCCAACGTCCGACTGACGGTTTTTATGTGAGCAGAACTGGAGTTTGAGCTACAAATATCCTTTCTGGATAGCTGGAGCTGAATCTCTAAACAGATATTTCACAGAATGCCTTTTCACTTCCTGTAAATCACATCTCGCCATGGTGATGAAAAGCATCCGCTGCTTTCCCGATTAGTTCATATGCATAGATATTGGCGTCGGTTTCGGCATTGGTAAAGCGCATAAGCATGGCGATTAGCTCCGTCGACGACAGAACTCAAAATGTACGACCAGGGACGTATTTAGGTCGCACAAACCCACACTTGGTCCGCCTTTCCTCCTTTTGAAGTTGCCCTGGCAGCATCTACAAGGGCCATATTCACCGCAGACACGTCAACTTCTCAATTGCCGGCTCATCTGGAATTTGAATAAAAACCAATGTGTATAAAAATGAAGTGCGAGATGATGCTTCTTTCTATTGCCGACCTCTCCGGCAGGTACAGTCAATCACGACGCAAAAGAACTCGAGCGAGCCGAAAAACGCTGCCCCTGCCCATACAAAGACATAGGCGGAAAGTTAATCAACATGGTATCCGGCAAGATTTCGAACCAGAAGTATGGCACGTGAAACTGCCTATAGGTTGTGTGTTTCTGTGGAAATCTGGTCACGCCCTTCAACAACCCTTTTTCCCTCTGGGGCAACTCTCGGGCTGCACAGAGCGACCAGGTTCCGGTGGGCAACATCCCGCGCAGCATGACGGTGTTTGTGCGGGGGGACTTGACCCGGTGCGCCCTCCCCGGAGACCACGTGTCGGTAACGGGCGTCTTCCTGCCCCTGCTGCGCACGGGCTTCCGCCAGATGCAGAGCGGGCTGCTCTCGGACACCTACCTTGAGGCGCACGTGAGTGATGGTCCGGCCCTAGCCTCCTCTTTGCATTATGTCTTCGATTGGTTTACTGGATGGGCAGTAGTAAGCGGTATTGTAAACTCGCATGTAGGCTTGGGGCCAGAAAAGCCTGCTGCAGACTGAGTCTGAGATGAGTAGGTTGTGCTTTCATTTCGAAAGTTAAAAATGTTCCCTGAATAAATTGGCCCCCAAGAAATTTGCAGATACACAAGGAGATTGTCGACTTTTTTTAAGTATGTGCTTCGCCACCCGGAAACAATAATACTTTAAGTATGAATAGTATTGCCTTGAGGCTACTTGTCTAACTACAATTCTTGCTCTTGATATGGGAAAGGTTTACGGGAGTATCAGAACTTTTTTAATGAAGCTGTTAAAGAGGTGATTTTGTAACACCTTGCTGCTGTCTGCTCACACAAAGGTATCGAGGAACTTAAAAATTCTGCGTTCAGAGGCTCTAAAACTAATGTAAAATATTCCAGTGCCTTCGTGGAGAGCCCTTGAGCATTTGAAGTTGCAGTTCTTCATTCTAAACACTTTTCCTTCCTTTGGCAGAAAATCACGAAGATGAACAAGATGGAGGATGATGAGCTCGACGATGAAGCCATGTCCGAGGAAGAGCTCAAAGCACTCACAGGTGAGATGATGCACCACTCTGATCGACACAAGTATGGATTGGCTTCAGCATGCTGATCGCACCTTGTGACATCCATTGCTCTTCCGTGTGTTGGGAACAGAGGAGAACTTTTACGAGAAGCTGGCCGGCAGCATTGCTCCTGAGATCTACGGTCACGAGGACGTGAAGAAGGCTCTTCTCCTCCTTCTTGTTGGAGGCGTTGACCAAAATCCAAACGGAATGAAGATCAGAGGTGAGGTCACTTAAAATTGCACTTTTGCTTTTTAGTCACATTTTTAACAGTTTGTCAGCTTTCAAATATCCTGATGGATGATGTTAACAAGTTTCCCATGTGCAGCAAGTATTGTTTTCCAGAATAAATTTTTTTGACATGCCGGCACCATCTAAAGTGCAGCTTTTAGAACTTTCAAATGTGTTTAGCTCAGTTCCACGTTTTGACATCAAATCTCAGTTCAGGAAAACTATCATTTGCTAATTAATTGATCTGTAGAGCCAACTTTTGAAGTTTCTGTACCGAAATTTTGTAAAAAGCAAGGCTGTGAGCTTACTTTTTGCATTTCCATGGTATTTTGTTATGAAAGGCTGCAGTATCTTGAACCTAATGCATGCAAAAAAATACGAACTTTTTTCACATTTTTATTTTCTTTAATTATTGTGTAATTTCTGTACTCTTTTCCATAGCCGCATGACATGCATGCTATACTGTATGTTTCACCGAAAGAACAGGCCATTGCCAATTACCTTTTCTGAACTATAGTTTTCTTTGGGGGGCACAGTGTTTATTTTATGTACTTTTACTCAATGATAAACTTAAAACTGCATGTCATCCTCTTTCCTAGTCATGAACATGCCCTGCAAATTCCATATAAATAAATCTATTGGTCAAATAGCTTGCCTTCCTGATTTGCATGTTGTCATTTAAATATTGCAAGAAAATAAATGATGGTTACTTAGAAGCAACCTGTGTATCCAGTCTGAATGACTTTATGGCATCAGTCCATGATGAGGGCTGGACTCTGATTCACCAGTACACAGGTTTCAAGCACCCAATGGCCTTTGGGTATTTTCAACTTTTCTTTGAGGGAATGAACAAAGCCCCACCACAGTAATGCTATAAGAGAGGACAATAAACTGACATTTGCGTTGAATGGTATCTAAGAATATTCCTTACTTAAAATTCCCGAACGCACGATAGGTCATTGCTTAATTTTTCCAAATGTAACTAACAGCTGCGGGCCATCATCTTTTCTCCAGGCAATGTGAACATTTGCTTGATGGGTGACCCAGGGGTGGCGAAATCTCAGCTGCTGTCCTACATTGATCGGCTTTCTCCGAGGGGTGAGTGGGCATTCTCGTTGGTTTACTATCGTGGCGTGCACATGCTGCCATACTTACAGTTACCTTATAACCTCAGTACTTCATCACTTTTAAAAAATCTTCCTGGAAAATCCTATGTGGCCTCATAGTGCACGGCATGGTGCAGGAAATTTTGGGGCTGTTCCAATGTACACTTGGGCCGATTTGTACACTTCATACTCCCTGGAAGCAGCGCAATCACTTCTCTCTTTTTACGCGAGTTCAGAACACAAAGAAAGCGGATCAAACCGTTAACAAAACCGATGCATACCCTGTTTTGTCATCTTTGTCCCGCCTTTGCATTCTAAAATTGCAAAATGCTAAACGGACACATACAGCTTTTTCTATGCATGGATACTCCTTCACGTGCTGTACATTGGATTGCAGTAATGTGTCAAAAAGGCGGTGGGGGCGCCGCATATGTCTGGAGTGGTCTGTTGGGCCCCGACACTCAATGCGGGCAAACAGCAATCTATTGGCAATCCTATGTACAAACAGCAGTCTATTGGCACGTGTATCATTTTCTTTCCCTGACTGTCGGTGCAGGCCAGTACACGACCGGACGTGGCTCGTCGGGGGTGGGCCTGACGGCTTCTGTGATGAAGGACCCCTTGACCGGGGAGATGACCCTCGAGGGCGGGGCACTGGTGCTGGCGGACGGCGGGGTCTGCTGCATCGACGAGTTCGACAAGATGATGGACATGGACCGCACAGCCATCCACGAGGTCATGGAGCAACAGACCATCTCCATTGCCAAGGTGGGGCTTCCAAAATCATTGTTGTCAGTTGTCCGAAGCTTAGTTTGGAATCGCAGGAAACTTCTTTCCATCCTCCAGAAATGTTAAAGCACTCCGCGACGGAGCAAAGCAGTATCGCCCGAACCTCCCGACATTGTAGCTAAGCTAAGACTCAGGAAGTTGCATTTTCAAATCGTAACCATTGTCAATTGTGCCCGCTCTGCACTAAGTGCGAAGATGGCGGCTCTCACAGAGTAGTCGGGGAATGGAGTGCCAATAGTGTAAGTCAGAGCCGTGTATAGAGAGAGTTTGGTCAGCAGGAGGAGTGGGCAGGGCTTGACATGCTCTCTTGGCCAACCAGAATCTGAAAAGAGTCCCCTAGCAGTGGTAGGGAGAAACAGTTTTAATAAGAGCATAAAGGCTAAATGCAGTAACTCTTCATGGTTGAAAATATGGTGCACGTGATTTTCCATTTTGATCAAGCAAAGAGATGTCAAAAATAAATGTGCCGCTCGAACTCTGTTTTGCTCGGACAGAGTGTGACCGCTCGGACGGCAAATTCCTGGCCCTCGGCACCTGGCGTATGGATTATGTCGATCGTTTTGCTAGTCACACTCTTCCACCATGATTTTGGATGGCCGTGATTGAAACATCACGTCCACCATATTTTCAGTCACCAAGAGTTACTCCGACGCACTTATTAACATTGTTTCTCGCGACCACCATTCGATTACAGTAACATGTATTATTTCCGACTTCTGGTTGGCCATGTTCAAATTTGTGAAGACGCCCAGAACACGCCTGGCCGGCTTTCGGCCAACGGCGCCTCCTCATTTGCTTTCTGTACCTCCCAATGAATGGCCAAACTCTCTCTATACACCTTTCCAAGAAACATTTGACCCCAAGGGCAGCAAACCGTTTTCAAGCCCAGTCACTGGGTGTGAGGTTGGACTCTCACCGGCGTCCCTGCTAACCCTAACCGAGTAAACTGCGTTAGGCGCAGCCTGCGTAGGCACAGTTTCAAACAGTGCTGGGGGATAAATTCTCGACTTTTCCCGCTGTATTGTGTGTTTCATGGTGCATGTATTTTCTCAAGGTCATTGAGAAAGTATTGTACCACATTTGAAAAAAACAAAAAAGCAATAAAAACCTATAAACCATTTTCGTTGGGTACACGTGCAACAGAATGAATGCGACTGGAATGTATAGTTCTATTTATTTTTTTTTTACGATAACTTTTCACGGCACCCCGCTATTAGCCACATGTAAAACGACAAAGCGCTTAGCTGTCGAAAATAGTTTACAACAGAAGACAGCAGAAAGGCATGCATTTTTCACGCCCACAAATAACGTGTTTACCGATGAACAGGACACGGACATACAATTTAGCAAATGTTGACATTCAAACAATATATTGTACGTACCACACGATGCAGCATTATCTGAAAATAATTTATTTAAGAAAGATCTGAAATAACACAGTCACAGTCGACGACAGTCACATCTTGACGATCGGACGGAATCCAAGATGACTTCATTTTGGGGCACGTTGTGGGGAGAGCTTCCTTTTTTCACAACAGCACCAAGGAGAAGGAACGATCGCAACTGACCCGTTTCCCACCCCAACTCGGACAACTATTTTTGGAGATGACTGAGGATTCTACACGGATTATCTTTGGGAGGGGGGAGAACAATGTTCGCAAAATCGCATCGAGGGCCGTTCGACGTCCTTCATCTCCTTCGTTTCCCATGAATGTCGAGCAGAAAAGCTTGAATGGCAGGCACTTACCAGCCCTATTTCTCAAAATGGAAGATAACACAGAAAGGGTATGCAGCACGCATAAAAAAAAATTACATGGAAACTTTCAAGAGGGGCGAGAAAACGTTGAATGCAAAATCGCAAAAACGTAGGCAGAGAACCGCGCTGAGCGGGTCTTCACAGTTCAAGAGAGTGGCAGAAAATTTCTAGCTGATAGAGGGCGCGAGAGTCGCACCAGCCGCATCAGCATCAGCAACATGGCGGCGGCCTAGGAGCGTTTTTTAAAAACGTGTATGTACGGCTCTGGTTCAAGTGTAGCTTATCTAGTGGCTTTAGCTTCACCTAAGGGTCCCGGTCATAAGAGTTGTAACCCGGATGTTGGCCGTCATGCCACATAGAAGCCAGGAATTGGCCGCCATTCTGGGTTCACTCACGCCATGCACAAAAGCGCAAGCAGAGGAGAGTTCATATTACAGGTGCAGCAGGGTTTATTAGCAATGAAGCATCAACACAGCTATGGCCAGTCACTGAAGTGCGGAGTCACGCCTGTTGTATACTCAAAAGAGAGGGCGTGGTATGATTGTGAGAAAACGCACTCACATGTGACCAATCTTATCAAAGTTGCCAAGAGTTTGTGGCACCTGTATGCGGGCGTCGGAAGGGGGAGAGAGGAAGGGAAACAAGTTCGCTATCTGCACTTCTGTTTTCATGTATGCTGTGGCAGACCCCTGTAGCTGTGTAAAACATGGTTGGGGAATGCAGTTCCTGCACGGAACCAAGTTGGTTCTCATCTGTCTTCATAACTTCTGATTTAGCCAAGATTTTAGGTTTCAAGAATGTTGGCTGCTATTAATTTTTTATTTCTTTGGGGGGGGGGGGGGGGGGAGGGGAACAAGTTTTTAGTTTGACACGGAGGTCTCTACTCTACTGTTTCGTCTGTTGAGGCCCTAACTCTGTGGTATCTCCCTTATGACCACACAGTTAGGTTGCCAGATTTCTTTTTTCTATGCATTTCAGAAAGAGGAAAGGTCTCTGAATGTGCTAGCAGATCATTGGTGGTAGTGTGCACAGTCATCTAATGGCATTATGAAAAACGCGAGAGCATTGCACCCAACCCGATCCCTGGTGTCTTCCCACCAGGCGGGCATCATGACCACGCTGAATGCCCGCACGTCCATCCTGGCGGCAGCCAACCCGGCCTACGGCCGCTACAACCCCAAGCGCACCATCGAGCAGAATGTGCAGCTCCCGGCAGCCCTGCTGTCGCGTTTCGACCTGCTCTGGCTCATCCAGGACAAGCCGGACCGAGAGAACGATCTCAGGTGGGTTCCCGAGCCCTGTGATAGGACTGGGATCGGAAACTTTCGTGAATATAACAAATAAGGAAAAGGTGAGACTGAAATCTTTAGGAAGTGAGGAACCTACCGTTTCTTTGGGGCCGCAATCTATGAATCGCAAACGGTAGTTCTGAAGTAGAGGTCCCACGCCCGTCGTCCGCAGCCATTGCCGTTCAGCCCGCAAGCCCCACGATATGCGAGATGACGCCATGTTGAGAATTACGCAGCGCACAGAATGCTTCCAGTTCTCTATGCAACTTTTTTTTTTTTTTTCCAATCAACGTATTTGCAGCTTTTTAAAAGCCACAAACAATGGGTTTCATATTTTTTTTATATTTTTAATATTGAGCGTGTGCCTTCAATGACCAACGACTTTGATTAAATTTAGTGGTTGTGTCTCAACCTTAGAAACCGGCCCGTGACCACAGAAAAGAGAGTGAGCGCGACTCAAACCGGCCAGTTCTTGATAGGCGGTTTTCGGGCAAAAAGAAACCAAATTTCAAGCCGCAAATTTTGTTTTGGGTGGTTGGGCTGTCATGTGCCACATACAACTAAAAACCTCGGCGAGCATAAATACCCTGTCAGTGTCCCTTTAAAGTGAAATAAAATAATGAAAGCCCGAGCTCTTGCATCTGCCAACTGGCCGATCGGCGCCTATTTCGCTGTGCGCTTGATGTGGAACCTTTCTTCAGGAGACGACCAATGCCTCGTTCCTAACATTGCAAGCTCGCGAGTTTTTACATTTCAATATAAATGTGCCATGTTCCTTAGCCAATATATATACAATGTGCAGTGTTGTAAATACTACATATAGCCAATATATATACAATGTGCCATGTTCCTCAGCCAAATGTTGGTCATTGCTCTGATGCTTTTCCAAGACAGCTTCACTTGAAAATAGTGGTACCTGTTTCATGTTCCTTGCATGCAAGACCTGGTGCTAGGTGAAAAGGAGGGTGCAAACATTTATGTATTTTTTGGGCCACTAAAGATAACAGTTCACATTGTTGGGGGATGACCCATTGTCACAGCCCAGTAAAAATTCCACACATGTGTGCTGGTCAAGGGTTTCCTCTTTGCAGGTACCTAATATATCTGCCACAGACGATTATATTGAAACTGCCAGTAGTGTAAGATATCTGGAGAAGGATTAAAGCAGTGGTTTCATCTGCCTTGGAATTGTGACCTTCAGTATCGTAAGCATTAGAGGAGGGACCGGAGCAATGTCTGACACATCTCGGTCATCCCCTCTAACCCCGCCCATGCTTGCACCGCAGGCTGGCCAACCACATCACCTTCGTGCACAAGCACTGCTCGGAGCCCCCCAGGGGCACGCTGAAGCCCCTGGACATGCGGCTGATGCGGCGCTACATTGCCCTCTGCCGCAGCAAGAACGCCGCCGTGCCTGAAGAGCTCACCGATTACATCGTGGGTGCCTATGTCGAGATGCGCAAGGAGGCACGCAACAACAAGGACTCCACCTTCATGTCCCCGCGTACCCTCCTGGCCATCCTGCGGCTGTCCACCGCACTTGTGAGAATGCCCTTTCCTTACACATTACTGAAAGAATAAATGAAGGGTTTGGACACGACAATACATCTTTCAAATTTCAATACACAGAGTGATATGAAAAAAAAAAGTTGACAGATGTGTCATTGTGTCCTTCCCTTTGTTTGTTCTTTCAGTAACATGTAATTCCGCCAACATGCTCATCTTCTATACTTATCCTTTCATTTTTGGTCAACACCTCCCAGAGCAGGAGTTCTCAAACCTTTTGATCTCGAGTAACTCCTATCTGGCCTGATTCCTTGTCCCGGTATTGTTGCAGTAAAGTAGTGCAAAAGCCCACAAACCTCGTAAGCAATAATGAAGATACTGGGGATAGGGAGCATGTAGTTCAGTTATGCATTTACAGTCGAGCCCGGATATATCGAACTCAAAGGGGATCGTACAATGGTTCAATATATCGATGATTTGATATACAAAAATATGTTAATTTAAGCTCCAGTTGATATTTCCGCACTTCTCTACTACTACCGAATGCTGCAACAAACAGGACCTTACTAAATGAAGTTGCTAAGAGCCCCTAAATACAGTAGAGCTTGGGTGGTGAAGATCACAAACACCGCATTTACGCGACGGTGTTTGTGACTTCCACACAGCGTTAGCAACAAAACACTAAAATAATTTTAAAAAATGAAAGAACGGAAAAGGCAAGCCGCATAAAAAAGCACTCGATCCATAAAATAAAGTTAAGAAAGCAAAAAAAAAACCAAAAAAAACCTCACTGAATTTAAGCAACAAAAAAAAAAAAAAAAAGCAAAAAAAAAAATAACGGGTAGAGCCATAGTTTTTTCTATACGGAGAAAGCCTGGCACATCGACGGTGGAGCCATAGGGTGCGCGGCCGCAGGAAAATCGAGAGGAGCAGCGCGCAGAACGGAGACTAATATGGTAGCGCAGAGCAGAAAGGGCAGAGATAGTGTGCGAGCGCTTGGGTCATGAGCGGCCACTCCCCGAACCACGTTTGTTTTCGAGTTTTCGTCAGCGTCATTTTCATACCCTGGGAGAAACGGCTGTGGCGATTCGAAAGGGCATTGGCAACAATGCCGGTGGCGTCGGCGGTGTTGAGGGCGTGCCAGCAGAGTGCGTCGTCGTCGGACTATCATATCATGCCGCGGAAGAGCCCTGCAGTTTTGACTAAACCAAAACCGATGGCCACAACCGTCGGTTTCGCATTCAAGGACCGTTGTGGAGATGCGGATGCAGGGAGAAACGCCCCAATCAACATCAATCACCACATGAAGATGCGGTCAATTTTTTTTTTTTTTCCTTGCTTATTTTATTTTGGGGTTAAGGTTAAGCGGTGTTCGGGGAAAGAGCACACGCTACCGTTCCAACCGCAGGCATTCGCCGTCCTCTGTTGGAACGCGTGCCGTTGCTTTTGCCATCCTCCAATTTTTTTGTTTTCTTCTACTGGTGCTTTTCTTTTTCTTTTAATTGCTCTTTTGTTGCGTATCCCCGTGCGCATGCGCGTATGCTGGCTTGGCGGTCTGCCAGCCCCGCAACGTGAGCTCTGCGCTCGCCACCGGCGCCGCAATCCGACCGCTGGAGAGGCGACGGGGGGGCCATTTTAGTTTGCTATATCGAGTGTCCCCACCGTGGAGTTCAATACAGAAAAACAACGCTCCTATACTATTACATGTGATTTTCAAGTGGATTTTTGGACTGTTCGATATAAACAATAATTCGAAATACCCGGGCTCGACTGTATCGGAAGTTTTCGAATAGCGTTGTTGCCTCTGCGCAGGTGCCAAACACTCTCCGCGTTTTGCGCCTTTTGTGCGCTGTTTTAGCGTACACTATTTTTTGGAATTTGTGCGCTTACACTGAGAGTCTTTGCATTTCTCCGAAGAGAATTCATGATGCGCGAGCACAATCAGAAAATGGCAGCTCCCAGAACGGCGGCTGCTTCGGCGGTTGTTGTGAGCGCGACGTCGGCGGCATCCTCGTGATTGCGTTTTTTAATACAGGGTGACCTCGCTCTCCTATGAGAGGTGCATGTCACAGACGGTTTGGAAGACCCAGCAAGGTGGGCAACGATCATCGACAATTTGCCACTTGCGACGCACGAATGCTTTTCGGCAAAGGTCGGTACGTGAGACCTCCCTTTGCCGAGGCGACGCAAGTGGACTCGACCAGTCGACCGCTCGCATACTATTTAGAGGGAACACCGGTCTTGGAGCTTTTTCTCTTATTTTATGACCGAACCCAACGAAACTACACAAGGTGACAGCATTTTGTGTTGATTTCAAATATCTGGTCATTTTCTTTGTCAGTAGAATTGTCCTCGATATAATTAAAACTCGCCTGCCTTTGTTTGGAGAAACAATAGGGAACAAACTACTCAACAAAATACCCTCTTTTACACTAAATACTATAAAGTGTAGAGAATACAATGTTGGAAGCACTTTTAAGATTAACCCATTAGTAGTGATTTTATCACACATTGAAGTTCAGTGCTCCATGTGTGGCTAACAAGTAATAAAACAAAAGATAAAAAAAAAGTTCTTAAACCTATATTAAGAAATGTGCTCTCAACATTGTATGCTTCACACATTTAGCTACATGTTTCAGGAAAAGTTATATTTCTAGATGCCGAGATATCCCTCCAGCAAATTTTCAGCAAGTCCAAAATTTGTGTTTTGTGAAAACGGTGTTTTACAATCGATTTCGATGCACATTCAGCGTGCATGGACATTGTAACTTCATTTATAGCTCCAATATTCATCCACGAAACTAGAAACCTGGTAGATTTAAAGCAGCAGCAGCTGTAGAGGTCAACATCGCCGTTTTCAAAAGCATGAAGTTTTAAGGATTTTTTTGCCTCTAAAGACCCATGTCTTCCCTTAAACAAGTTTAAAATGTTACTCTAAAGCAAAAATGTTTTTTTTTCTTTTTCTCAAGTTACAGCATTTTATGTGTGAAATAAAAATTTATATCTCGCCGGCACTGCAAGCGCGAGATGGTCGGGTTTTGCGTTACAGTAGAAAAACGCTTCTAGAACTGACGTGCGTAACGTGCACCAATGCAAGCGCTAAAATTAGCATTAACGCGCGCTTCAGGGAACCTACGATGGTATTCTGAGGAGAACCCCTGGGTTCCTAGAACCCAGTTTGAGAACCCGTGCTTTGGAGTCTACACTTGGAATAACCAGATGCCGCGGGGGATTGCGCAGGCTCGGCTTCGTCTGGCCGACGTCGTGGACAAGGACGACATCAACGAAGCCATGAGACTCATGGAGATGTCCCGGGACTCCCTGGTTCACCACGCTGAATCTACCGGCAGGTGGGTCCCGTACGCCTCGTGCCAAAACGTGACAGAAGTGCCGCATGCTTATCCCCCGTTTCAGTATAGTCCTTTGTTTTATCCCTCTCCTGCCACACACTTTGTTTTGAGCCACGGTGATATACGTAAATAGTATTTCGCTGGTTTCAGATACAGCCACCGGTAGGGCGAGAGCAGCAGGGAGAAGTTTCAGCTGCCCAGCCTCCCGTGCCTAGCTTCGTAACCTAGATAACACTTTGGCTTCTCGCGAGCTTCAAGTGTGCGCACGGAGCCAAAGCATGATCAAAGAAGGCTGGGCATCCGATATAAATGCCCTGTGCTTGTTCTATCAGTGGCAATACCGCCATTACTTTATAACTAGACTATTGACCAGATAACCTTTGTAAAAGCAGAATCAACGGTACGAGCAGTTCATAACTGATTGCGCCTGAATGACAGCCGTTAATTGAAGGCGAAAGCTTTACTTGTCCCATTGAGCAAAAAACGCGATTGCGTGGCATGCACCACTCAATGGGTGACCCTACTTGTCCCATTACCTTGGCGTCATCCTTGCAGTTGTCCTAGAAGTTGTACTAGACCTCTATAGTCCTTCGCTATTAAGAATGTAGGACAAGAGAAAGGAAGGCCGAGGAGGAGGAGGAAGGAGACAGAACGCTGGAGAGGAGGAGGAAAGCTCCCTTTCTCCAGCATTCCACCTGCTTCCTTCCCCCCATCCTTCCTTCCCCTTGCTTTACCTTCTTCAGTTGCAACGGACTATAGGACGACCTCGCTTGTCACATCACGTGAAAAACAAGTGGCTTTGGTGGTGCTGTTGTTGCGCCCGAAAGATGGCCTTAAAATTATGTCATCATACATTATCAGCGTGAGTGCTGTGTGCAAAAGGTGCGCTTCGGACTTCATCTCTGCTCGTTGTGTGCTTTGTGCAATAAACTGTGAGGCGACCGCGTCTACGGCCTTGACATTGGCAGCAGCGTCTACATCTATGGCGGCTTCCGCAGGCAAATGTGGCTGCCCACGCAAATACGCCACAGCCTCCTTGAGTGTCCTCCTTTAGGCTTCGTTCTAGACGTCATCCTTGAAGTCGTCTTAGAGGTCGTCCTCTAGGCGTCGTTCTTGACATCGTCCTTAAGGTCGTCCTAGAAGTCGTCCTCGACGTCGTCCATGACTAGGGTGACCATATTCCTCAATGCAGAAAACGGGACATTCAGCGGAGACGGGCGGGGGGACGTAGCAAAGATTGAGTTTGGGGGGAAACCATTTGATGCAATAACTGCTCCGTTTTCAAAACGTTACCATAACGCACTAAGTCCTAGTGTCTAGGTAACAATTACGCTCGCCGTTCAGTTGCATGCACTTGTTTCGTTTCAAAGCAAGTTTCAGTTTGCTTTAACTCAATTTTTGCGAATTTCGAAACTATGCACTCTTGCGAAAACGGGACATGATTCTTTATTGGAACAAAAAGACGGGACGGCAGAAGCGGACTTCAAAAATGGGACTGTCCCGGGCAAAACGGGACATCTGGTCACCCTATCCATGACTGGCTTTTGCCTTCCTACACGTAAGCAGTCTAAGGTGTACTCATGTAATTTTTGTCTGTTCGCCTTGCAGGATCCAGACGGTTACGGACAAAATATTTGCCCTCATCCGCGACATGGCATCCGAGCTGGGAGGCAAGACCGTCAAGATGGCCGACGCGGTAGAGCGTTGCGGCTCCCGTGGGTTCCGTCCCAACCAGATCGAGGAAGCCATAGAGGAGTACGAAGAACTCAACGTCTGGCAGGTCAATCAGGCACGGACCAAAATCACCTTTGTGTGATTTGCCATCGTGAAATCGTAGAGTGGAGGGAAATGGACCTGCTGTTTTTGACACTATCAATTTAAAGCCTTTTGATTGTGTGATGTTTGTTTCTAGTTTGTTACCATTCCTATGGTGTATAAACATGATCCATACGAAGGTCAACGCATGGTCGTGGACCGTTCTGTAGTGGCAGAGTCATGAAATGGTGGCCACGGTGGTATGTGCATTTTGCAAGCGAAAAGTGGCGAGGTGCAAGAGCCAGCTCTGCCCAGGGTCACTTAGGAAGTTTGGTCATCCTGAGTGGTTTCTGGATGGTGCGACCATAAGGTGCGTAAGCAATTATGGCCGGTGCTTCATGACACTGCCAGTACAAAGCGGTTGACAGTCACCTGTTCATTTTCATAAGGGCTGCAACTGTACATCATGCACTACTGTTTGAGAAAGAAGACATGGAGCTCAGCATCCTATATTCTGGAATCATTGAAAATCCGCACCACAGAAACCGTAATGCATTAGAGGTGTGGAATTCCAGCCTTCTATGAGCAGGGTAAAGGTATCTGGTAGAAAGTGCCAAAAACAAAGGTCTCTGGAGTTGCCTTCAACCTTCCAGAATGCTTGTTCCATTGGCACATCAGCTGGGAATTATGGCTGCGGGGATCTGTCCATTTATTGGCACCACATACTATACAAGCCCATTCCTTTGTTTCCTGAGCCTGAATTTATGTCCACATTTTTCTTTTGTCGCATTTAGCTGAATCGCATGATGCGGACTATGGATTCATTCACATAAATATGTGGCGTGTAGAGTTGAAAGGCATGTATTAACTGCAGCCACCATTTGTCAATTTGAAGTGCCTTCATTGTTTCAGGGCCTTTTTCCAGAGTGTATAAATTTTTCTTGTTATTTTGACGTACTTACTATTATCCAATTTTCTTTATTTTTCTACATTTATACATTGTTATGCCGCACACCAAGAGTCGTGTTGCACGCTCTTGGAAACAGACCAGCACTCTTCACTGCCACTGCTGCTGTTCTAGCCTTTTTCTATTAAAATGTATATCGCCTTGTCTGCAGATTGATCATCTACGATCTTATTGACTTTCGAGTTTATGGGTCACTGCTTATACTTGCTGCATTTTCTTACTATATTTGTTTGGCTAAATGTGCTCTTGTGTACATAAATGTATCTTTTTATGAATTAAATATGAATACCTACTGAATCCTCATCAGTTGCTACACTTCTTTCTTTACATGTCTGGGACCTTTCCCCTTAGTAAAGCATTTTTAAAGCCAAATCAGTGTGCCCATATCGATTGGATGTCTAGGTTTAGAACATTTTTTTCTGAAATTAATGATAAATGAGACTAGTCTACCTTAATATCTCAGTAGTCTGAACTGCATTTCGTACAGTTCAGGGGGTGAGGACCCCCTTGCCCTCTTTCTCCAGAGGAGTTTGCAAGCAAATGTTTACAATGCCAGTTGGAAAGGTGCACCATTCCATCTCTACATTCGGCTACTTTCCGTGTTTTATTTTTGCAGTTGTAGCTACAGAACATGCACTTGCAAGTTCTGTGTGCACAAGTGAAGTAGGTAGTTTCTAACAAACATGGCCAGACAATAAATTTGTTTTTGTGTCAAAACCTAAATTTTACCTGGAATGGAATACACAAGTTATAATGAAAATTCAATTCAAGTACACTTCTCAAACTGTGAGGTTTGAGGAGTAAACCTGCAGTACTTGTTGCATTCTATTGGGTTGCATCTTGCTTACTTAAAGCAAAAATATTGCCAACTTAGTTTCCCACAAAGCTCTTCAATGCACTAAACAATTTGTGCAATAGGCAAGGAAATCTGAGTAATAACAATGGTGGCAACTGCTTCTGCTCAGCTTGGAAGACAAATGAAATTGTGCCTTAGCCTTTGAAAGAATAAAGTCTGTTGTAAGACCTATAACAGCTAATATATTGAACTGAAAAAACAAAAAAACTTGCTTTTAGTACAAGTTTGCGATTAAAAGTCGGAATTGTGAATTACAAAAATGTAACAGTTTATTAGTTATAACAGAGATGTGCAAAATGAAAACACATGCATTCCCCCGTGAGAGCAGTGTCTAATTATGCTCGCTGCACACTGCACACCTGGTTCATGATGGTGACGCAAAGATCCATCATCTGCAGATACTCATCCGCACCTTCAAGGAGCCTGTGATCGCAGATCTAAAAAGATAGGAATCAAATATTGAGGATTAAATAAAAATAAAGTTTCTACAATATACAAAGAGCAGTGTGGAGGAATGCAATGGACCAAGGGGGAAAACCTCAAAATTCAAATTTTTCAAGAAACTTTTTTTTTTTTTTAAATATGTTTCTGTGTATTAACTTTCAGAGAATGGTTTCAGAAACTTTCATTTATAAACATGCCGGATTTATCTCACAATAAATTATTTTCGACATGTCGGCAGCCCTCTAAGTCAGGAGGGAGCAAGTTCTTTGAAATTTTTATATAGCGCTGCTTCATACTTGTTTCACATAGCCAGAACATCTAACCCACATTGGAAGCACCATTCGCTATAGATTTAGCCAGTAGAAGTTTTCCAAGTTTAAAATTTTCAATGGCCAGGAGAAGCCTATACATCCAAACAGAAAGAAATCCTGAAAATCTGGTATGAGGAATCTTTTTGTTTGAGACCCGAAACAGGGTTTACGACTGGTCCTGCCCGGTGACGTGATATTGTGCAATCTTCAGTAACACCCTTTCACAGAATCTTCCACTTCAGATCATATTCCTGCTTTGTTGCTCTTCCTTAGTATGATTTGCCTCTTAGTTCTTGCCAGTTTATCTGTCAAGGAATGCCTGCTACAAAAGCTAGCTTGCCTACAAGCAACACAAACTGGTAGCTATTTCCAGGGGAACAACGAAGTCTCAAAGAGGAACGTGCTAACAATACTCCAGGTGAATTTTGCCTACCTTGTACTCATAGAAAAGAAAGAAACCTAAAGTTGAAACTTCAAATGCATTTTTCTCAGTTTCACTTTCTGGCAGGAAATGTACGAGGAAATGTATCATTTGACATTTTGAAAGTGTAAAGATTTGATTCGGTGGTCTCCTGGACGGAAATTTCTCGAGGAACAAGTTGAGGTACTCATCGTCTCAAATAGCTAAATTCTTCATGACAAAAAATGAATACTTTAAACACAGAAATTTGTTAAAATCTTTTGCTCTTTTGGGGTGTTATTGTTTTTCTCTAGAATTACACTTTTTACATTTACTTTTTACCTTAACTTGCACTATGGGTATTCTACATCATATTAAACCAAACATTTTGTGGATTGCAATTATTTTTTCTTTTTAAATACATTTCCTAATAAAGTAACTCTCTTTCTGGAGCTTGTTAAGCATAGTATGTTGCAGAAGTAGCCTACAAGACTGAAACTTTAGATGTCATCAATCCTAATGGGGTTCAATTTACCCCGAAAGTTTGAACCAATTTGAAGGAATGGTTCGAAAGTTTACCCTCCCAGGCCATGTCCCCCCTAAAAGTTGAAGTCAGATCTCGATAATTCAAAGCTCACGGTGGCAGTGGTGCACTTCGGTTTAAGCAAACTTTGAATTAATAAAAGCACACTCAAACCGTGTGCATTTTTACTCTCCTCAAACTGGGAGATTTTTTTTTATTCAGTACTCCCTTAAAAGTTGTTGATTTTTCGCTTGCCTCCGCTGATAAGAGGCGCGCATGCAAATAGCAAACCTTCCTTGGGCACCTTCAGCATTTCCTTTGGCAAAGAAAACATGCTTTATGGCACCTGATGCAGTTTACATGTCGGTGCCACGCTGCGCTCCGAGAGGGGGGCTAGCCGGGAAACAATGGCAGACAACTCACGGCAAGCTTCTCCATGATCACCGACTTCTGCTTGTCGTCGTAATCTGCACTCGCTATGAGGACGTCGTGAAGCTGGTTGAACAGCTGCGACGCCGGGTAGCCCTCCAGCACCAGATCCTGTGAGAAAGCAAGCAGCATTCGTCTAGTCTCGACGCTCTCGCGAGCTCGCAAAGCAGTCGGTTACCTGTATCGTCTGGTCGAGCTTCTCGTAGGAATTGGAGGCACAAGTCTGCAGGACCCTGTCGACCCAACTCTTGGGAATAATCTGAAAAAGAGAGCGCACCAGACTTGGAGAGACGCCATATGTTGTGTCTGCATCCTACGACGAAAATGCCCAGGAAATTGAAACAAAGTTTTGAGGCGATTCCTAGCGGCCGGGGTACCCAATGAAAGATGAGAGGACACACAGTGTTGTTAAGCAGTCACAAGCGGTGTCGACACAGTAGACCTCACTCTGACGCAAATATGTGAACCAGCCCTTAGCTGTATGTGAAGCCCACTATACTCCATTTCACCTTACAATGGACCGCAGAGGACGCTGAGCCAAGCCAATCCAATGCTGTGCAAGTGTCATGTGATACGTTCACGGCGCTGGATTGGCTAGGATGGCTCGTAGCAACCACTGGGATACACTATTATGTGAAGAAAGTAGAACTGGTAGTCTACATTGCTTTGGATTCACCAAAAAGCAAAACGTGTGCAAGGGGAAATGAGGCAAGGCGTCGCTTACGCAAGCAACCTCGGCCACGTCTTCCGTCAAGACTGGCTCGCCCAATTTCAGCCTGGACACGCTCTGGAACAGAGTGATGGCCCTGCGCATGTCTCCCTCGCAGGCCTCCATGAGGAAGTCGAGAACCTAGAGAGAACAGACGACAGTTGTCAGCTCGCCGGCACCCGGCCCTGCCTCGCAGCGCAAATGGAGCGCACGAAAAAGAGGGACCGAAGGAAGATGCGTACCACAGCTCGCCTGTCATACGCGTCTTCTGGTGGTCACCCTTCTTAGTGCACCCCATTTTATAGCAAGTTGGTACCAACTAGTCCAGTTTGCAACGCTTCTGTATGCAGTCACTTCATATATCGGTTGGTTGTATGAGTGGAACTGAAAGCACCGGTGATTCGTATCTGGTGCTTTCAGATCTGGGTTAATGCTTGAATAAGGAGAGTGACTTTCTGTGGATGTGTTGCAAGCTAACGGGCTAGCCGACACTCCCAAAAGGTGGCAGCACCAATATAGCTATGCATGCTGATACGGTACAAGCCACTGGAAATATACTCCTATAACGTGAACAATCAGCAACTTGGTTAGGCAGGAAAGTTCAAGTCTGTTGGTCTACTTACTAACATTATGAAAGCAAAAAACAAATAGGGGCAACCAGGCATGTACAGAATTCTGTATGTTGGCAGATGTACCATTGACACATGCCTGGTCTTATGTTAATATTAATCATATGTTTATTGGTTCGTTAGCATAGGCAAAAGACACCATAGCATTCACTACTAGTTTATTTACGCCACATAAGCCACTCCCGGAGGTTTGCTAGCAATGAAAAACGAGTTCAGTTTGGAACTTCCACAACCAGTTGGGTTGAGGTTTTGACATTACTCGTCAACCAAGACAAGCACTCTTCAGAAAAAAGAAGAAAAAGAAAAGAAGAATTGCCTCGTCATCACACTGCACATTCTCTGCAGTGCAGATCTTCTGGAGCCGTTCCAACAGGATGTCCTTGGGAAGTGGCTTGAAGCGGAACTTCGAGCACCTCGATGTTAGCGGCTCAATGATCCTGTCGGTTCACAGAGACGCCACCAAGTTCCAATGCTGACGATCAAATACTTATTTAACATAATATGAGTACACCAGCTTACACAAATATTTGGTGTGATAATTCAGTATCTTTAGCATATCGGTACTTCAAATACCTGTACCAACAGTACTACAAGTTGACTACAAATTTACATTACTGTAAAGAGAAGTTGCGCACTTACTGTAGTCATGTGCAAATAGTGGATTTTGAGTTTGAAGCGAATTCAAAGCAAATAATGGTTTTGGCCGAATATTTTCAAATTGAATATTGAATAGTTTCTCTAAGCCTTTCACCACTCAGCTGAACTAGCGAAAGTCGTTGCAAAGCTTCCACTTGTTCATTTCTGAGCCAAGTTAATTTTAATCTATCTATTTTCATCAACTGTGGCTTCAGAAAGTTCAATGCATACATTTGGGTGGCTAGTAAACAATGCACTTGACATAAGATTAAACTTGTAGAGATGCCCAGCTATACCTAATCAAGGGGATTTGGAGTATTCTTGCTATATGCAAATATTTTTTCTTCAATCACGAATGATTAACACAGGTTGTCAGGGCATCTCTGCCTAACATTTACTCGTGCGTTATAGCTAGTTGAATTTTGAAAATTTTACTGAAATGTAGATATCCACATTCCCAAAGTTTGTTTCTTTTTAACTAAGCCAGGCACGTGTGTGCACCATCCTACTTTAAAAGTGTGATTTTCTCCTAAGCAAGCGGCTGCGATATTCATACTTTTCAAACCATTCATCACGGCAGGTTTTCCTTATTGAATGCACTTTTTACTGAGCACCGGTGCACCGCAGAGAAGCCACGCCCATGGAAGCGAGCTCCGTGGGTGCTGCTTTTCCGCACTGCGCCGGTGCTCAGGTAACAAGCACGTTCAATGGGGTTAACCTGCCGCAATCAACACATTAAAAAATTTGGCTATCGCAGTTCATCTCGAAGCGAATATCGATTAGCGTACTATTCAAAACTACTGTTAGAAAATTTGAATATTAACAACACTAGTACTTAGTAAGCATGTATTGTAGATATGATATAGATACAGATGTAGTAAATAGTAAAGATAGCTTTTGTAAGCTGACCTAAGGAGTTCTACTGTAGCAAAAACTGCAGTCAACTGCACAAACCTGCTGATGTAGTTGCAAATGAGACAGAAGCGTGTGGTCTTCGTTTGCTTTTCCATGGTCCGACGCAGTGCTGCCTGTCGATTTCAAAAGGACAAAATTTAGGGTTAATCCAAGACTCCAGCATTAATAACGACGCAATATAGAAGTTTTCATCGCACTTTGTATTACTAATAATACAAGGTGCAAGTTCATGTTGCTTTAAAGGGACACTGACACCCTCCAAAAAGGCAATTTATTATGTGCCTTTATCATGCATTATGTTGCCGGAAATCACATGGCTACACCCAACCGCATTTTCTTTTTTCTTCTTTCCTTCGTTTTTCCGGGCATACGAAGCAGACGAAAAATGTGCAAGTTGCACGAAAATGCAAAAGTCAAGCACTTTGTGCTTGATGTTTGCACGTGTCTGAAGCTCTTACCAATTTGTGTTCGTAAGGCAAGCAATGTCTTCAGCCGGGAGGAGTGGTGACGACTCGGCGACGTCTTCGTGCAAATCAACTTGGCGGTCGGGCGTGTCGTAATGAATAAGTTCTAATTGTTTTGATCAATAAAAGATTTCTTTCGAAGTTAGACAAATTTGCCAGTACCGCGAACAGTTCTGAAGCAGAGGTCCTCACACCCGTCGTCCGCCGACATTGTTTAGTCCGCTTCGTTCAGCTGTCCAGCTCGCGACTCTTGTGATACGACACCATGTTGTGAATTACACAGAGAATGCAGAGTGCTTCCCGTTCTCTGTGCAACTTTTTTATATCAATCGAATCGTCGTGAAGGTGTGCCTTCATTGACCTACGACTTTGACCAAATTTGGTGGTACTGTCTAAACCATAGAGAACAGCACGTGGCCAAAAAGAGAGTGAGTGCGACTCAATGAAACCGGCCAATTCTGGATCGGCGGTTTTTGGGCAGAGAGCAAACGAATTTCTGTTTGCGGACTGTGTTTTGGGTAGTTGGGCTATCATGTCATGTAGAAATAAAAATTGGTGAGCATAAATGCCTTGTCAGTGTCCCTTTTATAACAATACAATGTGCACAATCGCAAAAGGCGGGACAATAGTAGGGGTGGACGAGGGCACTCGGAAATGGCAACCATAGAAAGCTCCAGGACATTAGCAGACACTTTGTTAGAGACTTAACTTCAAGGTAAGCATTGAACCAGATGCATGGACAGTATCATCCAGAGTTCAGATAACATACCTAACTGCTTCACGCAAGTACTACAAGTTTGGCAAATTGCTCACTAACGAAAGTGGCAACATGCCGTGCTCTTGTTGCAGTGGTGTGCAGGAGATATGTTTGATCTTGTGAATAAATGAGATTTCTCCTTTTGCTTACCGTAAAATAGTGAGCCTGCTACCATGCGATGATTAGCCCCCACCCGATACTTTTGAAATGTTTAAAAGCTACAAGCAATGGACATATCAAGCACCCACCCCAAACTTCTCAGCTCATCTGGCTAACCGAAACACTTTTCCTCATTAGCCACCTCATGAAGCACACCGGTGAAATGCGGTGAAGTCCACCCTACTATGTGCCTCTTCTGCATTTTTACTCTTGCAGCTAACAAGTGCACATCCCCCAATCTCTCAAGATTATTTCCCTTATTTCTCCAGTGGGCATTTCAGCATAATTTAAGCCTGTAACTCGGTGAATATTTGCCATCTCAAAATTCTAACTATAGCATCCGTAGAGGGCAAGTTACGGCAACATCCCAAATAAAGTAAGGACAAATATGGGCAAAAACACGCTTGCAGATTTTTTTGCATGAGTAACCACCAAAGAGTATGCCCACCCCATTTGTGTAGCAACACACTCGCAGCATGTACACACCTGGGCACTCGGCGTCATAGAGTCTGCTTCGTCCAGAATCACTATCTTGAACGGCGGGCAGGGTCTTCCACTGCGTGCCAAAGGAATATGTGAATCGGCGGACACTTGGCAATTAAATTGCAGCTGTCAATAAGCCAGGTGCCCAAATATGATTCTCCATAAATCCTGGATAAGCAAGTTGCAACCACTAGAGCCACTGAATGTTACCAGAGTAACACATTCGACAGCGTCCAATTGAACTGTGACAATCGAGCCAATTGAGCCTTTTGACCGGCTAGGCTGGCCACGTTTAGGCTGGGAGAAAAAGAGAAACGAAAAACATACCATAAGATCCCGAGCAAGCGCCAATAATCTGTAAAGATATGCCTTTTGTGTACTTTCATTATGTTACGAAATTGAGGGGTGGGTGCTTGTTGTGGAATGGGCGGATGCTCGGTATTTTACGGTACATAAAACTTTTTTGTGATAATGTTGATGGAGGTATGGACACAAGCACCTGGCTTTAGAAAGCACTTTTCTGGTAAGAGCGTTTTTGCAAAGTAAGCATTTTGCATGTGTTTTTGATGGCACTGTGCACAACTTGTGAGACATTGTGAGGCACAACTGGAAAAATATAAGCCACAAACAGAACAAGGCACTTGCAAACTGGCACAGCTGGCTGTGCTAATCGCAGTGCATAGGCCGATCACAATTGGCCGTCTTTTATCTAGAACTTGTATTACCAAGGATTGTTGCATGTCTGGAACAGAACTTGAGAAAAAATAGACCCCTTCCATGCACCTTTTGCTTGTGCCTCCCAAACTTTGCAATTTGCAGCCTTAGAAGGTAACCAATAAACAAGCGTAGATTGTGGCAAAGCAAACAGCGAGATGCGTAAGCTAAAACCCAGCAGTAACACAATTAAGAGCTCTAAAAAGTAAAAACCATCAAGAAGTTACACAAACAACCTTAATTAATGGTTCATTTAAGTTGTGCGGCACAGGCCCCCACCAGATTGCTAGTATGCATGTATGTAGATTTATCTGCAGTCTGTGAAGGAAGCAGCATCTCACTTGTCTTTACGTTGTTATAAGGGACTATATTTTCATTCACAGCCGATTCTGCCCCGTAAAGCAAGCACACGTGGCAAGCAGAAACACAAACGTCTACATACTCTGGCCTCGTGGCATTGGCGGTGAGCTGGGAAAAGTTCTTGATTTTCTCCCGGACCACCTGAATGCCGCGCTCGTCCGAAGCGTTCAGCTCTAGGATACGAGACTTGTACATGTCCCTGCATTTGTCAGCACAACCGAAGAAAGCGACACAAACATCAGAGACAAGGCAGCACAAGATCGTTATTCGCTCGCTACAAAGACAAAGTGAAAAAAGCCGCGTAATATCGGCACCTTGCTGACTTACCCAAAGAGCTCTCGTGACAGTGCCAGGATGGTTGACGTCTTTCCGGTGCCGGGAGGTCCATAAAATAGGAGGTTGGGAAGCTGTTGATCAAATCAGCTTCAATTAAAACGAGTGCACTGTAAAAAAAGAAATAGTATAGCTCTATTGTCCTGAAGTGCAGGATCCATTAATAACAACTGGCTCGAATGCAATGCGACTTTTGCATTTGAGCTTGTTTCGTTGGTAGTTTGTGATGCGTAAACTGGCATTAATAATCAGTGAAACATTTAAAAAAACAAAAGGGTTTCTATCATATGTGATGATTAGCGATCAGTTGTTCCAAGTGACACTGTTGTACCAAATGGTTTGTGGAGTGACATGGCTAAGATTTCCTTTTAGGAGGAACTGGGATGCCCCTGACTTGGGAATTGGGAGGGGTTCCTGCATTGTACATTACATTACATTATATTATATATTTGGGGTGGGGCATTCAACCCCATAGCTCTTCCACTGGGGTTCTGCCATACTTCTTAACTTCAATAACATTTTCAGAAATATCTAGCACTGTTTCCCATAATCTCTTCCTTCTAAAACTTTGGCTGCTTCCATAAAATGGCTTTTCTTTTCTTATTTCCACCCACCTAGAAGGAAAAAAGGTGGCTACTTTTGACACTGTTATCACAAATAACTAACTTATACCTACCCTTAGCACAAAGAGCATAGCTACATTAGGTAATGCACTTACATCTGCTCCAAGGAGAGACTTTTTAAGAACAGACACCACTTCGTCCTGGTGGGCCACATCATCCACTGTCTTCGGGCGGCTGCACAATTATCGCGTTTCGTAAGTGGCGATCGAAGAGACACATCAATTGCGCTGCCCGCATTCGCGCGAAATTCAACGGGAGATATTGATTGGCTTACTATTTCTCCACCCAGGGAACATGCACCTCTCTCTTGGGCTTCTGCTTGGCTTCTTTCCCCCTCTCCTTCAACGGGGGGGCGAGGTTGGGGTTGGCAGACTTCAGGAACGCGTGCATGGCACTCTGCTCCACTCGGCTACAAGGGACACAAACAGAAACAGAAGTGAAAATTAACAGTCCTACTTATCCGTCCATGGCTAATCTTCCACGGAGCTGCAACAGCCCCGCACTGCACGCTACGCAAGCATGTGGCTTCCCCTTCCGTCTCATTCGCGTTCGCTTACACGAGTCGGTTTGACAGTGCCGAAGAAACTAGTATGCTAGCCTTGACAACATAGCTAAGAAATGTTGTTGCCGAGTGTGAAGAGTATGTATGGTAGCCTGGCTAGGTGGCACAAGCTACTGTCCGTTATACAAGGGGGACCCACAAGTAACTGGAATGAATTTCTGGAGGGCGGGCCATTCGTAGTACCAGCTACTGCTGCAAGCAGCAGTTAGCGGCACCCTTTCAGACCCAATTTGCCGACCAGTGTCATCCGGACCCAATTTGCCGATCAGTGTCATCTGCTAAAGTTCTATCAGCATTTGTTGTTCAATCCCCACCCCTGCCCATTTCAATCTGGATGAGCATTGTACTGGCGTGCGGTCGTGTATCACTACTGCGTGGCGTACGTTAAAGACCCCAGGCTAGCGGTTGTACTGCACTGGCTAAATTGCTCATCTACAGCGAGTGACTCATTGCACTATGAAATGGCTGACCAACTACACGCTGTATAAATATCCAGATAACCTGCCAATTATTAGCGGCATGCAATTTTTTTCCAAAACGCTTCAAAATATATATTTTTTTTGCAATGTCTGATTTGAAGGAACAGCGTGCATCCGTGAAATTTTGTTTTCTTTCAGACAAAATGGCGGTGGAAACTCTTGTAATGCTTCAGACAGCTTATAAAGATGCTATGAAGAAATCGCAGGTCTACGAGTGGTTGTCTTTCTTCAAGGCTGGTGAATTATTAATCGACGACCAACCACATTCAGGGCGACCCGCAACTTCCTCAACTGATGAAAACACGGAGAAAATACGGGCATTGTTCACTCAGAGTTTGTTCGTCCTGGCAAAACCGTTAATCGGGTGTTTTACCTGGAAGTTGTGCAACGCTTGAGCAACTCAGCGAGGCAGAACTGTCCTATCTGTGGGAAAGGGGCGAGGGGTGGTTCTATCATGACAAACTGCCAGCACACACTAACGACAGTGCAACAATCTTTGAACAAAAATGGCACGACACCGCTTCTCCACCTATTCACCAGACCTCGCACCGTGTGACTTTTTCCAGTTTGCCCGTATTAAAAAAATAGTCGTGAAAGGAGAATGTTTTGTAGATGTAAAAACTCTTTCAAATCAGACATTGCAAAACACAAGGAACGATTTTGAAGCGCTTGGGGAAAAAAATCACATGCCTCTAGAACTTTAGCACACGACACTGGTTGGCAAACCGAGTTGGAAGGGGTGCCACTAAGCACTGCTAACGCCGGAGGCTGGTACTACGAACGGCCCGCCCTCCAGAAATTCATTCCGGTTACTTTTGGGTCCCCACTCGTAAAGGGTACAGCCATTAGCATCTATCCATTCATGTCTATATTTGTCTAAACTTGTGAGCCTTCAACAAGTCCAGGCTTTCAAAGTGCTCATTTTGCACCGTTCAACTTCTAGTTGTATGTGGTTAATTTTAAACTTACACCGCCTACATGGGTCACAAAGGTGCCCATCAGGATATGTCTAAATGGTGGGGACTGGGGTTATCGGCATCAAAGAGGAATTTGCGGATTTCTTTCTGTAATGTAGGCAGTCATAAGTTTCCTAAGCAACGACGATATTACAGCCATACAGTTCATTTTGGTACGAGAAAGGAATGGGCAAAAAGCTTCATTGGCAAGTAAGTCAGGGTGGCACCAGAGTAGCCAGAAGGTATGAATAAGTAACAGTGACGCTAATGTGCCAAAGCGACATCCTGCGAATACTCGTCGTATCAGTTAAAGGTCCCAATGTCTTTGATGACAAACTGACTTTTTACATTTTTCTTAGAGCTTCTACAATGAGATCTGTGTTGTCTCTCGTGCCTCGTTCATTCTTGTAGACTGCATGAAAATAGCAGTGTGAATGCCCTGCCCAGGGTTCAAGACATGTTTGCAGTGTCCACAAGCTGCGCTACGTCCCGATTTGGAACAGAAATAGATATTTGGGATCTGAAAACACTGCACCAAAGCTTGGCTTCCAAAGCATGGAAGATACCTGATATGTCTGCTTATGCCCTAGTCCCACTAGATCGACAAACCTCAAGCATGTGCAGCATTTACGCGAAGGATTCTTTGGCAGGCTTGCAATTCCTCGTGCTTACTTCACAAGCATCAAGAACTTAAAAGCTTGCCAAAGGAAGCACCTTTGCATGGGTACCCATCGCATGGTCGAAACATGTTTCGTGGGCAACCTTTTGTGACACACATTTCATGAAGCACGTTTTATCCACTGTCAACGTTTCCTGGACAATGTAATGTTTTTACTAAGTGCATAACCTCGTTAAACTGCGGCCGCGATCGCATACTCGTGATACATTTAAGGTCACATAGTCGGCAGAAATAAACAAATGGGCGCTGTCAACGTTTCCTGGACAACATAATGTTTTTACTAAGTGCATAACCAAACCTGGAAGCAGCAAAAATCTAGCACGTGATTCACTGAGGCGTGTTTCTCCAAGCATCCCCCCCCCCCCCCCCACCCCTCTCTCCCTCCATAAATCAGGCGAGATGCAAAAAGTTTCTTGCAGAAACAGCAGGGTTGTGTGCGACGAAACGTAGCAGGGTGCGATGACAAAACGAACGCCGGAAGCCTTACGATGAAATGTCGCATGTCGACGGGACAATGTGTCGATGAAACGTTGTTCGACGATCTGAATGCCACTGCCTTGAAGTTGGTAAGTGTAGTGGGAGTGGGACTCGCGCATTAGACTCACATTGTCCTTAGGTGAAAGCACAATAACGCCTTAACTCTGCTTCCTTCCTTTTACACACGGGATGGTACCTACTACAAAGTAAAACATACACTTCTTCGCTCTTATGTGATCCAAGTTCTGAATAACGTAAGAGAAACCATACTTGCTTCCGCGGAAGGGTCGGTTCGATCTGACTCTATGATGACTTGTCCCTCTCGTAGGAGCACGATCAAGTGTTCACGGTACGCCGGAACAGCCGATACTCGGATCTTCAAGTGGACTTTATAGTCGTTTATTTCTGTAAGCACGCTGCTGGGCCCTTTTTCGTTGTTGAAGCGCCCATTTGTTTATTTCTGCCGACTATGTGACATTATATGTATCACGAGTATGCGATCGCGGCCGCAGTTTAACGAGGGCTGCCACGGATGACACAGGCGAGAATTAATGCCGTAATGTCTCATTGACCTCGCCTCGTGAACACTGCATGGGTCTTGTAACGACCTCGAACAAGAAGAGCATCATCTACATTTATAAAGTACTGTCTACTCACCCACAATAACAAGCCAAAAATATGCGCGCGCGCTCCCGAGTTTTCGCGCTTGAAAGCGTCGGCTGCTCCTCTTGCGACTTCCACGTTGTTAATGCCGTATTCGTCTAACTAAATTTAATCATAATTTTACTATTTCTTTTAATTTACTTAAAAATTATATTGTTAATAATTTCTTAATTAACTTTTTTTTTAAGTTTTGTATATCGATGACTTTGCTTAGTTCGTTCGTGAGGCTAGCGGGGAAGACGCCGTTCTGCTACGAAAAAATGGACGCGCACTCTGCAAATTCACCGATTCTGGTCTGACTGTTTTCATCCGTGTTCCAAATTACCGTGCTGCCCGTTTAATTTGACAATGGGTGACCAAGATAAGGAACTCGACTGCACGAATGCCGCGCGCGGTGTGTGGCTGGTGAAGGTGAGCGCAGGCTAGAAAGAGGCATTTCGTTGCCGTTGCTTGATGCATAGCACATGCCTCGTCAACTCCTGGCTGTTGGCTCTAATCGTGCGATTATTTATTGTTAAAACAATATTAAATTGTACTCAACTGACTTCCCCGCTTTAAGGTACCCAAGTACATTGCATCGAGATGGAACAAGGCTCCACCCATGTCTGAAGCTGGTCGACTTAAAATCACCAAGTAAGCAAACGGTATTCTTCTATGAAGAAGGGGGAAAACACAATGAAAAAAAATATGTATGTATAGTTATAACAAATGTTGACTGGGCTCCTTGCTTGAGTGATTTTTTTCACGTAGGAGCGCTGCGCTTGCAGTGCACGATCCGGCTTTCGTAACCTTATAGGTATTTCCATATTGGAGGTATTCATTGGCGTCATAGCGGGAGGCACTCTCTCAACCAAGGGAGCTATACTTTGTTTCACCTCCAGTCTAGACGCAGCCGACGCCACGAACTGATGGGACCAATCGGACAGCGTCAAAAGTGCAACATTATGGTGTTCGCCATGTTTCTGTGTGGGTTTATCGTCACAGATCCAATCATAAACAGAAAACGCCCAGTGATTTGCGCTTTCGTTGCTGCTTGATTGGTCCGATTACCTCATAGCGTCGGCTGCATCTGGACTCCAGCTGAAACGAAGTACAGTTCCTGCTGGCTTCGTTGCCACCTCAACAGATGATGCTGCCTTTGCCTTGATGACGGCTCACATTTTTATTTCATCCTCGGAATCCTCAAATCCACTTTTTCACCAGGTGGCACCAGTGATTTCTAAAATAGAAGGTTAGCAGCAGTCTGAGACTCTTTGCTTCTTGTCCTTTCCCTTTTTGCACTGATCTAGAGGAGAGGGAAGGCAAATTCTTTGTACGAGACGGGGGTCCAAGGAAATCCATAATGAGCAGAAAAATTATGTTGGGGAAGCTCAATCTAGGTCACTGCATCTCAATGCCCAAAGTCTGGTCACTGCATTTCAATGCCCAAAATCTTGACACAATTGATTCTGGATCTACCCGTCGTGTGCGCCACAGTGTTTGTTCTACGTCCTCATTCCCTACTTCGCCTACGGCACCTGCTGTACAGAGCCGCCATCAGTCGTCTCTTACAACTATGGGAGTGTTCGTCAACGGCCATAGCTGCGTGTGCGACTGCTTGACGCGTGCTGACGGCGAGCTTCCACGGTTCTTTTGCAACATGCATTCCGCACCGTCAAGCTTGTCAGTCTTGGCAGCCTATAAATCTGAGGTCGTTCTGAGCATGTGCTCTAAACAGTGCCCTCAAATATGGCGCCCGATGAATACCCTGTATAGTCATAGTCGCTGGCAGGATGAGAAGAGCGGGGAGGCCCTTCGGCTGTCCCGCCTCCAGGTGGGAAGCCGTTTCGCGATCCTTTGACATGCACGCACAGCTAAAGCGTGGTAGAAGTCGAGAAGCACGTGCTGGAGGGCCGGACACGAAAAGAGACGCACCCCGCCATTTTCATTCTGTCAGTGGCTATAACAAGGTCTGCCATGATACTCGAAGTGCGACAGCTGATGGAGCCGCCACTTTGGTTTCAGGGGCCCCAATGGAAAGACGGACATCCGGTTCACGCTGAGCGACGAGTGCGTCAACATGAAGGACGTCACCGAGAAGTCCACCATTCCGAAGGAGCACCGCTTCGTCATATCGAACATCTCCAATCAGAATCTCGCAGTGTTCTCCCAGAACAAGGGTACGCCCGTGCCTACAGTCGTTTCTCCTGTTGCAGTCGGGGCTCGTTAACACGGACCTTGTTGATACGGATACTCCGCCGTACAGACAATATTTTTGGGGGCAAACCGTGTAAATGCACTTATTTTACAGCAACGACCGTTAATGGGAACCTCCCTAGAAAATTTCACAGTCACCCTTCACAAAAACTCCCTGCGACGTCATCGATCGCACGTTCGCTCTAAGCCGCCGCCAAGTTTATAAGAAAAGAAGAAAATCTTTTGCCATTGAGCTTGACTCGAAAACAGTGACCTGTGGATCGCAGTGACCGTTTACCCTGCAGTCAACTGCTCCACAGGCTGAGCCATTGATGGGACAAATCTCGACGAATTAACAACGGTATACATTCCATTTCGCTCTACCTTCGACAACGCTTCGGCATCTCGCGAGCCTCAAGCGAACAGGCGAGGCCAGACCATGGCAGAAGGCAACGAGCGTGTGCTGGAGGCCGGGCGTCCGAAAGAGGCACCCTGCCTTTCTCACCTTGTCGGCGACCGTAGACAAGGCCTGCCCACGAGGTCATCATTAGCCGATCCCCGACCTGCCCCAAGCAGCAAATACGCCGAAGCCTTACGATCATATGCCGAAAGATGGCTGACACATGCCTCCGGCATCGCAGAGTCCGCATTGCGGGACGCGCCAGCGGCACGCTGACGTGAGCTAGGCGGTGCCACGTGGATCTACCGTAAAATACCGCAGAGAAGCGCCAACTTCGTTCGAGCGCCTGCTATTAACATTTGGGAATTCTGCAAATTATATGTTAAGCATCCAATTCCACCGGGCAAGCGCCCATGTCTAGACTAATCCAGTTTTCAGTAAAAGTGGGGTGGGTTCTCCCTCGGTATTTTACGATACTATAGTCGCTGGCAAAACAAGATCAGCAGGGAGTGTATTTCGAATGCCCAAGCTCCAGCATGCGCTCCGTGCCTCCCACCATGCTTTGACTGCTTGCGCGCGTTCGAGGCGCCCGAGGCATTGAAGTGTCGTTGGAAGTAAGGAGCTCGCCCTAGAGACGGGACAGCCGAAGCTCCTCCCTGCCTTTCTCGCCTCGACAATGACTACGGCAGCTGAGTTTGGGGAAGAAAGGACCGGGCCTCGTCTTCCAGGTGGTAATACTATAGTCGACACTCCGTCATGCTGGCACGTGTGCGCAGCCGTCCGGGCAGACAAGTTTGCATGCCGTGCAGCTAGACCTCGGAAGTCTGCGGCGAGTTTGAAGATTGCGAATTTCGGTTACGTCCTGTCGAGGAGGCTTGTTGTGGAGAAAGTCCTGATGAGGTGGGGGAGCGGAATTGAGAGTGGAAGCGAAAATGGCACAAAGGTCTTCGGAATCGTGCACGGGAGGTGGCTCAGAAAGGACGGCGATGAGACCACAATGATGGCGAATTACTTAAGCACCAAACGGCTGTCGCAGTGACACACGTTACGCAGTGGCGCAGATGCACTCGGATTTTTTTTTTTGTCTCATTATTATGGAAAACTTGCATTATAGAAGCTTTTGAGGGGGAACGGAGGAGTCTATATTACCGAGGCATCGTTGTATCTTTAATATTCTTTTGGTATTTGTTTTTCTAATTACTAGTTAATACAGAATCAAATTCTAGGGATTTCTGTGCCACACCAATGTAACAGAATCGGTATGTGTTGTCCATGGAGGTAAGAGACGGAAAGTGGAGTGCAGCAAATTGTAAGTGCCAACATGGGTGGTCCCAAGGGAAAGAATAGGAAAGGGAGTGGCAGAAGCGCAGAAAAACAAGGTAGACGCTACTCTAAACATGCCCGTCTTGCTACAGTGTAATGAAATTGTGCAAGTGCTGGTCTACTTTGGTTTTTTCTCATACGATGCATGACACTGATGTTGTCTTCTAAAATACATTTAAGAAGAACTAGGTAATGACCTTGCGAGGGATATTTTGCTACTTCCTCGTGTTTATTGAAGCCCCCTGAACTACTGATTTCTGCATTTATGCCCTATCATTTTGAAGAGACCAGAATACATGGGAAGGTGGACCTTTTCCTGTAAATTTGTTATGTAAACTCTGACCTCAGCGAAGGACCGGGGATTAATTGACACTGACTAAAATGCAGCCAAAATCTTACTTAATAATAATAATCATAATAATAATAATAATAATAATAATAATCTTTATTTGGAGAGGAAAACGTTACCCCTGGTGGTCTGCGCGGCTAAGATAGAAAGACAAGAGCTGATCTGCTGGTGCCCCTGTTAGCCTGCCACCCGGGGCGGGAAATAACAACAAAACAATAACAACACTTAGGTGGACAGTACCTTTTATGGCCCACTCTACAAAGTCTAAAGATTCACAAATTATCTTTGTAACCATCCTGCCTGTGTACAAAGTGGGGGATCAAAGTTGTTCCCTTTCACAAACAGTGGTGGCAAAAACTTGTTGCGTGACCTCTTAGTGCTGGTGACATTGCAGTTCTATATCACATCTTTATTCGTTTCCAGTTGTGGAGGATGGTGTAGAGCACTCAACTGGTAAGTAACTGAATTGTTTATTTTGAGCAAACAAAATATGAATTTAGCAAGGTAGGAAGGTGTGAGCAGAACATAAAACCTTTAGCTAGCTTTCAGATGACATCAATGTGGCTGCTCTGCTTGTGCTTTATGAGCAATTCTGTGCTTTGGGCAAATTTGTTAGCCCATAAAGAATACCATGAAAGCTTGTCATTGCGTGCTCGGATTCCGAATTGAGAGAGTCGAGAAGCGAAATTTTATTCAGCTTGCCCGTTTCTGTTTTTTCTAGCTTGGATTGTGTAAAAATGTGTAATATGATAACGGGCTCTCTAAATAAACATTTCCGAATTTAATTTTTCCCTTTGAACACCGTAAAAGACTGAATAACAGTTCCAACTAGTATTTCTGAGACTATCATTTCATTTTGTGGCTTATTTTCAAGTGTTTATTGTGAATCTCTGCCACATTGTAAATCTCTGTCAGCTTGCCAACCTTGTTTGCTTTAAAAACTCTTAGCACTGCTTTCGTATCATTTAACAATTTGAAATAGATTCTTGGCATCTAAAATCATTTTTGTGATTTGAGCATCGTCATTTTATTTAATTGCTTTTTGTGTACATGTCAAGTAATAGACACATTTCTCCAAGCTCTCAGCACACAAGGCCGTCTATTTAATAGAATAGAATTGTTATCAGCTTAGTCCAAAAATGTTCAGTACTGCCATTTTACTAGTTTGTAGCTCTGCGCAGACTGCTAGAATTCAGTTGTTGTTAATAGCAATCACAGTTGCATGGAACTATGTGTATGCCTCCTCTACCCATCATTCAAAAATATTTGCCAGCCTCAAAATTCAGAGTGCTTTATGGTAGTCTGGTGAAACATTCATGATTCAGTGAAATCATCCTATTGAGTTTTATGAAACAATTGATGCGTGTTTTTATAGCATCTTCTGTCACTAGAGGCTCATGTGCCAGTGGCTATCATACTAAGTATTCTCAAATTAAAAGCATTTTTTTAATCTTCGTAGCATCTTGCATGTACCTTTTTTCAAGCGTTGCTTCTGATGGGACATGTCTGAAACTCTAGGCAAGGTCTGTCTCGAAGGCCATGTTGTGCAGAAGGGTGAATGCAGACCCATGGGTGACGACCGCTACATGCAGTTGAAGAGGTAAGACCATAATTTCTTTGACATGGGGTGCTTGTTATTGCATCATAACTAGGGTTTCGTGTTTTCGGTAAATACCGATAAACCCCGAAAATTAACCCCCGAGTCGGTTTGATCAGCATCAGGGAAAATTGATGAACCCCGAATTTGAGCTGTCCTTGAAGGAGAAAAGCTCAAACTTCACGGGAAGAAATGTTCATGTACGGCTTTATTTCCACTTCACCCGGAACACAACCCTCAATGAACCGCCCTCGAAGCTGCTATTTTCTTCGAAACCACACATTATTTTTTTTTCCTTTTATTATTATTGGTACGAGGACGTTTTCCAAGTATTCGGGCCACGTGTATGTTCCTCGAAGGTTGAGAAATTCTATGCCTGTGCACTATTTTCTTCAACATAAACCTCGATAATTCCCAATTGTTTTGTCGCACATCGAAAATTAATATTGCATAGCACCGGATCTGTGGAAACAAACTAAACCCCGAAAAAGCACCCCCGAATTGGACGAAAAATAAATACCGAAAATACGGAACCCTAATCATAACATATGTGAGGTGCCTTTTGGCAACATGAGCCTGTTGCACCCTCATACTATTGAACAAGCAACAACTACAGTAACATCTCGTGGTTCTTTTAGATTTGATCACCTTCGCTAATGGCAACTTCGGCAAAAGTTTCAGCTCTGCGCTGTCTGTGTGTCATTTAAACACTGGGTATGGAACACGACGTCACCTGTTCCTAGGTGTTGATGATAGCAACCTAAATTTAACTAGCTCAAAGCTATAGCAAGATAACTTTGAGCTGCTTTGAAAAGCCTTTTAATTCTGTTTTAAACTGAAAGTAACAATACAAGGTATGGGCCAGTGCAGCCTGTACTTCTACGTGACAGTGCATATCTCAGGCCTGCTATCTCGCTAATTGCTTTTTGATAAAAACAAAAATTGTGGCATAAATTGTGCTCATTATTTATTTATTTTTCGGATTTCTTACAATATGTATGTAATTTTTGTAAAATTCCTACGCACCTGGTTGGTAAGACGCACGAATTGATAGAAGTGAAGGTGTATGACATTAAGATAAGCGCGTCACGGTGCATATTTTTAGTGATTGTTTATTTTCTACTTTAATCTCTCAAGCTGGGTTGACAAGGTTTTGCCCCTAACCACATTTTTGTCAGTTCCATTGCTGAAAACTTTGCTTACAATGGAGGATTGTTTCTCACAGGCAAACAATCCTTAAGGCCAGTCAGCCTGTTCGGCAGGTGAAGCAGCTCGACAGAATTGTCCAAAACTACAAGCCAGTGGCAGATCACAAGCACAATGTGAGCAGCTTATACCTGACTTCCTGTCTCCCTTTCCTCTTTTCTTCCAGTTTCTCAATATTCCTAGCGTTCGTTGTTCCTAATAGACTGATTGCAAAAATCTCAAAAAGCCCCGCGTGAAGTATGCATCGAATTATAGGGGCACTTTTTATGCTCCTTGTCCCAGCAGAATCTGTCATGTGAAACTAAAAAGGGTAAGAGAGAGGGTAGAGCAGGCAGTTGCTTGGTTTCAATCGCGTGCTCAACTGCATTGCTTCCGTCGTCTGCTACAGCTGGTTCTATACAGCCAGTTCCCAGAATTCCTTTCTGTGCCGCGTGAAAGCAAGTTTTGCGACAGGTCGATTGTCTCCAAGCTGTGGAAGCTTTGAGTCAATTTTATTAGAATGCACAGTGGTGCATTCTGATGGAGCTTCCAGTTTGTTTTCGGCTATATTTAAGTGTACGGACTCAGTGAAGTATGGAGGAACCTGGCTCGTTGTGGCTGTGATGGGATGAAGGCAAAGGCACAGAGGTGGCTGTTTCTTCCATTGTTTCATCTGTAAAGCTCGAAGTACCAAGCATCTTTTTAATTGGCTTTTATATTTGCTTATTTATATATGTCTGTAAATACCTGCTCTACCATTAGGTGGCTTTGACTTGAGCATCCTTCTTGCGAAACTGGCCATTCTTTGACAAAAATAAGGTGGTAGCCTGCTTGTGTTAATTACTGATTCTGATCTGCTGATCAAACAGAACCAGCTTTGTAGCGACACCAAAGTGATCTACTCCATTACCGCTTGTTCTTATGTGGCCAGTTGTTGACACCTGGGCGTAAAAAAGGTTGTTGACAAGACGCGTTTGATTTGTCTGCCAGCTGCATTTGTGTTGTTAGTCGCGCTAGTGGGACTCTAAACAATGTAGACAAGAACCCCCCGTTTCCCCCATTTTCCAGTTTGTTCAAGGCAACCCCTTGTTTGCCCGACTCCTTTACATTGTATCGGGTACTAAATCATCTTCTGTACGTTTCCTGTGTATGCCTCAGCCTTAGCTTAACTTTTCCTGTTCTCCACTGGGAGCGGGTGGTTTATGTGAGATTAACACTGCGAAAGAAAAATTTGTGCGGGAGCTTAGTTTTGAGCGAATTTATGCGAGCATGTTGTGAATAGATTACATCAATTTGAAAGGATAAAAACACAAAGGACGAGGATAGACCGCTCTCTTTCAATTAGAAACAACATTTCAGTGTTTGGTGATAGTGCAAAGTGGGTGGTTTTGTGTAGAATTCAAGTAAGGACAAGCCACGGGCAAGTTGTAATTAGACCGTTTATAGCCCACATTTTGGCACGCAAAGTTTTCTATTGTTTGTTGTAGTGTTAAGTGCTGCTCTGCCATGACAGGGCAACAGCAAATATAATTACTGGCCTTGGTTTTTATTTCTGGTACTGTTTTTTGCCGTATTTTCTTGTTATCTGTACTGGCTGTGCTGGAACGTTCCCAACTTTTCAGAAAGGATGTATGCTGAGGAATTGGGGATTTATAAAGGCAGTTAGGTGCCTGTGCCAACATAATGGTGTGGTCTTGTTTTTTTATGCGAGCCCAAGAGTTACATGCAGTAGTGGTATACAAGCATAAAAACAGTTCCTCCAGTGACATGCATTGTTCATTTTACATGTGCATTTGAAGCCTAATAGTCGTGTCCAACCTTGTGTGCACAAATCTGTGGACGTTTATGCCAGCTAAAAGTAAGTGGAACAGAAGCACTACGCACTTAACACAAAAAAGTGACCAACCTTTTTTTTTTTTTTTTCAATTTTTAACACCAGGTTTGCTAAGATTAAATCTACTTCAGTGGAATGTTCTTATGTGGAGCACCAAGCCACAGTAAGGTTAGGTGTGTGACACTAGCCTGAAGGAGCAAAACGGAAATGAGTGCCAATATGCGTGCTACATTGCACCGCATACGAGTGTATTTGCCAGTTAAGGCAATGACTTGCACCACTGCTGCATGCAGCCATCCTCATTGGATGTTTGCGAGTGCAAGTTATGAAGTTGGGTTACCTCCACAGTGTCCTGCAATTGTACAAGTCAACCTAACTGCCAAATTCACAAACCTCACTCCAATTGAGGTGCCCCTCCACTTCCTCGAGGAAGGCGCTAGGGCCGAAGCTGGGCCAATCGCGACGACGGATAGGCGGCTTAGGCTGCTTATCTGTCCTCGTGATTGGCCAGCGTAGACCCTCGTGCCTTCCTTGAGGAAGTGGAGGGGCACCTCAATTGGAGTGAGGGTTGTGAATTCGGCGATAAGTTTTACCTGTTCAAGCAAAAACGATCAGGAGCTCGTTTGTTAAAGGGAAGATGAGGCGGTTCTGCATTTGAGAAAAAACGCTTGAATTGTGTTCATTTGGCCGTTACAATAACAGATATCACAATTATATTTCAATGCGACGCGCCAGGGAGCCGCAAGAGCAATTTCAAAATAGGCTGAAGCCCCGCCTCCCTAGTCTTGGGCAGCCAAAAGATCCGTCGATGACGTCACATACAGCGACTAACTTTCGCGTTTTCTCACGTTTAACAATACTTGCGCAGCAAATGGTTTGGGTATTCGGGTTCATGGGGTAAAACTCCACTAGAATTCACTTCTAACTCATTTTTTTCAAGAAGCTCCATAGCTTCCCTTTAAATGAGGGTGTGGCAAAAAATAAAAAAGGTTGAAATTTTGAGTCATGAGGCTACGGCGATCTGCGCAGTTGGAGTTTGAGCAGAAGAAGAAGGCGGAGGGCAAGAAGGCTCGTGAGGACAAGGACAAGGTGCTGGATATGCTGTTCTCGGCCTTCGAGAAGCACCAGTACTACAACATCAAGGACCTGGAGAAGATCACACGGCAGCCGGTGGTAGGAAATGGCGCTTCTTTTTATGCTCTCGGGATGGTTTTTGTCTCAAACGATGCACTACACACTTTCGGAAAAGTTGTCCATCAGAAAACAATCTCTGCTGTCGGAAACTTGCAGGAAGTGATTGTGTTGTGCATTTGTTTAGACAGCAGGGAGGTAGTCGGCCCCAACGGGCGCCTTGAATCTTCACTGTAGACGAGAAACTTGGCCAGTGCTGTAGTACAAGTTTGCTGGCTTGGAGTCTTTAACTTGCATCACAGACTGGTGATACACGACCGCATGCCAGCATGATGCTCATCCAGATTGAAACGGGCAGGGTGGGCATTGAACCCAGTGCCGCTGGGTTCTGCTGCACAAGCTTTCGCTCCGCATGCTCCGAGCTGCTGCGCGCCAACACATGCAGCCACCGATTTATTGAAACTTGCGGGAGTTTCTACAAGTCTTGCAAGATCACAAAAGTTGCTGCAGAAATCCCAATCTTGTTCTGTGAAAGCCCTTGCCTCTTGTTCTGCCCACATTGCGATCGGTCAGTGGTCACAAGTTAATTTTAATGCCTCAATTTGGTGTTTTCCTGTTGTTTTTTAGTCTAGGTAGCCATTGAACAGCACTAACTAAAATTGTTAGTGCTTCTGTGAACTTGTAGATTTCATATCTAGTTGTTAGTAAATTTCTTATCTCCATCACAATTGTCAATGTCTGCCAAAAAAAAAAAAAAAATCTTTAGCCGGCTATCTTTTTTTTTATTTCTGCTTGTGAAAAAGGCATAGGGGTACAAAATTTATAAGACAAGACAGAAATAGACATCACAATCTCCTTGTATAGTCTCTTCTGCTATAATTATACCATTAATAATGCTACTGTAAACCTTTCCAATGGGTAGCCTTGGCACGAGTAGTAAAGCAAATAAGTTTGCACATTTTAACTGCATCAGCAACCGACAGCAGAGCTGACCATTTGAATTAAAATAGTATTGAGAATTAATGCAGGCATCATGACGGCACAGCTCATATAAATAGGTGCAAGACAGCTCTCCCGTTGCTCCGTTTTGATACATTCACAATTTTCTGCACCTAGCGGCGCAAAGAGTGAACTCAAACCAAAATTGCTCCATGCTGCGTCAAAGATAACGGTGACACAAGGTTTAGCGGAAAGTGAAAGCTCAGTTGAAAACCTTGGCTATTCCATTGCTAGGTGATGCAAGGCACCGCCCGATTCTTTTGTTCAGCCATGTGTGTCCATCCATCCATTAGATGGATTTGATGAATCATACATCATGCCCATCGTACCGTTGCATCATGGCAACATAGCGTGTAACATTTATGTTGCCGAGCACTGATCTCTATGATAATTGCTGGATCGCTGTTCCCCACTTGGTCGCTACAGCACAAGTGAAGCCACCAGATGGCCATCTTGCACGTGGCGAAATTGCAATTTTGCTAGTGTTGCAGAGGCTGGCGGCAGTGTGCTGAAGACATGTTTTCTACTTGTTCCTTTTCATTCGCCAAAGCAGTTTTTTAAGACGCTGTGTAAGAGTTGAACTTCGCGATGAAAACACGTGAAAATTTTTGCGGAAGTGCAGTGCCACATCAAAAAAGCACAACTCGTCGAAAGCAAGTTTCGCCGGTCTCACGCCGTGATCAAAGCTTCCTTGGGACGCACGCTTGGATACTGATGAAGATTCGACGCCGTGTGGATGTGTTTTGCTAGTGCAACGTGCGTGAAGCCGTATGTGCCTCTGGAGCTGCGTTTTACTTTACTCTGACAGCTGTATTTGTAACTTGTGGCACTCGCAGTCCAAAAAAGAGCTTGGTGCAGCGTCTAAGGGGACAGAAGAGAGGTAGGGGGGAAGGAGGTATGTCTTTTTTTTTTGGTCATTAGATGGTTTACAGAATGCCACGCAACAGCTCCTCATCACTGACCAGTGGTCTGGCCTATTATCAACAATTGCACGTGACATCAAGTTTAAGCGCGGCTCGCCTAACTGTGATTGGTCAGCAGATTGCACGCGACCATATGGGCCGTGCTTGAAAGATTTTCAATCTCGCCGTCTCTTACTATTGCCTTCGAAAACCATCCTTACTTCACAGCGTTGCTCTATTTGTGCTGTCATGTGATTCATTAGATCACGTGGCAGCACTTGCTGGTACAGCTGGACGATCCAGAACTCCGTGGCCTATATATGATGCAAAAACATCCACGTGCGACACACCTTTAAAACTTTGCCACAGAGTCAATTCTTGATCGCTATCCAAGCGTGTGAAGGCACAGAGGCGTAGCACTGGCATGCTAAGGAAGCTTCGATCATACCGTGGGACTGACAAAACTTGCTTTCGACGAGTTGTGCCTTATTCCTGCGGCACTGCGCTTTAGTAAAAATTTCCATGTGTTCTCAATGGCAAGTCTCAATGCTTACACAGGGTCTTAACCAGGGGCTCCGGAAGCGGGGGGGCAGGGTGGGCTTGAGCCCCTCCTGTCCTCAGGACCGAGCTGCCGAGCCCCCCCCTCCCCCTCCCTCTTTTTTTTTTTTTTTTTTAGTTTGTGTGTTTGCAGGTTATCTGTACCTCCGTCTCTCCTGAGCCGAAATAAATGAAATGACCCTTTATGCATGCTAACTTACCGCCCTCCTCACCTCCGCCAAGCACAAAAAGCACCGGGGCGGCGGAGAGGCTTGCTTGAAAAGTCAAAACCGGAAGAAAATGACAGACAGGACTCATGAGCCTGATTGACAACCAGTTTAGAGCGAGCAAAGAGGGGACAGCGAAATGAATGGATTCCGACATGACGACGTCGGCGAGCGTTTGTCTGCTTCCACCGTGTGGAAGGAAGAAGCCCAGAAGATGCATGGTGCTTCTCTGGCCTGCGGACAAAACAGGCAAGCGGTACTACCGCGGCGCTAAAAGGCCATCATTAGGAGAGGGAGGGGGGCTGGTGAGCTTGAGTGGGGATTCGGGAGTGCTTAGAAAAGGCGAAAGTCTAGGAGCTCCCAAATTCGACAAGGCGCGCCTTCGATGGCGAAAGCTTTGCGCGCATGCAGTGTCGTGCCCGCAGGGTGGTGAGGTATGAGGCGACACATGTTTACAAACTCAGGACAACACAACACGAAGTCTCAAACACAGCTCTTATCCCTCAGCACCTTCCTTTTGTGATGCCCCCCAACCTGCATTGATGCCAGGAGTCCGAAGCGATCACGGTTGATGTACTTGATCCTGAGGTACATACCGATGTATGCAATCTCTGCCTCCAGTTGAGACATCCGATGGCCCAACTTGCTGTGTTTGAGACTTTGTGTTGTGTTGTCCTTTTTTTCCCCCGGGTCTCGGGGATTTGTCTAAAACTTTTAACACTTGTTTGTGTACGTCTGCGTTAATACATCGTGCTTCCCGAGAATCCCTAAATGAAGGAAGGTTTTCATTTTTAGACATAGCCAATTTGGCATAGGCACAGCTGCGGTTGATATGTAACAGTTGGTATATGAAAGAAAAAATAAAGAGCACATGGTACGGCTGATTTCAATGATTATCCAATCATTGTATGAGTTGTCAGTGCAAGTTTCTTTTTCTGTTATTTTACTGAGCCATTGTTTTAATTTGTTTTCCATGGATATGTGCGTGAATATGCGAACGCGCTGTATTAATATGTTTTTATTCAAAGATGGCAATTAATGTCATCCTGAAACCAACCTAACCTTGAGGATTTCGGAGATGTCGAGCCTCCCCTCTAAAGAAAGACTTCCGGAGCCTCTGGTCTTAACAAACTTCTTCAGCGAATGCGATGAACAAGTCGAAAATGTGTCTTCAGCACGCTGCCGCCAGCCTCTGCAATGCTAGCAAGATGGCCGTCCGGTGGCTTCACTCGCTGGAGCGGGAAGCGCGATTCAGCAATTGTCATAGAGATCAGTGTTGCCGAGTTTCATTTTTAATAAAAATTTGTTCCCATAATTAAATATTTCTGTTTGCACTTTCAGATATTTCACTGTAAAGTTCTACTCACTACTTTCCAACGCTTGTAGAACGAACCTAGTTTGCTTTAATTGTAATTAATGGTAAAACTGGCTAAAGTGCCTTTCCTAAAATGATGTCGCAGTTATTCCCAAGGTACTCCAGAATATGTTTTTCTTTATATACACTTTAGTGCTCCAAAAAGCAGGTTTTTCTGGTCCTGAGCTTCTTCAAAATGTAGGTTTTCTGCTCCTAAGCTGCTCCAAAATGCAGGTGCTCCAAAAAGCAGGTTTTTCTGGTCCTGAGCTTTTTCAAAATGTAGGTTTTCTGCTCCTAAGCTGCTCCAAAATGCAGATTTTTCTACTCCAAAAATTGCTCCAAAACCAGTTTGGCCTGTCCCACCCCTGTATAAACCAACTTACTACGAGACCAAGTTGGCAGTTTGCTGCTGGAACTGTTGGATGGTGGTTGTAGGCAACGAAACTATGAAACACTGATTAAGCTACGCTTCAGAGTAACAAAATATCAGTCATCTTCGTGCTTAAACTCATAGTTCCCAATTATCCAAAGCTTTATCTAAAATCGCAGGAAACATTTTTCCGTCCTCCAGAAATGTTAAAAGAGTTGGCAACAGAGCGAAACAATATCGCCTGAACTCCCAGACACCATATCTTACGCTCTGCAAGTCGCCTCATTCAAATTGCAACAATTGTCAATTGCGCCTTCTCGTCACTAAGAACCAAATGGCAGCGCCCACAAGAAAATTGGGAAATGGAGTGCTGACACTCTAGGCGCAACTTGTTCGGTGGCTCTGATGTCTGTGACATTTGTGTAATCACAGAACTTAAGTGTGCCCCCTTTGTATCCTTGCAGCCATACCTGAAGGAGATCCTCAAGGAGATCTGCAACTACAACGCCAAGAACCCGCACAAGAACATGTGGGAGCTGAAGCCAGAGTACCGCCACTACAAGGACCAGGAGGCCAAGTCCTGAGTGCTCGGACATTCTCTTAACCTTTTACGTCGGAGCGATCGAAATACACCACGAGCAGCCTCACCGACGGACAGGTTGGGGCGACGCGCACATCACACAACCGACCGAATCATACGATCATATTTTTATTAAAGAGATTTTGAATGGGTCGTTTACTGCATGAGTTTGTTTGTAGAGATGTTATTGTTTAGTATGTACAGCATGTAGAAAAAGAAGAGCATCATAAATAAACAAATGGGTACACTCGAGAGAGAGAGCCTTGCCTCATCAATCGATAACAACAACCTCAGCAGTGGAGGTGGTAGGTGTCGCCGTGGCCTGCGGTTCTGCCCTGTTCTTTCTCTGGGAAGAAGCTTGGCTACCAGCACTGCTGGTCTTCCGTTTCTTGTTTGGCTGCGGTAGCTCCTTGTCTGCGGACATCTGCTTCCGGGTCGAAAATGGGAACACCACCTTGGCCCCTTTTTTCACTGCCTCTTTCATCGGACCTGCCTCGAGGTAGCTGATGTAGGCATAGGGTGTCGTGTGGAACCGTTCGCTTAGGTAACCCTCCAGCAGGCAGAAGGTGACAATGGCCTCGCAGCGCTCTCTCGGAAGGTCTGTGAGGGTTGCTCCGCGCTCCTTCCACTTTTTGACGCCGCCGCCTTTCCCGGTCCATGCATCTAGCAACTTGGTGGCCGTCATCTGTTCCCCTGCAGCGATTGCCGCCTTGAGAATCTTGTAAATGTCCTGCACGTGTCTCGTAACGTCGACCTCCTTTGTGGATGACACTGTGGAGTCGCAATTGTCGCACATACCGTTGCAGCACGTCTCCTCTCGATTCTCGCCGAAATGCTGGCAAAGGACGGCTCGGCGGCAGCGGCGTGCTTCCGTGCAGTAGCTGACCATGGCGTAGACGTTCTCCTGGCCAGTCTTCTCTGCAAAGACGGACGTGGTCTGCCTGAAGATGTCGGCGAAGCGGTACATGACAATGCAGACTGCCGGCGCATCGTCTCTTCCCGCACGCCCGCTCTCCTGGTAGTAGTTTTCGACGGATTTGGACATGGTGTGGTGGATGACGAAGCGGACGTCCGGCTTGTCAATGCCCATGCCGAAGGCGACTGTGGCTACCACCACGTCTATTTCGTTGTGGGACCAGCGGAAGTGGACGTCGCTGCGGTCCTTGTGGTCCATGTTGGCGTTGTAGCAGTCGGCACGGATACCATGCTGGCAAAGCCCGCTTGCCACCTCGTGGGTGTCCTTGATGGAAAAGCAGTACACGATGCCGGACTGTCCTCTGAACCGTCCGAGAAGGAGGCCGACCAGGGTTTCGAGGACCTCCGCCTGTCCGGATGGCTTGCTGCAGACCTCGTACCGGAGGTTTGGCCGATCCAGTGGAGCCCTTAGGACGACGCAGTCCTCTATGCTCAGCATCTTCTGGATGTCGGCCACTATGGTTGCCGAAGCCGTCGCAGTGAGGCCCATGATGGGAACCTTAGGAAACTGCCGCTTCATAATGCCCAGGTACTTGTAGTCTGGTCTGAAGTCGTTGCCCCACTGAGAACAGCAGTGGACCTCGTCTATGGCCAGCCTGGAGAAGCAGCCCTTTTGGTACGCCTTCTCGAGTTTGGCCATGAACCGCTTGCTCTTGGCCATTTTCTCGGGGGTGACATAGATGAGCTTAATGGGGGACTTCTTGTCATCCATGGCATTGGTGATGGCGGAGGTCTTCTTCTGCGGGGTGGTTGCCGACAGCATGGCTACTGGGTAGGAGAGTCTTTCGAGTGCCATCACCTGGTCTTCCATGAGAGAGACCAGTGGGGACACGACGACTGTGAGGCCTGGGGACAGTAGGGCTGGCAGCTGGAAACACAGGCTCTTGCCGCCGCCCGTGGGCATGATGACGATGCAATCGTGGTTTGACATGGTCACGTTGATGGCGGGCAGCTGAGTGGGCCGCAGGCCCTTCATCTTGAACACAGACGTCAGTTTGTCCAAGACCCCAGCCGACCAGGGGTAGGTTGACTTGTGCCAGTCCGTTTGGTTCACCTCGTCCAACATTATTTGCTTCATCTTGACCTTTAGTTCTTCTGTCTTTTTGATAATGCACAGTCGAATCGTGTTCAACCGCGATATCTCGTTCTCGGTCGACATAAGCTGCTTTTCCAACTCACTTAGCTCCTTCTGCAGGGATATTTGCGACATTTTGTAGCTTCCTCGGGTGTCCCGCGTGGCGCTTTATTTATTTGTTGCGCTAGTGGCTAGTTCATAGGCATTCTATTACTTGAACGCCGTCATAAGGCAACGCCGGGTTTTGCAATCTCAAAGCAGCACAGCGAGTCAGACGCCATCGGACGCCGCCGGCGGGCTAGTTTAAGACACACTCGCCAGTTGGCGCCACCAAACACAAAATTTCCGGTTCCGTTCGCCTGACGTCACAGATGAATCATGATGGCGATCGTGAACTCAATCCCGTGGCCTTGCTACGCGATAAGAAATAGTCACGGACGTATCGCCATGCTGTTCTGGAGATAATACATGCAAACGATTTATAATTAATTACCTCACTCAGTAAAAGTATTGGTCAAGCTGCGGCAAGCTGTCAGAGTCTAACACTATAGAAAAGTGTTTCAGCAACGAGCTGCCAATGTGATGGCAAGTAAAATAAACGAGTTTGACGAGCGTGGATGCTCGTATTCCCCTTCGTTCGGATAACCTGCGGTTATCTAAGTTTTAGACTGAAATTTTGATGCGTCATCTTATCCGTCGATCGCTTGAAATGGAGTAGCAGGATTGCGGTGCATGAGTCAATCGGCATCTGGAATATTCGCGCAGTTGAAAAGCAAAAACAATAAACTTTAGCGCTCCTTTTTTAACAACGCGTCGATGACGTACGCAGAGGCGGTTATTGTTGGAATAAATATTGTTTTAACATAACGTGCAAGGCGTCTACATTTCGCTATGGTGAGTTTCTCGAGCCGCGGCAGCGCAGAAAGCAGTGAGCCGGTGATTTCAGGTCAGCTGATTCCCGGTTGAGATCACGTGGTACGCCGCGCCGCCAGGAACTCAAGGCGCTCAAGGGCTCAAGAGCGAGCGCACTGATACATCGGAGAGCAATTCTTCGACGGCCGGCGGCTTTGTTGGTTGGACGCATCTGGTGGAGCGTGTGTGCGGTTTCATAGGATTTTCCATCGCTCAAGAAGAATGTCTTGGCAGGCGTACGTGGACAACCAGATTCGTGCACAGGTCAGCTGCAAGGTTGCGGCGATAGCGGGCCTCACGGACGGCGCCATTTGGGCGAAACATGAAGAACCCAACGTGACGGTGAGCGAACCCCCCCCTGCCGCCGTTCCGTGCCGGCTCCCACTCCCCCCCGGCACGTTCCCTTCGCTCGTGCTAGGCCTAACAAGCCGACATATTCAGCCGCCTTTTGTGGTGTTTTCGAAGCGTCAAGTTCGCCGGGAATTCGTCGCTGGCCTTCGTCAGTCTCCGTTCGGGCCTGCCGAAGCGTTCGCGGAACTGTCGCGATAGCCGTTTTGATAAGTTCGCCCGGTTTGCGGGGACGACTTTATCGGTTTTGGCATCGTACACGCCCTACCTTGTTTGTCAAAAAATTCCTCCCCCTCCGCTCCCGTTCCGAGCCGGCTGAAACTAAATTTAGTACACTTTCGCGAATGGGCCCTTCCGACAGCCGAACGTATTTGACGTCCGTCGCAACGGCCGTGCGAAACAAAACAAAAACTTGTGGCATTTCTTTGGAAGATTCTTGACGAAGTCTCCGAGCACATTTTTCCCTTGTCTCTTGTCAGGCGGATGCCCCAATGACTGATCATTTCGCTGTTGTCTAGGGGCGGTCAAGAGCTGAGAATTCCCCCCCAGTCATCTGACCTATCTAAGATTGAAGACTAACCTATTTCGGCTCATTATGCATCTCTCGGACTTCAAAAAGACAGCCGCTCCTTACGGGGCTAGGCTTAGGTCAAACTCCCGTGGTACCGGCATTACGAAAACGCAAGAAAAAAAAGTACGCCTCACGCCTCGGCGCGATTTTGTCGGACTCCCGTCTCATAAAACGACAAGGACTGAGATTCGAGCAATGTTATTCTGCTCAAAGCGGGCGACCTTAGACCAAGAAAGGAAGGGGGAGGTGTCGGTGCACGGGTGGGTTAAGATGATTTTTTTTTTTAATCTATATCTTGTTGCGTTGTCGGTGGTGGTGGGGGATAATAGCGAACCTGTTTTTCTGGGCGCAGATTACGCAGCAGGAGCTGAAGACCATCGCGGACGCGATTCGAACCAACCCTACGGTGTTCAACGTAAGCGGAGTTCATTTGGGCGGCGAAAAGTATATCTGCCTCACCGCCGAGCCCTGCCTGGTGCGTGCCCGAAGAGGCAGTTCTGCGATGATTGCCGTTGCGACGAACACCTGTGAGTAGAGGCTCGTGGCGTTGTTGGCTGCTACCTGCTCGACAAACCGATTTTTTTTTTCCTTGTTTTTACAGCCGTCTTTTCTGTTGTTTTTTTTTTTTTTCCTAAGCGGCTGTCAGTTTCTTTCTTTTTTTTCTTTTTGTGTGCGCTAGCTTTTTTACCATCTCTTCGCGCCGGTTATTGTGTCCCAGGCTTGAGTAGTGCCAAGCGACGCGGGTTAAAAAAAGCTAGCATCGCGTTCATTCGCGAGGTGAATGTCTGACGTATTTAAACGCTTCATTGTTGGTGGCAGCCGTTGTTAGCCGCTTTGGTGGTGACTTAGGAACTTTAGTGGTCTCGTTCTGCCAAAGTCGTGTTTATTGAGCAGGCTTTCGCTTAATGCGCCTTTTATTTCTTCGGCGGTTGCATTATTAGTTTGTGGCGCCTTCAGAAGTTTGAGGGCGTGGCCCATGCTCAGTAGCTGTTGTGATCACGTTCTAGGCCCGACGATTCTAATATACCATTTGCTATATTTCCCAAGCATCAAGGAGAATGCAGGGATTGGTGTTCTACGCGCCGCACGTGCCGACGTCAGCAGTAACAACTTTTCTAAAGCAAAAACCTAAAACAAATTGCAACTTGCACGCGCGTTCGTCAACGCTTTGTCAGTTATTTACTTCGAATCTTTTATATGGGGAATGCGTGCGCGTGTGGCGCGTGGAACACCAATCCCTGCATTCTCCTTGATGCTTGGGTAATACTGCAATAGGTTTATTCTGTTGACATTTAAAAGCGTGAAACCAAGTATATCGTGCAGGCAATTCCAATGGTGTGGAGTGAGTTAACTTTATTCAGCCCAATTTTTTGTTAAAATTGGGGAACATTAAATGCTGACACCATTGGAAGCTACATTCTTGCATTGCTGTCTCCAGATTTACCATTTAAAATTGCTTTCTTTACATGTTTCGCTGGCATGTCAGGTGTCCTCGGCCGCATGTATTGGACAGCTTTAATGCATGCAGTCTATGCTCGGGGTTTGCACAAGTTTCATTTAAATACTGGATTGCACATTAGAGACTTCTGATGTAAAACCTTGTGCCACTAATTCCTCTAGTAGTGAAAGTAATGAAGGGTTCAATACGTAGGGGAAGCAAATTTGCTTTGTCCCCAGAGAACCAGCTTAAACATTGATGCCAGCCCAGCTGATACTTCACATGCTTCCTAAGTTTTTAATGTTAAACACTAAAATGTTTGTCAGGTTCGTTTTTATACAAATATATTGTGCGTGTTGCTTTTTGCTTTCTATGCTGTGAAGGCTAGGCTGCTTGAGTTGCTCATGCTCTATTATCCTGTATGTTTTAGTTTTAAGCCCACATGTGTTGGGCATCTGTGCTATGGGTACCATCAGTGGTGTAGCATTTTTAATATTGGTGCTGTTGACCTTGTATTGCTCAAGGTGGGAGTGGGTGTATTGACTGTAGGCTAGACACGAATGGAACTAGATTGTGAGAATTTTAACTCGCTGCCAGATTTGGGGATTTTTCTTTCTCTTCCATGATTGATGTTTCTAGATTTCGTGCCCATCTCGGGTAATTCATGGAAAGAGCTATTTCAGCCATCTATATCTCAAACATTAATTTTTAGAAGTTGAGTTCTAAAATAATTAAGGGTGTGTGCAAATTGTATTAAAAGTAGCACTGCATCCTTCTTAACCTTTGTAACGTTAGGCGTGCAAGGCCAGTATGTCATGCAATGCTAGGCATGACATACTGAATCTCTTGACAGTATTGAAGCTAGTAATGTTGCACTACTCTGACCCAAGCATTCTCACACCCCTGCAGGTAAGTGGAAGGGCCAATGTACCTGTTTTGCTTTCTAACGGGGAGTTCCAAATTGTATGCTCGTGAAGCTGTTGGGTGTCATTAACTGTAGTTAAGGATTGTTTGTTTTGCTTGGATATCGGCAGAGTTCATTGTTGTATAATTGTTCAAAAGGTGAGGTGTAAAATTCTCTTCCTTTATGCTGTTTAGGTGGATGATAGGTTCCCAGATAGGACTGTCATTATCCATGGCTGTTTAGGACTCAGTTTGGTTATCTTGTTGTGAAGTTATGGTTACCTTTGTTGTGGCACATGGCTCAAGGTGTTTGACTACTGATAGCCAATGCATAGTCTTTTTTCTTGCTTAGTAAACATGAAATCCCCTTTGATGGGGCAGTCAGTTGGGATTGCTCTCCTAGACCTATTCTTGGAAATGGGTCTTGTTGCAATCGGTGCCAGTGGGATTCACCAATGATTGAGTCTTGTTTTAGTGTTGGGATAGCTGAAATTATTTTATATTTTTAGATGGCCTCGATTCCTTTCCTCACGGGTGCCCAATGCCCTTTGTTGGTTAGATAAACCCAAGCATTTTACTATTACATGGAAACCATTCTCCTCCTCAATTAAGTCCCTTTACTTTTAGCTTCTGTATTGGCAATGGCTGCTGTTTGTTAGTCAAGCATTTGACATCTGATAGATGCTCCACACATGGCTAGGAACAATGGAGCTTGTGGCCACTGTGCAGATAAATAATGGGATATGGGTAGCCTCATGATCCATGTCGGAGCAAGCAAAAAATGTAGATTCTTTTCTTTCCACACTTCTAGTTCTGTTCCTGAGGTGGAATCCAGTAGGTTGCTGTATTTCCTAATCCCAAGGGATGTCGAGAGTTTCGGAAGCTTGGGCAGAGGCTTCAACAGTTCCTATCTTGCGGGAGTGCTAGTGCACGTAGTGTGCTTGTCCTAGTCCACCAGACAGTTGGTTCATCCCTCGATAGCATTGCGTGAAGGTTTTATTTCCTCATTCCACAGTTAAGAATTGCGCTGAAATAGTTAGCAAAATTAAGAGGCTAAAAGATTTGGACATGCAGCAATTCTGGGAGGCGCAAAAAAAAAAAAAAAAAAATACTAGGATTGAGTTGTGGTCGTTTGCTGTGAAAGTGAGTGAAACCCCAGTCTCTGCAGTGGCAGCTCCACCAGTTCATGCTTTCCACTTTCGATAAGACGGGGGGGGGAGGCACTTCGTGAGCACTTGGGTTGAAACCACTGCAGACGGCAACAAGTCCATCCTGGAGGCAGAGATCCTCCAGCAGTCTCGTACGAAACTTGTAACCCTATAAAGGGACACTAGGTGGATTCTGAGATTGTCTGTTTACCGTCGTAACTCAATCTATGGGCTCTTAAGCATCCTAAAAAACTCGAAATTGCATTCATGTGCAGCCAATTTCCCTATTAAATTTCCAATCAAAGATCCTGCCGCCCCCCTTTCTGCGCCGTGGTGCAGAACACAAGAGGGTGCCACCTGACGGGGCGGCAGCATTTGAGGGCACGTGACAGTTAATCATGGGTATCGGCTTCTCGGCAGACTAAATTTCCCAATATGCACACCTTCGAAAAATCTGCTGGCCGGGAAGCTGTCACTTGTGATTGGCTGTCGCGCACCCCCTCCTACTGCCTTTCAGTCTGGTGGTGCCCCCTGGTGTTCTGCACCACAGCGCGGCACGACCGTTGATTGGGCTTTTAATAGGGAAAATCGTCCTCTCTTGAATGCGATTTTCAGCTACGTGACTTCTAGAAATGCTCTCCTCCTATATTTCTTCCGACTCCCCAGTCCAGTTTTGGTTTTGCTTTCGAGCAGTCGGTTTTTTTTTTACTTTATTAAAAATGTGACTCTAGCAAAATATTGATTGGGATGCTAGAATTGCCTGGCAAAAAATAAAAATATAGGGGGGGGTTGTAAGTTTTGTAGCCCCTAGATGAACCTGAAAGGGCCTGGCGAGTAGCGTGAACACCATGTCTGGTGAGATTAGCTTTTGTCGTTTGATCTTTGAGCTATGTGATTGTTAAACGGTTATTGCCACGGTTTCTGTGGATACATTCTTTCATATTTATTAGCATCTTGAGAGGAAAAATGGGCACATTAATAATCTAGATTCATGTTGTAAAAAAATACCCCCAAACTCTGGTCTGAAAACATGCTTGAACTCTTTTTGTTCGCATTCCGCCCATTGGAAAGCAGTCACCTTGTATCGCTGCTTTGCTCAGCACATACGTCGTATCACTGCGCCACAGTGTTCTTCCGCAACGACAGCCAACGCCATTTTTGAACCATGCCTGCTAGCCGAAGTTCAATAGTTTTTTAACGAGCAGCCGCAGACCGTTACCGCACAGGAGCGTGAACGCGGGTGGGGTTCGGGTTAACACACTCATCAGTGATACACCCACCGTCCGTACACAAATGGCATTTGGTGTTTGTTGCCATGGTGGTGGCGATGAAAGCAAACTATCTTTATGCTGCAGGACACTGCACTGCTATGATACGAGGGCATGCTGAGGCCCCTCCTGCATGCTTTTCAATGGGAACGGACACAAAAAGAATTTGAGATACGGACTTAACACAGAAGGCTGGTTTTTTCCCAGCGCCTCTGTTATTTATCCCTAACATGGGTCTGAAGTACCCAACTACCGAAAAATAAACTTATCCTTTGCAGAGCTGTCTTGTATTTAATTACTAATGGCTCGACCAAGTTTGTATGAGCAGTCGGGTGTTCTGCTCGACATTTTTATTTCATTTTGAAGGCACAATTGTTCCGTACATGACTGAGGGCTATGCGAGTTAAGGCTGTCTACCCATTAAAAATTAACCCTGCAAATGCTTGAAAAAAACATTGACTGCAACGTGGACTGTGTCTTACCATTGGTTCCTCTGCACTTCTATGTTTTTCTGCTTGCTTGGTTAATGGTGCTAGCTGGGGCAGAGTTAAATTAGGGGCATGGTACATCCCTACTGCTCCATTGGCTCCTCCACTTATATTGGTTTGGCTTATTGGACTTGGGTGAAATGGCAAGCTAATGTTTGTTGATTTGTGTATGCACAATGTATTCAGTGTTTCTGGGATCTTGACGCATGGATCGGGTCACTTGGCCTCCTGTTCTTACTTCTGGCTGCTTTTGGAAACAGGTCTCCTGGTTGCTGTCACCACAGACGGTGTTCCCCCCGGCACGCTCAACACGGTGGTTGAGAAACTAGGAGACTACCTGCGGTCAAATAACTATTAGGTGAGTCCCACCTTTTTTTCCTGTGGGTGAAAGTTGGAAAACATGCATGCCTTGTGCTGCACTGGCTTTCCATGCTTCTTTGGTGCCTGCACATGGTGTGTGGGACACTGCCTGTTTGGTCTTTCATTGAGAGCTATGTGCACTCATCGCAGTATATGCTACACGCATATCCTCCATCATTTGGATGTGTGGTTTTTATCATTGAAACAAGAAAACTGAATTTGATGAGACATTTGGGCTAACTCCAGTACACGCCGTGCAACCTGTTTTGACATGTTTGGTGCAGTTCGCAATGTGTCCCTACAGTTTTGCACCAGGTTTTCGGGTACTGTTTCTCTTATGGCTGGCTGCCTTTCATACTTCTGCTCATTAAAATATGCATGGAAGAGTGCTAGTTTGTGGAATATCCTAATGGTAAGGTTCCGAAAGTTGGTGTACACACAGTGCCTTGCCACACTTCCTCGGCCTGTTCATAATTTTTATGTGCCTACCTTGGAGGTGGACAACATGAATCTGTGCAGATTTTCTACTTGTAGTTTTTCTCTTAACTTCATACTTTTCTTTTTTCTTGTATATGTTGGCATGTGATTTTTTAAATAAATATTGACACCAGGCATTGCACTAGATACGCTGCAATCTTTGCTCAGTTTCTGGTGATTGCGACAAGTTTGCCTTGGGCTTCGCTTGGATATTCATTCTACAGCTGTGTTGTAGCCTTGTGAAGCTTATTTCCCACACCTTTTAGGATGTCCCATCCTTCAATGGATCTGTATATTCGCAGCATTAAGGATCTAGCCCTTCCCAGTCATTGTTTGGTGTTGCCCTTCAAATATTCTCACATTAAAAGCTAGCATTTAACTTAGACTGGTGCTAGGTTGTGATGCAGGCCCTGGGGTTTCATATTAGTATGGTTTTCATATTGCTCACTTCTGTCTGATCTAGAGTCAGGGATGATATAGAAAAGGCCAGGAGGAGCACATGGCCTACCAGGCCTGTCACACTATCTACTGGGAGAAGACTACCATTAGCGATGCTTCAGCAACTTTTCAGTTTTTGTCGTCACTCCCAGCTTGCCCAGCTGTGGCAGAGTTTATGCTGCAAAATGAGTGTGGCTGAATTTACCGGGTTGGCAGGTTGAGCGGTCAGTTTTTGGGTGTGGTAGTAAGTTAGCAGGGTGAATAAGTGGTGTTTTCTTTTATTTCACCTAGCACTATTAGGAACTATCGTTTTGCTTCAGAGGTCATTTGCCGCCTTTATTGTATCATCATGCCCACACTCTAGAGCTGGGGTAACAGCTTCAACTCGCATGAGTACTCCAAAAGCTGAACTTTCTGTAGCTTGAAGCAGGTTTGACATTTCCAGAGTTTACTCCATACCCCTGTCGCACAGCCAGATTAAATTTGTTTCCGTCCAACGACATTGACAGAGTGGTCAGTCAGCGTCCTCTGCTTCAGTCGCAGCACATCGCGCGCAACGCTCTTTGCCGGGATCGCAAGCTGATTTGTCAGTCGCAGTCCTGTCATTGGATGAGAATGATCCCTCTCCTGTGTGGCAGGCATTTGCTTCGATTTCACCAATACTTGCGGTGTTCCAGACTCAAGGCTGCGACAATCGTAGTCACCGATAAAAACGGCACGACTCTCTTGCCAGACCTCCAGTAGGCACTCATTGCCTTCGGTGGTGCTTTGGCTGGATGTGCATGCATCATCAAGGTTCTGGGTGCAGGTCAACTGAAATACCTCCCTGCAGTTGTAATCTTCATGTAGACCTTTTTTCTCTTTACAAATGCAAGCAGTCTCTGGCTCCCAAGGGACTTCCTGTCGCATTTTGCCAGGCCTTCCCGGCCTGTCTAATTTCTGGGACGATTAAGCATGATTGAAATCGCGAAGTTGGTAATTTAGCAACCTCCTTGTGTCGCACAATCTATGCTGTAATGCGTCGCCCTACTAGAGTAACAAAAAATCTCCAACAAATCTTTCCAACCGGTCCGTTGGCTGACCACCTGGAGAACTGGCCATAGGATATTTCGCAAACGTTGCAACGAGCACTGCTATAGTGAGAGTTGTTCGTGCTCATTTGAATGGAAGTTTGCTGGGACAAAGTTGGGCTTCCCTCCGGCGCTTTTAGAGAGAGGGTATTGGCCGTCCTGACGTTGCAACTGTGTGGATTGGAGCTGGGCCATCTTTGGCACCTAAGAGTTCTTCATTTCTATTCTCCTTTCAGTTTTACAAAGTCTGCCACGAAATTGCACGACCCCCACCTGCCCACTCCACCCTCCCCCTTCTTACGTTGCCTCCCAAGACCCCGTGCAGCCCAAAGGAAGCCAGGCTCGACTGCGAAGAATCCCCAGTCTACAAGCAACGTCTTTTGCATTTTTGTTTTTCCTCTCGAACTGTTGTTGTTGGAAGGACGTTTCCTCTCGCCATGTCTCTGTCCCTCCCCTTCTCTGGAATGAGTAAGGGGCCACTGCTGGCCTCCTCATTCTCTCGTCTTTTTTTTTCTTTACTGGTTTTAAGGGGTGGGGATATTTCTACTGATAGGGGACAGAAAAAAAAAAGTTGCGAGCACACTGGAACTGAATGAAGTTAAACAATAAAACGATGTAACAACTGTGGAATTTTTTTACTAGCTGTATATTGTAGGTTTGGCAGGTGCTGTTAAATTGTTTTCAGATTTCCAATGGCTTCGTTTTCTTGGAGCATTTTGCCAGTACCCCGATTTTTTTATTTTTTTTTTAATGTTCGAGTGTTATGCGCTGCCTAAACAGAGATGAAAATTGTACTTAAATTTGAATCTCGGCAAGAGTGTGTGTGCGCGCCTCGTTTTTTCTTTTATTTTGAAATTAGGTGCCATTAAAATGTTTTTGTTTTTGTACACGGCATGCGGGTTTTTTGTTTTTTCGCGGCGCGGGGTTGACTGTTGGTGCAGAGCCTAGTCAGGAGATGCGAGGGTGGTTGCTAAGTGGAGGACTCTGGGAGTGGCCAACGGCTTTGCTCCCTCTCCCCGAGGCGTGATTAAGCAGTAAATTCTAACCGGCCACCCTTGCCTCGGAGACCTATTTATGGTCGAGTTTCTTTCTTTGTGATGAGGGAGGCAGAGGTCGGTAATTCTTTGTCAAGACAGGCTTCCCTTCAGGTGCTCTTTCTGCGGATCTAAATGTGGTCAGGGTGACGTTGCAAATGCGCAATGGTTCTTAGGTTATTTTTTAAGCTGCTCAAGACCCTTCTACGTGCTCGCTCTCCGCAGATTTGAGTTGGCGGCGATTCTTTCCTTGCAACTTCGGATGTTTTTAAGGATGCATCGAACAAATTCTTTTTATTCTTCCTTTGGTTTCTGGTTTACTTTTTTTTGGTCTCTGCACCACTTGTTTGGGCTCTGTTAGCGCTGTGGTGTTCAGCGAGGCGTGGCCATCTAATCTGGAGGGGTAAGGGGGGTGGGGTCTCGTGTGGAGCAAAGATCCGTGCCAAGCGTGCGGTTGCAATGCAGGCCAGCAGCGCACTGGCGTGAAAGATGGTTCGTCGGATGTGTATGTCGAGAGCTGTATTCGATCGGTGTTACTTTTTTTTTCCTTTTTTTTTTCCTGGGAATTGGGAATAAAAGGATAGTGTGATCTTGTAAGCCCCCTTGTGTGTGTCTGGCATCGAAAACTGGATGATTTCCTGATAAGACTCCAGCTCTAGCAATGACAGAGAATGACAAATATTCTTGGATCGCACCTTCGTGGTCTAGACTTGTTGAGACAGCTGCGCGTAATGACAACCACCTGTTGTGCTGTCACTAAATCCCCACCGTGAATATTTCCTCTGCAACTGACCATTACTTGGGAAGTAGAGTTGCGGTTTTGTGGATGTAAATGAGTGGGTAGCAAATTATGCGTAGGTTTTTGCTAATCTCTACTGATCTTCCCACTGTGTATCTGAGAAGGTGGGCCAGAGATGGGACCGTGTGCTTTCAGTCCTCTGATTAGCTCTGTGAAGGTCTGCGTGAGGCCTTTCAGGATTCAGATGCAGCTGGGCCCGTTTGCTAGATGCCGGTAAAAAGTTTACCGCGGTAAAGTTGAGCGCCCTTCCCCACAAGGGCTGGATGAGCTATAGCTCAGTGTTTTATTATACGGTGGTAGCTGGTGCCACCTACAGGATGAAGTTCCCGAAATGGAGGGACCAAGAAAGCGCGCCACCGTGTTTTCACGACGGAGCGCGGCACACAAAAGTAACACTTTCTGCTCGTTGTACAGATATTGGCTCAGTTAAAACTAAATTAACCCTTGTCTGGGAAATTTCTAATTGTTTGTCTAAGTGAAGACAAGCCTCGTTGAAATTTCCTTCCAAGTTCGAAAGAGGACTACGAATTTCAGTCCTAGAAATGATCCGGAAGTGAGGAGTGAAAGGCTGGCAGTACACCGGGAGCATGGTTGGCCAGCATGTAAGAACTGTATACAACACCATAATAAATGGAAAACGTGTAATTCGGCTCTAGTGAAAATAGACATGTTACTAAATTACCCGAACATCGAGGAGAATGCTGAAAGTAACTACGTTCCGCGCGCATTGCCCTTCCCCGTGTAAAATAATCGTAAAGCTCTGACGAATGCGCGTGCAGGGGAAGATTTGTTATAGGTTTTTGCTTTAGAACAGTTTCTACTGCAGACGCCAGCGCATGTAACTACACTCGGAGCATGTACATACCTTGGTGCTTGGCTGTCTACTCCTGCGTGCTATCAATATCCGGCCGATTGAGTCGAGGGAATCCACTATAGCAGTGGTTCTCAACGGTTGGTTTCGCGGACCCCTCGTGGTTCGGCAGAGATGATGGAGGTCCCGTTCGTGTTGAGGGGAATTGAAAGATGTGGGTTAATTATTAGTGATTTAATTAACGGATAAAACTGAGGGTTAGTGTGAAGAAACTTCTTTTATTGACATATACACGAGAAAACTCGCACGAAAATTGTAACATTTCTTCTTAATCTGGGAAAAGCAGCTCTCATTGCCGGGCTTGGCTGATGAGGCTGAGCTTCGCGGAGCACAAGGGGTCCGCGGACCCCCACTTGAGAACCTATTGCAAAGACATTGTTCATTTAGGCTTGAGAACGGCCACAACCGAAAGACCCAAAAATGCGGCAAAGTCATTGCTCACGCTTAGCGATTTAAGTGAGGTGAGGCAAAGCGAAAGCCTGCACCATTCATTGCTGAATAACGCGCCCGAAAATTGCAGCTACCATGACATAGTAGTTCCAAAGCGCGCGACGCTCGATCGCAGGGTCACCGCCATGTTTCCCCGCCGTCCTTACTCTGGCGGTCACGTGACTTAAAATTCCCCTTGTAGGGACATGAGGTTAACCTTATTAACTGGCTTCGAGCGAACGGGCCCTGCTGGTTCAACCTACATAAGGCTCTAGTACTGGATTGTCTTTACCCGAGGCCAGCACGGCACAGATTGAACGCGAGTGCTGTTCGGTGTCTGAGTGAGGACACCTGGGGGGCTATGTTGCACGTTTTGGACTGCCAGGAGACTTGGGAGAAGGAAGTGACGTCAACGACACAGCAAACGCAGATAGGATGTTGACAGAAGAAAACAAAATCAACATCCAATCTGCATTTGCTGCGTTGTTGACGTCACCTCCTTCTCCCTAGTCTCCTGGGAGTCCAAAACGTGCAACATAGCCCCCCAGGACCGGCTGCAGCCAATGCCGCAAGCACGAACGCTCGAGGTCACTGCTTTGAACCGTTCTTCCCCAAAACGGCCGCTCGCACTAGTAATGCATGTCTCAAAACTAGGAACGCGGTCTAGCTAAAGCCCCTGGTCTAGCACCCGCTTGTAGCTTTGGTTGCAGTCTCAACTGAAGGGTAAACAGAGTATAAGCTGCGAGAGAAAGCACTGCCGAAGTTACCGCACGAGCGGAGTGATACGTGAATCCGAGTCTCAAGTGCTCGCGCACCCCAGGCTTTCATAGTAAGCTGATTCTAGGAAGCCGGCCCAGTCCCAGATGAACGCCGACGCTGCAGTGCTTGCATCCGCTGATGACGTAAGTCAACACAGCATCTTCACCATCCCATCATCACCATCCCGCCACCCTCGCCCACAAGCTCCATTTAAACAGTCATCACTGCGAAATACCACTGCATCATCATTAGACGCGGTGCCGCAGGGTTTCATGGTATGAGCGACTTGCCTTTCTACGGCTCCGCGGCTCTCCCGAGCTAGAATAAATATCAAAATCTCTACGAGGTACTGTTAATCCTACAGGCGTGTCAAAGTTGGGGGAGGCGTCCGTTTCCGCGGACTGGGCGGTTTCCCGTCATGTTTTTTTTTCCTCTTGCCGTCCCTTTGGTTTGCGCGCTTCCTTCGGCTGTTGTGCTCCGGGAACCTGCTATCTGCAGTCTGGCATCTGTCGCTCGCATCCTGCTTCACCCTGCAGGATCTCGCCTCGATCAACTTCCTCACAGCGGGCTGTGGCGGGAGCTGGCGGTGAGGGGAACGGAGGGTTCGTTAGTTCGAACTGCAGTACGCTTTACTTCCAAGACGACAGGTCCGAGCGCGTAGAGTGAAAGTTGGCGCGTTCATTCCACGTGCACCACAAGAAAAACAGTCAATCCGAATGTAGAGAACTTTACCCGTTTTCAGTTTGAAAACGCTATCTACAGGGGAATGTTTTGTAATTGAAATAAATGGGGGCAGCGAACGGGAAAGATTACAACGACCCGTGCCTGAAGACTCGTAGTAAAAAAAAGTCCGGCTCCTCGCGTACAATTACAATTTCCCTCTTTACGTAGATAATTAAGATATATGTAGGTGCATTTTAGATTAGATATACGTTACCTTATCAAGACGTGTACATTTACCCCCTCCAAATACATCGCTTCTTCTTCCGACAACCAAATCCTGTAAGAAATGCTTCGCGCGGCGTATGAACAATGCGCAAAACTTCTTTTTTTTTTTCTCGAAGTTGATCCCCGCGACTAAGCGTTCAGGCTTCCTAAACTTAACAGAATTTAGTTTATCATACAAAATGGTGTTTAATAGTTTTGTTTTTGATTAAGGAAGAAGTGCCTCCAACATTTATTTTAAAATATCATTGCACGGGACTAAGAAAAGAAAAAGATGGGGTGTGGGAGTTTGTTCCTGTAAATTCTTAACGTCTCATGCAAAAAAAAAAAAAAAATATATATATATATATATATATATATATCAGTGTGTCGAACCGAAAAAAATACGGGTTCGGTTACGGTTCAGGTTCAGGTAAATTTATTTTGTTCCGGTTCAGTTCCGGTTCGATTCATTCGATCCGCGAACCGGTTCGGGGCGCTGAACCGGTTCGGGGCGCTGAACCGGTTCGCGAACCGGTTCGGAAATTATAAATGACAAATTGCAACATCAAAATAAATTACAAATAAAACATCTGAAATCAGCACGTACGAAACGGGATACATCGTAGTGTAAGGCTCAGAAATTTCTACCAGGAATGGTTTCTTTATGTGTACTCAAAGGTTACCTCACCGACGTTTACGCATTCGAACTTCATCTAATTGGGTCCGACGCAGTAGCTGTAAAATCCGCGACCTCCTTACAAACCCACTTACAAGTTGAACTCGCTAACTATCCCGCCACCTCGGCGTGTAAGCAATTGAAGGAACAGTGGGGAGAAAATACAGCTTTCTTTATTTGAACTAGCCTTCGGTAACTCAAATTAGACCCTTAAAGATCGTTTTCATTAAACAAGATACGGAATATGAAAAACACTTCACCGAACGCAACGCCAGAAAGACGTAATAGGATAAATATTAAAATAGAAGAGTTCGCTGTCTCACAAATATGTTAGCTTCTAAGTGCCTATACGAAACCGGATGCATTATTATCAAACTCCACAGCCTTTTCTTTTCTC